CCAGTTTTCCAATCAAATGAGTCTAAGCCATGCTAGTTATGAATATTGACAAAAAGACTCACCGACTTCCCATAACCTTAACGTGGCGTTGAGCTTATTCTGCTTATTCGCCAAGCAACTGTGGGGAATGCGCGCGTCAGCAAAGGAAGTTTGACCCGACTCGCGTCGCGGTGAGGATTATCTCCGCTGTAAAAACGTGGAGTTTATATCCCCGATCAACCCTGTAATTGCCACCAGGATCTAAGCTATATAGTGGTAGATTGTCTGGCCTTTCCGACAATGGTTTGAGCTTAATCTTAGTTCCTGACTTTCGTACTAAATCAGCAAAGTCTTCGATCTCTCCAATGTCTCCAAAGTTCATCATCAACATCACTGGGGCGGCTAGTGGCTTTGGTGCCCTCGCCGCTAGAGCTTTGGCCAAGCAGGGCCACACTGTGTTTGCGGGCCTAAAATCCATGGACGCAAATCTTCTCGAGGATATCCAAACATTCAACAAGGAGAACAACACCGATCTGCGCCCCTTGCATCAGGACATGCTGTCAGACTCTTCTGTTGCTGCTTCTGTTGCGGAGATGCTCTCGCAGAGTGAACACATAGATGTCGTCGTCCACAACTGCGGGCACATGGTGTACGGACCATTGGAGGCTTTCACCACAGAGCAGTTGGCTGAGCAGTATGACATTAATGTGCTCTCCACACACCGGCTGAACCGGGCTGTACTTCCGCATATGCGCCAGAGAAAGTCTGGTCTGCTTGTGTGGGTGAGCAGTTCTAGTGTACACGGAGCGGTCCCGTCCTTTATCGCACCCTACTTTGCGGCCAAGGCTGGAATGGACGCTTTGGCATCCTCATTTGAGCTAGAACTGAGCCAGTGGGGAATCGAGAGCTGTATCGTTGTCCCTGGCGCGTACAGCCAGGGCACCAACCACTTTGCGACTGCCGGGAGGCCACGCGATGAACAGGTTGCGAATGAGTATCGTGGTCAGGGGGCACCATACGAGGGCATGGAGGAAGCTATTGGTGTAGCGTATGGTGCATTTGAGCCAGCAGATGCCGACGTAAAGGACGTCGCAGAGGCAATAGTCACTGTCATTGAATCCCCTCACGGATCCCGACCCCGGAGAATTCATATTGATCCAGCCAAGGATGGCTCGGAGATTGTGAGCCAGATGAGGGACAGATTGAGAAAGGACAGGCTCAAAATGGCAGGATTTGAGAAGCTATTCACTGTACGTCGGGAATAGCTTGAAAAGGAATAGGTATTGTTGATATAATTATGAACATCAAATTTTGTTGGTCTTTTAGCCCATATTGCACAAATGTGATCGTCGACGGACTCATGAAAGTTGCTAGCTTCATTTGCTACTTATCATTGATGGTGCTCGAGTTAACATGTAAGAATTGAATGCATCTTATATGTGAAATTGATGAACTTAGCTAAAGTTGTACCTAAACTACCTAAATTTTGCGAAGTCTTTAAACGTTGGCACACATGCAACCGGGTGACATAAGACATTGCACACGCAAATTATAGGCGTTTTCAATCCTCAGTCTAACAGCAGAACCCTATCAGAATAGTAAATAAAACTACACAATAATTCTTAAAGGTCCAAATATTAAACTATTATCTTTATTGAGGGTAATTATATATTTATTACTGGGTTATTAGGCTATCAAGGCGAAGGGTTTAGCGAAATGGATGGGAGATCAAAGTACGATTTGGTGTGCAATGTCTTCTGTCACCCACTTGACATGGTGCAATGATGCCCAACGCTAGTTCCGCGGCTGAGCGAACTGCAATACCACTGGGGCGGGAATACAAGTAAATTGTAATACGAAAAATGAAACTTTGACCCTATCAGCATGTAGTCATTTGTGACGCGCTATATAATGGATAACCGTGGAAGCTGGGTTAAGGATTTCCTTTTGCCTGGTTGGCCTAATCTGTGACATCATTCCATTGATGATTTGCCGCGAGACATGTACGGTATACGTACAGTAAGAATGACAGCTCTTGTGTTGTACAGGTAGAGAGTTGACCGGTGGGCAGTTGGTTGGGTAAGCCGAAGGCTTCGGAACGTGCACCATTCACAAGCCGAGAAGAGTGACAAAATTATTTCACAGGGTATCTCGGACAGGTATGATTGTTTCCCGGTCGCCCCATTAACGACGTCACTAGTTGAGACAGCAGCATAAGTTATATCGAGGTATCGCCGCAAATTTGAACAGATGCCAATGTTTGGCTCAATTTTACGACGATATCAGGTTCCCCGCCAGGTACCAAACACCCCGGCATATGGCATTACGTATCTAGAACAACTGTACCTCTCTTTGAATGAACACCATAATCACCCTCCCCAAACTTCAACAATCCCTCTTGTATGTGTTTAGGTTGATCTTGTAAGCTTCAATTAATAAGTGATCTCGGACCACAGAAGTAGCTGTGATATTATCTCAAGGCAAATTTTGCTTTGAGGAGCAAATTTGTCACATCGCTTCATAGCGCCATCCTCCCAAGAGCAGCCCCTAAGTCCATCATCTGGAAGCTGTTAAGGCCGCCGATGGAACCAGGTTCAACTTCGAAGATTGATCCGGAAATTCTCATTGTTCCTTCCCGAGGTTTCTTTATTTCGCAGTTCTTACACATAACATACCTTAAATAACTCCCCATCTTATAGCGTCCACGAAATCCGTGCGAGCTATGAATTTCCACGTTTTAGTAGGCACTTCCGTCTACCCACACGCAACTGGCAGTGGCGTGAAGAGTTATCTTCTAGATTCAATAAGTTGCGACGTCAGTGGGGATTTGGTCCTATACACCGGGCTCGGCCCGTGATGAGATCCTTCAAAGGATTCCAAACTACCATTCGGCCTGAAACGTATACTACCACATTACACATTACTGGGCACAACATCTAGGACAGTGCCCTGATTTCAGCTGCCACCTGGCCAGTAGCATCGCAGAATCAGGCCAGGGTCCCAATTAGCCGCTACCAAATCCCATATAGGCAATGCCCGTGCATGGGTGCCTTGCATGATGTTTGCGAGTTGTGACCAAATACTTGGTGAAGGAGCAACATTCGTCGTTTATTTCGGGAGGAGGAACTTTGGCTTTTGGTCTATAGATGTTGGTAGGCTGACACCACCCATGTAATATGCAGTTGCATTTCCGAAATTAGAGCAGATGTCATCCCACATGCACAAATATGGAGCTCAGCGCGAAGTGGTTTGTAGGTCGTCCAGGTGTTCTCAATTAAAATCAACCCATTAACTTCCCTTCTTCGATTTCACCATCCGGCCATTCGCTAAATCCATCAATCTTCGCGTCTCTCAAAGGTCAAAATGGTGCAATTATCGGCTCTTTTCGGCTCTGCCCTCCTCTTCGTCGCTGTGGCCGCCACCAGCAACAAGGTAACTCAGCCACAAAAGGAGCAGGCTGTGCTCGGCAGCTTTACACCACAGGGCTGCTGGAAGGATGTCGTGCTATCGAAGGACGCCATGAACAAGCAAGTCACGTTCAAGGCATCCAACATCTCATCTTCAGGCTGTGGTTCCCGATGCCTCGACAACAACCAACCCGTCTTCGCAATGGCCGGCGAGAGCTGTTACTGCGCCAATAAGTATCCAAGCGAGGGAGGGCTTGTCGATAATTCTCAGTGCAACTTCCCTTGCAAGGCGAATGCTACCGAAGCATGTGGCAATAAGGGCCAATCGAGATTCTCCGTCTGGAACACCGGAATCCAAGTCGAAGTACCATATCTTGATAAGAAGGCCAAAAGTTCTACCACGAAGAGCTCTGTTACTGGCACTCCAACGAGCAAGAAGTCTGTTAAGAAGACAACCACACCCGCTTCCAGCTCCGAGGCTACACCCACCAGCAGCGTTGAGAGCACGACAACGGAAATTGAGACCAGCACCACGGCTACTTCAGCCTCTACTGCTTCTACCGCCGCGGCTCAACCTTCCAATGCTGTCTCTAAGAACATGGCTGGAGCTGGTGTAGCTATCCTCGCCGCCGCTCTGGCCTTGTAGACCTCTCATCCTGGTCAACTTGGCTTAGTGAGGGCCAACCTTGCATAATCCAGGCTTTGCTTTTGAGCCATAAACTGGGGATGGTTCAATTTTTTCGGTGCGACTACAATATCAGAAGGGAAATACGGATGAAGGCTTGCTTGAACTTGATCTCAGGTGCTATGATCCATTACGCCCGGGAGAGCTTGGGTTACGACATGAAAGACAATATCGATGCATCCTGGCGCGTAAAGCACACCAGCCCTATCGTTCTCATCATTCATTATTCTTCTCTTCTTTATCACTAGAGCTATTGTTTAATTCAAATTTATTCTAAATTCTCATGGGGGAGACCAGCTTTCGAATCGCAGCATGCCTACGATATTGAACTTGTTCCAACGAATAGCTGAGGTTTCCTCTGAATCAATATCAGACTCGCTGGATAGGGCTGGGCGGCTCCTTTCATGGTGGATATCGACATGTCCAAAATTTCGAGCTGAACTCCAGTGTTGGCCACATGTTCATTGTATATTTGGTTTCTTCGACCATCACAATTGTTGTTTTGCATTTATTTTGATAACGATCAACTATTTAGAATCATTTGCGTGATGCATCTTTCCCTTAGGAGTATCATAAGGCGTGGCCAATACAAGTATCAATAAATAATCTTTAGCTCATGATGGGAGTCATCACACCTGCGTCCCTACTGTGTTGGATTGAATTCTCTAGCGAGTCCTTCTAACCTATCAAGACATCTTAGTTTCCTCTAGCAGGGTAACCTACATTACCTACTCGTCATCATGTCTGTCGCTCACACTTCCGATGTCGGGGTGGGGGTTAGGGATCAGGCTGGAGATCAGCAGCCTACGTGGCCAAAACAACATATGGATGAAACCGAGAGGTGTCCAACAATTCTTCATTTCGACAAAAAAGCAAGCCAATTTGCTGAAAGTAAATCTGCCTCGCCCTTAGCGATGTCTATAGACAATATGCCTACCCGCGAGCCCATCCTTATCCAGGAACCGTTGCCGGTTATCTCACGTCGCCGTACTGCTTCCATCATTGCTTGCATCACATGCATCACTAGCATTGGTAACCTTTTAGCTGGACTGCTTACCGTGTGTGTCCCGGTCATCGCCAAGGAGCTCAACATCGGTCTGGCACTGCAACTCTGGCCCGTGTCCATCTTCGCACTCACATGTGGCTGTACATTGCTTCCATGCGGTGCCGCCGCCGATGTGCTTGGTTGTCGCCGTACATACCTGCTGGGATCCCTCCTCCAGGCCGCAACCACGCTCGGCTCAGGACTGGCCAAAACATCGTCTCAGCTTCTCACTCTCCGCGCTCTTGCCGGAGTCTCTGCCTCATTCTGCCTTCCGAGCGCCGTGGCAGTCGTGACAAACACTTTCCCGGCAGGCCCACGCCGAAACCTCGCCTTCGCAGCCATGGGTGGTGGTCAAGCTGTAAGTCAATCTTTAATATCTCTCTTCTTGACACACCAAACTAAGGGTGGACTCTTGGCTTTTCTGTGAAGCTATTGTTACGGAACTCTTGACTTTCCTTTACCTTCTCACGTGTAATGAAACATGCTGACCCGTTAAGGTTGGCTTCGGACTTGGTTTGACACTCGGCGGCGTGTTTTCTGGCACCATTGGCTGGCGATGGGGTTTCCATACTGCCACTTGCTTGAATATCGTTGTGCTTCTGCTGGCATTGTGGACGCTACCTCGTAACATCGATAAGCCACTTGGCAAATCAACGCTGGTTAGTCTCAGAGACGACGTCGACTGGATCGGCGTTACGATTATGACAGCTAGTCTTGGGCTACTATCGTACGAGTTTGCAGTCATGACCAGTTTGGGGATTCGTGAACCAATCAACATTGCACTGTTAACCTCTGGCCTTGTTCTTCTTCCTATCTTCGGCCTCTGGATGCACCGGCAGACGCGTCTTGGGCGACCTGCGCTCATCCCAAATAATCTGTGGACCAACATCCCGTTCACTACTGTGTGCATCACAGTTTTCCTTGTGTGGGGAGCCCTCAACGCCAGCGAGCAGCTTACCGCGCTGTATCTCGAAGATGTGCTTGGAGTTTCTCCCCTAACATCTGGGCTATATTTCCTACCAGCCCCTATCTGCGGTGCGCTTATGAATGCTGCAATAGGGCTTATGTTGCCTTATTTACGCCCCTCATTAGCGATACCCATAGCATGTCTGACCAGCAGCATTGCGCCTGTTCTGCTTGCGGCATTATGTCGAGTCAACGGACCCAGTTACTGGGGCGCTGTGTTCGAGGCTATGGCCCTCAATCCTCTAAGCGCAGACGTCATTTACACGGTTGCAAATCTTATCGTGACTGATGCGTTCCCTGAAAAGACGCAGGCCCTCGCGGGTGGCGTGTTCAATATGATTGCTCAGATTGGAAAGAGTGTGGGAATTACGACAACCGCCATTATCGCAGCACGAATCTCTGCCCAGGCTAAAGAGGGACCTAAGGAAGCTTTGCTCTTGGGTTACAAAGCTGGGTGGTGGTATAATAGTGCTATGGGCTTAGCCTCGGTTCCCTTGACCCTTTGGGGACTGAAGCGAGTTGGGAAGCTTGGAATAAAGAGAGAATAAACCTCTCAGACTTAACCTAGGTTTGCGGTTGTTACCCCTAGTCCTGATTCAAGTATCATGCCATGACCCTTACTTTCGAAATTAGCGGAGTAATCCATGAAGAGTCGTCGTTACGGCTTTCCCCATTTTATGATGCTAGCACCTCATCATACGCAGTTTTCTCGAGATCTTATAGTCACTAGACCGTTACTCGCCCAAAAGGGTTCATGTATTGCTTCCATATTCGTCCGTAGCCTTAGATGATATCTTGTTATTTACCTTTTAGCTGTGTTTTTCTCCAGTCTCTACGCCCGCCCCCATCCAGGTCCATTTAGATTGGGAGTAGGATCGAGAAGACTGCTCAGATATCACCACGCATGAAATGTAATACTTGTTCTCTGTTTTCGGGTGTCTATGGGAAAACCTCCGAAACGGGAGCTAGATTTCTCAGTTTTCAAACTAGTTCTCGTCTAATTCAGTCCTAATTTCGGCATGAATCCTTGATTTTAGAAGATAAGCAACCCGATACATCAAGATTTGCCAACAAGGGCATGCGGAGAGTGCGTCCCGCGAGTATTCAGCCCATCGTGTTCTGTTCGGAACAGGAGCCACCGCATTTGAGTGAATTTCATGATGCGAATAAGCGTGAAAGGAAATTATGAACAACATCTACCGAGGTTGCTTAGCCATCTTGGCAAATGCAACCTCGCCTACCAAAGTACAATAGAATAGGCTCCGGCCATGGACACTGGAAATGAATAAGAAGGCATTGTCACCGATTTCAGAACCGTAACTTTTCAATTCTTCATCCTAACTGTCATATGACAAAATACCGAAATGAGTGCATTCGCTCTACTCTCTCTCATCAGCTTCTCGCTCGCCGTAGCGGCCAAAACTCAGACCACGTCGACCCAAGATACCGATAGGTCCGCAGAGTTTGGGACATATAGATTTCTAAAATGCAATCCCCAAGTTGAATGGGTCAGAGTTTATTCTGGTGAATGCATTTCTATACCGATCGAGACTCGATCTGTTTTTCTGGGGAGTGTTTCCCCGAACTGCACATGTGAGTTATCCTCTTCATACCATATAGAATGAAGTAAACATCCGAATAAGTCTCTGGAATGCTGATACCCAGAGCTTCAAGTCACTCTCTACTCCGATGGAGAGTGTTTGAATGCTGAACGGACAGTTGAGCTTGAGCAGTGTGCTGATTCACCGTTGTACTGGGAGCATGCGGGACTTAACTGTGAGGAGCAATAAACCGAACGAGGTCAAATCCTGCTTTAGGCTCCAGTGCCATACTTAAAACGAAAATGCGGAAAAGGTGTATAGCAAATTGTTAACTCACAGGTTCCGCGTCATGGTGCCCCCAATCGTTGAACAATGATCCAGATGAACTAAAACTCGTTAGTCTTTAATAGCAACATGGAACATGTCCAATGAACCTACAGCAACAGGGGCAAGCAAGACCAGTTGAGGGAAGTAATGGTAAAGGAAAGGGCAGAGTAAAGACGGATCCGCTTTCGTCCATTGCGCTGTGAGACTGAAAGACGTTGAATGGAATAGCATTGGTGCACCTGTCTTGCCCAGTAGGTCGATACGAGATACCATCGATCATAGCCAAATCAATATATCACTCGTGAAAAGAAAAAAAAATTAACTTGAAATGATTCAAGATCTCCGTCAGTACCTTGAATTTAGACCAGCTCATCCCGCAAGGCAATTAAAATTATGGCTCTTGCGGGTTGCCGAGGTCCATGCAATTAATAATAATTTGTGGCATTTGTCGCGAAAAGTCGCGTCTTGCTGACACAGGCAATTATTTCCATGTCTCTTGGTCGAAGGACACCTTTCAATTTCAGGGACCTACGCGCATCAGATGGTAATGATCTTCTCTACTAAAGATGAACACTTCTAAATATTCTCGCTCACGAAGCCGCGCCCCGGAATGGTATTATCGAATCATGCGCCTCACTTACATTGGGGGCATGGAAGGCCATCGAAATCCCAAGCCAGATGAATTTGACGAAGATATCTCCGATTTTGAAGGTCCTGGCAAGAAGGACGAGAACGAGAACGAGGGATACTGTGATTGCGACAGCGACGTATCAGAGTGTGAATGCGAACCGTCCATTGACGATCACGTGTCCGAGAGATCATACACTGATGACGACGCGGACTACTACTACGAATTAAAGGAGAAACGCGAAGAACGGAAGCGTGAGCTACGGGATCTCAAAAGGCAGGAAGCATCAATGAAGCAAGAGGAACGCGACTACAATGAGGGAAAAGTGAACGAGGTGCTTGAAGCATACAAAACGCTGAAGAAAGCCATTCGGAATGGTGATGAACCACCAAGCCTCGATCCTCTAGCTATAATAGAGCGTTTTCGCCTGTTCTCCGTCGAACATGTGGACTACTGCTGCAATGGCGACTTCTATCCGACGAGGCACGTTTCATTTTATTACTTCACGGACCTTTCGAAGGAGGGAAACGGCAAACGGTCAACGGATGGTAAGCCCAAACCATTGCTCGGCCACGTGCACCTTGATGCGAACACACGCTGCAACTTGGACGCGTTTTCCCCTCCTACAAAGGCCGGAAGGGAGAAACATCGGATGACAGCAAATAAAGGCAAACTGAAGCTCGATGTGCGCTTCTTGAGCAACGACTATCTGATTATTTCCATACCTGCGACGGTAGTTTTTGGGAGTAAACCTATTCCTCCATCGGCTCCCAAAAAGTTCAAGTTCGCGGGGATTCGTTATACCTTGGAGATGACGATGAAAGAACCGGAAGCTAGGCGCAAAAGAAAGCGCTCACCCTCTTCCGATGATGAGCTTGAGTTTTACCATCCATCAGGATACTGGTAAGCGGGGTGGGACTATGAGGATTGTCATTATAAATCAACTATACTGCAAGGGATTGCCCTAGATAGGCTTAGGGCTTTTCGTGGATGTTTCACGGCTGTGAGCTCTAGGCGCGAGGCTTTCAGACTTCGACCATGATCCTTCGTTTTCCTCCCATTTTCCTTAACTGTGTCAGGGTTTGAGTTAAACGTGACTTTTCTTTTTTTTTTTACTTACATAAATACGGCAGTAAGTCGGCCTCTTATATGTAGGCATATTCGTCATTCATCTTGTAAGCGGGGAAGGGTGGTGGTCGCGTACAGGAGGACGCAGAAGAGAAGAATGGAGAAAGAGCCCATGTTATGATTGAAAGAACAGCTATATGTCAAAAGGTGTCCTTTATTTAATAATTATTCATATATCCTACTTACCTTTCAGCTTGCGGTAAGCGTTCACATTATTTACACAGGTATGGATGGGGCGAAACGAAAATCGAACCTTCTAGTAGCTGATTTATTCTCTCATTCCGTACGAGATTTAGAAAAGTAACTTACGAGTCGCTAGAAGGCTGCGCTTGAGAAGAACATGTCAGTCACTTGGTTAAATATATCGACAAGTTTCCCATATAAGGTTGCTCAGTTACTTGTATTGACATGTCGTCGATATTTCAGTCATCAATATAGTACGTTGTTTCTAGTAAGCAAGCTCATGTCCCCAAAATTCTAACTTAGAACCTAAATCCAGCCTTAAATTCTCCGTTCATAATGAGAAGTTGAAGGGGAGATCTTATTCTGGCTTTTTTCTATATGTACCATCTGACGTTCTCCCTTGGTGCTACACCTGGCCCTTCATCATATTCATGCCTTTTGAGCAAAGGGGTGTTCGTCAGAATAATGTTTCAATATAAACTCACTTTATTATATCGACTCGGAATAGGAGATGCCGTCATCCACTTTCTCTTACTATTGACATAAGGCAACGTACCCATACCGTAACCATTAGTACCACGAACGTGTAATGAGTCTACATTCTCACCTAATCTATTCAGGCAGGTCGTGCTAGCAACACGATGGAGGACCTACGCACGTAGTATGGAGTGGGTGTTCCGCAGAGAGTTATCCGCCTCCAAACGTGAAATTCCTCATTCAGAAAAGCCACTTGACAGAGAGGAAGGAGCCAAAGGCCATAATGATACGCAGTGGACCTCTGACGAAGAGAAAGGTGGCAAAATGGCTTTCATGCCCCACAAGAAGTGGCCGATATATCCGATCAAGTCTCACATCAAACGCAGACTGGGGCTTCTTATTCTTAGTACGGAGGACTGGCGGCCGCTCTCTGTATGAAACCCTAGTTGTCAGAGTCGAGCCGCACATAAACTCACTTACTCTTGAACGAAACTTATGGTCCCCTCAAACCAATCTGAGCGGCATCATTAGAACAACAGCTTTCGACGGATTGAAGATAACCGAAGTAAAGAACCCGTCGGCTGGATACCAATTTCAGCGCGATTAAGAGACGAATTAGTGCCGAATTTCGTGTCTCTCCTCGGGTATTTCCTTGTTGTCCTGCCAAACCTGTCATCCTAACAAGGAGGCGATGAACACACATCCTCGTCCTTCATCCTATGACATTATTACCGACCGGAAATAAAGGTTTACAGGGGGGTCCTTCCATCCCAATGCCACTTTCCAGGGCAGTACTTTTGCGTTTCAGATCTTGTGGAGGCTCGGGATTCATGCTAGTCGCCTCCCTGCAAGGCCAGCCATGTTGAGACCACAATGACAACCGCAGGAACAGGAAACACGCCCACTTGACTTGCTTTAAGTCTTCTCAGTCAGCAAGATGTAAGCACGATGAGAAAGATTGATAACTTAGAGACAGATCGACATCGGCGGTAGATGAGTTGCCGCGCGACTCCCGCGCATCGGGAGTCGGGACGCGGCGGCTATATAGGGAACTAAACCCTGAGCCGCTATTCTCACCAGTTCTTCAAGGTATTCACCTTAACCACCGCTCCTTTACCTCAAAGATCACCATGGGTGCCAAATCCTCCTTCTTGACAGCCGCCGCTGCGATGACTGGTCTTGCCAGTGCTAGTGAAGTCCCATGGGACACTCTCAACAGCACCGTCAGTGGCCGCCTTCAGCCAGCAATTCCCATTGAGAAGGCCTGCTTCACATCCTACAACGGTCATCCCAACACGGTAGACACAGAGACTTGCGATTTCATTCGCGCCAATTACACGAGCAACAGCCTGCGTATCGATAACCCTCAAGTTTATATGCAACTCACCAACCAGATCTGCGTGTCTGACCCCTCGGATCAGTGCGTACTTGACGCTAAGTCGCTCCCAGCCACTATGCCTTCCTCAAATAGCACCTGCAGGACGGGCAATGTACCTTCTTACTTTCTCGAGGTCAAGACAGCCGCTGATGTGTCTGCCGCATTCAATTTTGCCAAGGAAAACCAGGGCGTTGAAATCTCTGTGAAGAACAGCGGTCATGACTTTATGACCCGAAGTTCCGGCAAGGGTACTCTGAACCTCTGGACACACAAGCTGCAGGGCATGACATATCACGACAACTTCAAGCCCCAGGGATGTGAGAAGAGCGTAGGGGCTGCCATGACTGTCATGGCCGGTGTCTCTACTGGCGATGCCTACAACTTCGCCGATGCGCACAACGCTCTAATCATGGGTCCCTATGCACCAAGTGTGCCTATCTCAGCAGGTTGGGTTACCGGAGGCGGACATAATGTCTTCGCTCCCGTCTTTGGTCTTGGTGCGGACAGAGTTGTTGAGTTCAGCATTGTTACTCCCGACGGAGTTGAGCGAGTGGCCAACGAGCAACAAAACTCTGATCTTTTCTGGGCCCTTCGTGGAGGCGGAGGTGGTGCCTTTGGTGTTATTCTCAGCGCTACTCACCGCGTTGAGCCCAGAACCCCGATCGCCTACGCCGACATCCATCTCCCGAGCAACATCTCTACTGACCAAGCTTTGGACTGGGTGAAGCTCCTTGCTGAGGACTCGCTTGCGTGGGGCTACGCTGGCTGGGGTGGTCATGGTATGTAACATTTCTCCGCTGCAATCTGCATGGTGTTGAATCCTGTCACTAACAAAACAACTACAGTCGGTGGAACTTTCGTCACTCACTTTAACCCTCTTCCAGCCTTGACCAATGACAATGGCACTGCGGCTCGCGCCGCCTTCCAGCGTGCCACTGACTTCGCCATTGCCTTGGGAGGCACAAGTCACGTCGCCGTTGAAGAGAGTTTCAGTACTATCTTCAACAGGGACATGGTCCCCAAAGATACCAAGATGGGCGGTAACTTCCACTTCACGACTACGCGGCTCATGCCCACCTCTATGTTTGAATCCGCAGAAGGCATTGAAACCCTAATCCAATACATGCACGAAGCCATCGACATGGGCTTTGACCCTCGCAGCTTCTACACCCCCGTGACTACGCCATTTGTCTACAAGGCCAACGACACCAAGAACGCTGAGCCAAAGGACTATGGTACCAGTATGACCCAGGCCTGGTATAAGGCCCTCTGGCACGTTGAGTCTAGCAAGGCCATTCCCGTCGGTTCCACCTACCAGGAACGCCTTACCGCCTTGACAAACTTGACCACACTTACCGTCAAGCTCGAGAATATCATGGGTGCCGATGGTGGTTCATACATGAACGAGGCCGACCCTTATACTCCTGATTGGAAAGAATCTTTCTACGGTCTCGATAATTACGAGAAGCTTCTCAAAATCAAGAACAAGTATGATCCTCAGAGCCTCCTCAAGTGCTGGAAGTGTGTTGGATTCGACGAGGAGAAGGATTCCGATCTCGAGAGGTTCGCTTGTAACAAGAAGATTCAAGCCGATATCATCAAGGGTTTAAAGGCATAGTGTTGCCCTTGATCATGAAGATATTTCGGTTTCAGTATGAGACAAGAGTGTTACAACAACTTTCATTCCTTTTAAATGGTTGGGATTTCGGTATTTAGTGTATAAAAAGCAGCAACAATATGATTTGTCTGATGCGCGAATGGCCAATGATGACAGACGTGGGCATCAAAGAATCATCAATCATAAGGATAAAGAGCCCGGCATCCCACACATAGAGCTGAACAAGACAGTCAATCCTCCCACTCCGGCATACCGACATCACCGAATGAACTGGTCTGCAAAATCTGCCCCAAGACCAACACTCTCATAGTGTGCCTTTGCTTTCTCTAACTTGCTGTAGACATCCTCGATGCCTACTGGGTTGCCATCAGGATCCACGTAAATATAAGCGCCAGTGACATGGAACATCGTCACCATCTCTTTCACGTCGTCCGGGACCTCCAAGGTGTGGATATCACCAGGAGGCTCAAATGCATAACCACCCTCAGTAGCCCACCACGGGTGTTCCAGATAGTGCCACCGTCCCTTGAGGACCGTAGCGTGAACAGGGCCAGCGTGTCGATGGCGAGACAGAATACCGGACTTGCGGACCCGCAGGATATTGACAAAATATCCTTGCGAAACTGAGAAAAGGAGAGGACGAAACCAAACGTCTGGTGCTTGTGGAACCCAGAGCCTTTCGTCACAGTCGAGGTCGAAGATACCAGGTACAACTAGATCATCGGGAACAGAGGGCAGGGGAGGGCCACGATAAGGGACAGCAGACTCCTCGCGGATCTTGGTGCTCTTTGGGTCCGCCTCGCCGTTTGTATCAAAAGTCTTCGTGGCTTCAACGGCGGCCATAATCATCAATAGTGCAAAATATCCCCTGGGATATTCTCTATTGATGTTCTCTAAAAAAGGATGAGAGGTAGATGAACAAAATTTACAGATTGAAGGGGAAAATGAGTTGTGAGTTGTCCAGGGCAGAAGAGAATATTTCAAGTTGCTCATTCGGAAGGATCGGTCCTGGATCTGCGACTTAAATAGAACCTACAACAGACAGAAAATCATCTAGGTCAAGAGTCATGAGAACAGCCCATCTACTAGCATAATCAGAGTGGAGTTGTTCTTCGTGGTAGCGCACGGCGTCAACGGCGGTGGTGGGCATGTCTCCCGACTCTAAGCGCCAGCCAATTATATCAAGCAGAAGTCTCCTTGACACACAATCCCTTAAGAGGTCTGGAACGGGAATCGAATTTAGGAAGTCAGATTAAACGATTAATGTTCGCTAAGCCACCAGAATCGGATGCATTTACTCGTATGGTCATAACTTGAGAGGGAAACTTCGATCTATCTATCAGCTGATTGCCAACTTCCAGCCTCTACGTTTAATCACGTCTAACCAGTCGATCCGATCACCAGATTCACCTCCGGCCCGTGTCGCGTTCAAGCGCCACAGCTCGTCAAGCACATCGAGCGCCGCCTCCACATTGCGGAAGCATCGCCACCGGTTCATGGATTCCAGCTTGTTGCGAATAATCCAGATGTCTCTAGAATCCTCTGCATCACCGCCCGCCATGAATACGGGAAACAGCAGCGTGCACTCAGGTAGACACCCTTCAGGGATGTTCCCTACAGCTTCAGCAATAGACTTGACTTGACTCTGGATCTTCGAATGTGTATGCTCAGCAGCATCAGGAATATGGGCTCGAATTGTTCGATATAGATGAATCCTTGCTGCAGAGCGGTAGGCTTGTGCCAAAGAGACCAGAGCAGGGCTGAAACCCGCTGAAGGACATTTCCACTCACGGAGTTCGTCTTCAATAGCCCGTGCCCGTGATGAAAATGAGGTGATAGTATTGGCCAATGCCTCCGGCGTAGCTTCCAATTGCTTCGCCTCAGTCATTTCGGCATTGAGGTGGCTAATCTCCGCGATCAGATGAAGGATGCGTTCTGCCAGACCGAAGTATGGATCCGCAGCTGAGTCGTCTCCTGAGGAGATCCAGTACTCTCCGCCAAGCAGAGGTCGCGTGTTCATTGTAATGCTGGCCAAGATATCATGGTAGGCAAAGTTCTTCAGAAGCCACTTTCCCTCATACGATTGAAGTTGCTCCATTGTCTTGGAGGAGGGTGATATTGCTGGCGTGATGCCAGATTCCCGCTGGTTTGAGATCAGTAGAGCCGCGCCGCCACGCAAGTGGTGGTACCATGAGCCAGTGCCATCTGATATCACATCCAACGAACAGAATACGAGGGTGGCTGCTAACGCTACCTCAGTAGACAGATCTTCATCTTCCATTGCCACTTTGAAATTCCGGAGGGCCGACCCCCTGTGCTGGAGCGCAACATCGGTGAACGCTTGATTTCTGAGCGCTAGGTGCGAGGATGACCACGCAGCCAGGGCTTTCATGAGGGCTGGAGACTCAAAGGACATGGGGAGTAAAACTACCAGGGCTGTAAACAAAGTTTCTTGAAGATCTGTGATGAGTTGATGGACTTACCAGTCAGAAAGCAGTTGTTTTCGACGTTTGTTGTAAGCATGAACGCAAATATCTGTATATAGTATCGTAACATGGACCGACGGCTGGCAGCGAGTTCACCACCATGTATCACAGATGGGTCCAATGTCTGCCATATTTTGGAATGGCTAAGCACATTGCCTAGGTGGATCGATGCTGACGTTGTCGGCGGTGAACCAGCCAGCTCGGGGCCCTCAGCACTGCCAGAGCCATGTATACTATGGGGAGCCGTTGCCTGTCTGAGAGCAGAGGAATCGGCAGTTGAGCCACTTGCCAGCTCACGGGGCACTTCTCTATTACAAGCCAGGTTGAGCCTCGTGCAGTGGCCACAGACAGGATACGTCATGTCGCATTTCTTCTTCCTAGTTGCGGCCAGGTAGGTCAGCAGACGTACAACGGTATCGTTGCATCCAACATACCTTCGGCGGCATGTCAGGCATCCCAGACGTTGTCGAGTGAACGGTGATTTCTGAGGCCTCCCCGTTGTCGATTCCCGCTCTCTCACTGGGTGCGTAGATCGCATCTCCGCAAATGACCTTCTATGACAATCGGTTGGCTTCTAATTCGAGACAAATCTGGCGTGTGTCTATTCGAACAGACCTCAGTGGTATTTGCGAAAAGAATTCGGCGTCAAGGGCGGAGATATGCTAAGGTGAGGAGAACAGGTCCCTACTAAGGACAGTGCGAAATAAAGAAAGCCAATACTGACTCGTTTGTCGTCTCCGCTGAGACGGATTGAATCCAATAATGTCTCCCGTCAACCCCACCCACACAGAATACGAAGTACCCAAGTCTCAGCTTATCTTGCTTGTAAATCTTGAACCTTTCTCACTTGGCGTCATTTCTCCGCTCTTGGGAGATATTCAGCGACTGGTTGTTGCATTTGGTGCACTAGTAGAGAGATCAGCAGGTTGTGCTAGCACATGACCCCCAACTTCCCCTGGCGTCAACAGCGGCGATCAGCTATCGGTAGTCTCCTATAAACTAGCCATCGTATATCTGCCGTGCCTCTCACGGGCCTTTCTACTTGAGTATATCTTATAGGCCTTATGGTCGAGTGGTTTCGAAATACCTCTCATATCTCCCCGGCTGTTTCTTATCAAACACTCGTCTGATCAAAACTCTCTCTTTCCACAAAAACACCACATACATTTATTTCTCCTTGTTGAGTTAAGCATTTGAGTTCTTCAGTCATCATGACTGACACTTTTGTCGCTCAGTCTCACATCCTCCACCGCGCCTTCGGGCAGAGGCCGGAAAATGTCGTCTCAGCTGAGGGCATCAAGCTCGTACTGGAGTCTGGAAGAACCATGTACGATGCTACATGCGGACCATCTGTGTCTGTTTTGGGCCATCACCAGCCCAAGGTTACAGAGGCCATCACTCGCCAATTAAAACAGATTGCCTACGTTTATTCCGGGGCTCGTTTTACTGCTGAGCCTAACGAGGAGCTTGCCTCCATGATCCTAGGAGCTTGCCCTGGAGGCCTATCCAAAGCCATATTCGTTAATTCGGGTAGCGAAGCCACGGATGCTGCGATCAAGCTGGCCACGCAATACTGGCACGAGAGGGGCCTACCAAATAAGAGCCACGTCATTGCCCGCAAGCAAAGCTACCATGGTAACACTATCGGGGCACTTAATGTTTCTGGGCATACATCCAGGCGCGAGATTTATCGTGATTGGATCTCTGAAAACGTCTCTTTCGTGGATCCTTGTTACGCATTCCGCCTTCAGAAAGCTGACGAGAGCCCCAACCAATACCTTCAGAGGCTCCGTGACCAACTTGAGGCCGAAATCATCCGTGTCGGGCCTGGAAATATTTCAGCATTTATTGCTGAGACTGTGAGCGGAACGACGCTGGGTTGCTTGCCCCCTGTTCCCGGCTACTTTAAGGCAGTGCGAGAGTTGTGTGACAAGTATGATATTCTGCTTATTTTAGACGAGGCAAGTTATATTTGCACGGATCATACTGTGATTAAATCAACCTGACAATGTACAGATTATGTGTGGTATGGGCAAGACAGGGACCATGCATGCCTGGGAACAAGAAGGCATTCGAGGTCCCGACATCCAAACAATCGGAAAAGCACTCGGGGGAGGCTTTGTCCCCCTTTCTGGTGTACTCCTTCATCAGAAGATCTTTGACGCCTTGGCCGCAGGCTCCAAAGGACTCCTCCACGGCCACACTTTCCAGGTATGAGTGTCAACAACAAATGTTACTCAGCCCGACACTTGCTGATCAATGGTCACCATAGGCGCACCCCATTGCCACGGCAGCTGCTGTGGCGGTGCAGAAGATCATCAAAGAACTAGACCTGCTGAACAACGTAGCCAAAATGGGCAAGGTTCTTGAGGAAGCCCTGGAAGAAATGATTCGGCCACTGCCTTTCGTTGCAGATATTCGAGGCCGGGGGCTGTTTTGGGCAGTCGAATTCTTGGCCGACCCAGAAAGTGGTGCGCCATTTGCCGAAAATGCAAAATTCTGCAACCAAGTAGTAGATGCGGCCTTTGAGAACGGCTTGAATATTCTAGGCAACCTTGGCGTAACTGGCGATGTACACGTGGAACACGTTATCGTCGCGCCACCTTATATTGTCTCTGAGTCTGAGATCAGAGACATCGTTCAGCTTCTCGAAATTTCTATCAAGGATGTCAGTCGCCCATTGCTTAAATCACGACAACAAACTCGGAGCACATCAGCAAAGTCAAGTTTATAATGTTGGTTTGTTTGAGGGGCAGCTGTTTATGCAAGGCCATAGATACATCCCTAATGGGGAGCTACGATTAACACTATTCATGTTCTTAGTAGACCACGAAGCACCTGAACGAAAAGTGATCACTCTTGAGTTTTCTTAAAGCCGCGTTAAAGGCCAGTACATCCAGACCGCGCACTCAACATAGAATTCGCAGTCTAGGAGTAGTCAGTTGCTAGTTCTGTTCCACACCCTTGTGGGCAGCGTAATCATACCATGCTGCGTGACTATTGTTACCATTATGGAGCGAGCCAACCAGTCGAATACGGATCGAGGCCAAAATACTTGCCAGGACCGACTCTGAACAGTAAAAAGCGCCACACAGTAAACTTACACTGGCTGCTTCATGCGGGGAAACTGGCACGCGGCGTGGGTCTAATCCACCTGCACGGCGTCAAGGGCGGCGGAAGCCTAAACAGCCAATCCGAGGCTGAGTTGGTATGACCTCCAAGATAAGAACTTTGCAAAGATATCAAAGCTCATCCACTCCTAACAATTCAGACTAATTTGGCACTAGTTCAGGGAGGCTTTGCACCATCTATGCGAGCTTGAGCATTGAGACGGGATGTGGCCTGAGTACATGTGAGTTTGCAAAGGGAGAAATAAAGAGAGGTCAACTGTAGCAAAAGCGCAGTAATCTCTAAGCCTTAACCTTAATCATCTTCGTCCTGTCCATATGTAGGCTCAACACGAAAATATTTCAAAGCTCCAGTGTTCTGCTGTGAAACGACGATTCATAATATTGGTCAAGTTATATGAGAACTACGATGCTGGAGCCGGACCCTGTACTACTAAATTTAAAACGAGGGGGTTTTAGCAGAATCCTCAAAGAGCGACGAGGCCAAGAAGAGATCAGGCATTCTCAACATTTCCCTTTCAATTATCGAATAAGAAGCGGTAATCAAAATAAGATGGGGTCTGAGCCCATTATGGGCAACAATGATAACCGCGGATATCTCCATTAAACCAATCCATAGCCGATTTATGACTTTTATATATGGCCATTATTATCATACTTATGGAGAACCTTCCACCTGATCAGGCTGCCAACTCGGCGCTCTTCTCGTCCACGTGGGATTTGGTCTCGTCTTCTGCGATTGGGGACAAGTTCCCCTCCAACAAGGCGCTTAAGCCTATCTCCCTATTAATCTCCAGCATCCTCTCTGTGTCTGCCTGTGCCGTGCCCTCAGACCCAAAGATAATGTCCTACCATGCGTTAGCACACTAGGTGAAGATAGTAATGAAAGCAGATAACGAACCATCTCCTCAAGCGAAAGGCGCTTGGTCTCCGGTGTAAAGAACCATATAAATGCAGCACCCATGGAGGTAAGTAGTCCAAATATGATGTAGGTGCCGTAGGTGATTCCACTGAGCATGTCCGGCGTGACTTGCCCAACAATGAAATTATTCCTAAATTCCCAAAGTCAGTCTTCACATTGCTCGTGGGTCTCCTCAGTACCGGGATCACTTACATCCAGTTGCTAGATGCGCCCAAGCTTACGCCATATGGTCGAGTGGACAAGGGCCACACTTCGGCGATGATGATCCAAGCACAAGGTCCCCAACTGTATCCAAAGTGAACCACAAAAAGCCAAACCATGACAACGGCAGCCCATCCAGCACTCTGATGGCTATCAAAGTGGTCGATGTTGCGTGCAAGAATGACGGCAATGATGAAGTGGCAAAGAGCCATGCCAATAGCACCGATGGTAAGTACCGGCTTACGACCCAATCTATCGATCCAAAGCACGGCAGGAATGGTGGCGATGAACATTACTATACCGACGACACCTGTCGCGAGAAGGCTAGTTGTGTTCGATGAGAGCCCAAGCTGCGAAAAGATAGACGGGGCGTAATATAAAACCTGATCACAGTTTAGCGGCCGTTGGGCATTTATGTTTTCTTACCACACTACTTACAGCATTGATTCCAGTCCATTGTTGGAAGAACATCTAATATACTTCTTAGTAAATAGGAACTTGATGAAAAGTCGTCAGATGAGCTAACTTACAGTCACCGTAGCGACCACTACTCTTCGAAACATAGCCTTCGACTCGAATAGGGACTTGATAGCCGCAAACTGCAGTTTAATGGTGTTGATAGCTGTTTGCTGCTGTAAAGTTGGAAACTTTTCAGCAATGCTCCTCTTTTCGAAAAGAGACTGAGCCTTTATCTCCAGGAACTCAAGCTGGATAAGTTCGTGATCTGGCGAAAGTTCACGCAGACTCGCCAGGTTCGCACGGGCTTCCTCTTCGCGATCGTGGTGGATGAGCCAACGAGGGGAGAAGGGCATCCAAATCATTCCAACAAAGAGGATAACAGCCGGGAGAATTTGAAGACAAATTGGGACGAGCCAAGCCGCGTCCTTTTGGGTCTCAACGGTTGTTCCTCCGATATAATTACATCCACTGGCCACTTGGTAAGCTTTTCCTGTGCTCCAAAGGAAAAGAAGGTCACGTACTAATCAATCCAAAAGCTGATCATGATTCCAAAGGTAATTGCAAGTTGCTGAAGAGCTACTAGGGCACCTAGATGACGATGAATATAAAGATGACGCATCGGCAAAGTACAACATACCTCGAACCTCGGGAGGCGCGCACTCCGAGACGTATAGTGGAACAATCATACTTAGGCCACCAACTCCAATTCCACTACAGCATGGCTGTTAGTAAAATTAAATTTATGAAATCGGAGGAAAGAACTTGCGTTATAAATCTACCAGCAAGGATTGGATTCACACCGCCGGCAATCGAAGTGGCTTGGATAATAACACCAAGAATGAAGACACTAAAGGGATTGGTCAGTTTTTCGAATCGAATTCGCGGCAGCAGGTTTACGTCTTACCCCGTGACAACAAGAATGCCATATTTTCGGGACAGGATTTCAGCAAGAATACCAGACGATAGTGCTCCGAACCATGCTCCAAGCTCGAGAATAGCCGTGAGCCAGCCCTTCAGCGATGGTTTATCAATATACCCATCCGTATCTAAGGATTTAATAAGTAAACTCTTGGCTTTGTGTCAGGCTCAATTGTCTAGGTACGTACGCTTGCCGAAAGAAGGCATGGCCAGAATGCCAGAAAACATTCCTTGATTGTAGCCATAAAGAACTCCTCCTATACAAGCGAAAGCCGCAATCCGAAAGACTTTGAAGTTGGTCAGAATCGCTCGAGCACCGCTCTTACCCATGAGGGCCTGACGGCGCTCAAGGGCGGCTTCATGCGCCGTATGTGGTGCGGCACCCATCGCGATGATGTAGACGAATAGCAAAGAATATAGATGATATAATAGTTGCCGGGCTTGATATCAAGATCTCCAACAAAGATTGAGGGAGGAGGCCCCAGATTATGTATCCTAGGGAACTCTGCATCCCACAATTAACTACCCTTTTACCAGGGTCATCACATCCCCTCTGACACATTTTATGATGCCCCTCATTCTCGCCGAAGCATCATGTGCTTTCCTATGAGGCAAGATCAGTAATTGGGGACGATGCCGGCCGATCCCGCAGAGTTCAATCTGGGGTATTTAGGCTGAATAGTGTCAAGAAACAACCGCACGAATGGCACCTGGGCAAGTGGTGGCCGATCCTGCCATGACCTGGGGTGGCCCCACACGTTTCCTCAAGTGTTGACCTTCTCTCACCTGTCAAAAAGCACGATGGCTTGATTATTTGTACGTTGAGGAGACTCTCCACGTCTAAAGAGCCTAAAGGGGTTTGATAATGGTGGGGTAATGCTACGCTTGATGCCGCAGGATTTACATCTCCAGATCCTCTAGCCCAAATTGATTGCTGATGGATAAACAAAGCCCGGTCAGCTTGAAGCGATATCTTCAATTCAAAGGACATCCGAGTCCATGTTATCCTACCCCTACGTGAAGTTGTCCTTGACCGAACATAGCAACACAATATTATGCATCATTGCTTCAGATATACCATCATAAAGGTTGTATTAATAGTTATATATAAGTACTCAAAGACTCCATTGATCAAAATCAAAGGAAGTGGCAGGCAGCAACCACAGCGGCTAAAACCAGCCCTGAGGCCGTGCCAAACACCCGGGTGGCACCACTGTCTGTCGTCGTGGGTGAGGTTGCACCCTGCGTGGAAGACCCAGTGGGGGTGGTCACGGCAGTCGACAAGGTGGTGGAAGCGGTGTCAGACGAATCGGTCGCGGTTGCAGTTGCGGTTCCAGTGGAGGTGGAGGACGACGAAGCGGTCTTGGTCTTGGAAGAACTGGCAGTGGAGCTTGATGACTCGGTGTCCTCGTCGGACGCCTTGGTGAGTGTATCCCACGAAGGCATGGTGGTACCTGGGCACTTGGTCATGCACTCGTAGATGGGTTTATAGACAGCCTTGTAGGCCTCGATGTCATCGGAATTGCCCAGCTTTGTCATCTCGTCGAAGCTATCGTCGTTGCACTTTCGGATACACGAGTACGCAGAGCACGGGACGGTGTCCATGTCGCCAAACCCACGGCCGGCCAGCTCAGACTTGCCCCAGGCGCCGGTGCCTCCCTGCAGAGAAAAGGTGTTGCTGTACTGGAAGCCAGATGGGCCATCCTTGTTGGGGTCCGAGTTCCACTCCATAGTGGTGATCTTGAGTTTGGCATCGCTGGGCGCAACATCGGCAGGGATGGTGACCTTCACGGAGGTGGTGTCGATCTTGGTGCCGTTGGCGAGCAGGCAGACAGGGCCGGTACCCCAACCCGGTGGAGTGGTAGCAAGATAGACGTTAAAGTTGGTGAATCCGCCATCGAATGACTTGGCTCCGTCGTCGAGGTCGTTTCGGATCTTGACCTCAACCTCAGTGTCGGCTTTGACGGCTGATGCGATGCTAATTCGGTCAAATGCAAGAGCGGGAAGGGCGCTTGCGAGAACGAGTCCCAGTGGGCCCAAAAGAGATGAGGCGACCATTTTGAAAATTAGAGATGGTGAAGAATTAATTAGTTATATGGCGATTATTTAAAGAGTGACTTGGTTGAAGCGATAAACGAGTGAAACACTGCAACTTTTGGCGTTGACGAAAACGACAGAAAAGAAACAGAAGGGATGGAGAGGTAGAAGAAGAAATTTTCTAAGAGTCTGGGGATCGCTTGGCAAGTTATCATCGAAATTGGATGATCCTATTCTCACTTGGCAGTCGGCCTGGACCAGAGCTGGAAATACCGGGATTAGCAAGCGAGCCACAAACTCGGGCCGACCGAGTAAGCAGGCAGTCTTGGCACTTGCTGTCATGCTCTCTTGGGCAGTTGCTTTAATATGTTAGGGCTACAAGCACGGACAATCCGGAAGGTTCCAGGTGAGATCTGTTTGAGCCAATCATTGATCCTTGGCAAGTGAACTCTCGAGCACCAGTCTAGGCTGGTCACCGACGAGATGAAACTCTTTCGTCTCACAGTGCTAGGGATTGCACCGCATCTTATGACAGTCTTACATTAGGAGGAGGAGAAGGGCCAAAAGGGACACGTCGGGAGAAGATACTGATAGAATTGCCGACATGCCGGAATATGAACCCACAGACTACTTGGGCCAATCAATGACTTGTCGACCAGGCCTAAGATTGATGCTAGGCTAAATATTGTTAATGGAATGACTCTTTGCTTATCCCAGCTTATTCTTAATAATCTTTGACTGGCTTACAATGGATTGCTGCTATACATCACTTAAAGACTCGGTAAGGAAGGGAAATGAAGCCAGCACATGTGCGTTGTTGACAGTACGCGACTCAAGGTAATTCTTCCCTACTCGGATAATGTAAATAGAACCTAGAGGGTATCGGAAATGATTTTCATAGCCAGCCCATGTAATGGAAAAAGCTATCTCGCGCGCGCGTCGGGCAAAGGGGTATTGTCAACAGCTTTGGCCTGAGGTCTTTTTTTCACCGTCCGCCCTTCCTCGCTATCTCTATAGCTACCCATCAGCGACATGTCTTCTGTAGTCATGAAGTAGAAGATATTCACGCGCTTTGACGCTTGAGGCCCTTCAAGAACAGGTAAAACTTTTGTTCATCATAAGTCTAGAAATATGGTACCAGATTAACTTGTCCAAATCAGACACAATCTAATGGCTTGATAGACCGATTCTGATCCAAACAAAACATTCGAGATCGTGCTCTATGTAGATTTACCGGTGGGTTTTATTGTACGCCAGAAATGTCTTGTTTCAGTGACTTGGTAGCTTTATTTCAATCTGTGCCAGACTAATCCACGTTCTTTATATATGCTCGAGTTAAACAATCTCAAGATTGAAGTAGCCACCATGGCTAGGCAGGCGTTTCATAGTACCAGGACTATGAAATTTCGGTTCCAAAATGTTACAAGGTCCAACAAATCTATATCGCGACCCAGCTTTCCGTAAAACAGCGAAACTAGGAAATCCTAGGAGGCTGAAAATTTGATCCCCTTCTCGCACACCTATTGGCCCAACACCCAGGAAAGTCTCATTGGTCTGAAAGGCCACCATACTTCTGTCCATTGCAAGGGCCGATGATACCCAAGCTCGAGCCTTTTCACGCATCTGCAGGCTTACCATGTGTTCGTTTAATCTAATTTGAAAGTTATTCTCTAATCCGCGAGTATTTTCAAGTGTGATTCCCATCAGGTAACTCGGGCAAGAACCCCCCAGGAACGTCTCCATACTTTGTGCAAACTCCAACAACAGGACGAAGTGCCATATATCATTAACGTAAGTCTCATTTGTGATTCCCAGTGCGAGGCGGAAGAAGGACCACAGATGGCCAAATCTCGTTTCCGAGTCTTTGAGCAGCTCCACAATCAGGTGTTCGTTTTCTCTAGAGAAAAGGGGGCACAATGTCGGTCCTAATCGCGACACAACCAGGCATCGGGCGCCACTCAAGCCCAGTATCAATCCGCAAATACTTGGGCTGTTCAATTTGCATGCCTTTTCTTCTGGAACAAGCTTGGCAAACGTATCCCAAGAAGCATGCCAAACATTTTTCGACGCCGCTGGGTAATTTGGGACCCAAGATGGAAGACCGAAATCACTTCCAACTCCTGCTAAATATAGAAATCTAAGCGCGGTGCCGTTTAGCCTTTTTGATTCCTCCAACAGAAGTGACGTGAAATCCAGGTAAAGGCTATTCACCGTCATCCGGTTGCTGTAGTCCACCTTCAACCTGCTCTTAATTCGGGGGTTAAGCAGCCCAAGAATACCATAAACGTGATCTTTTAGTTCAGTGGCTTCAAAGGGGAACCTTGTAAGGTATTCGAGCCGTTGAACCTCAAGTTTTCGGTAGTCTTCGGCTGTTTGAGGTAGCCTCTGGGCTCGGTACACCGTCGAATACAACATGGCGACTCTGACAAGATGCTGTATGGGGTCCTGGCCCACATGTCCTGGGAGCCCAAATAGCCTCCAGAGCCTCGTTGGGATGAAATCTGGTATTTTGTCGTTTCCCATCAGCTGCGCTCTGAGCCTTCCTAATACGAAAAGCGCGTTGAATATGTTGGCTCCGGACACGGCTGTAGACGGACAGCTAAACACGAGGGCTGGCGCAAGGACCTGTTCTTGCAGTGTCCATACTCGCCTCCAGTAAGGCAGTGAGTTGAGAAAGAATATGGCATCCCAGACTGGGTTGCCAACTTGGTCCCCCTCTGGTGTGTTTTCCTCGATTTGCCAAAGGTACGGGTGGTTTTTGAGCCAATGTAAATCCGGGAGTATTTTCGGGTCATATTTCGCGGCTTGGAACTCCCCTACAAAATGACACAGCATTTTAAGAGCGAGACTGGTCTTCTGGTCCTCACTACCCAGCCAGGCCATGACCAGGTCGGGACAGGAGTATACACTTTCCATGAGTCGGACTTGGCTACTAATTTCATCGGTGTCATTTTGGTTGATACACAGGGCATCAGCCCAGATTCTCATCGAAGACGGATCGCGGTCTGGGTTGAAACTCCTCCAGTGCCTTCCAAAATTTCTCACTGCAGCCTTGAGGTTGGCAGTAACCGGGACCATCATTCCATTGACTATAATGGTCTCTTTGTTCGCAGCATCACCCCATACGTAAGAGAGAGCCGAGTATCGAGGTTTTTCGAGCAAAGACACGACACTGAGCTGGCACACTATTGGTTCTTCGGTAGACAAGACCTCAATGAGGCGAATTTCTTGGCGGAACACATTCAGAGGCCGATAGATGGACGTTCCCTCCGCTGAAGTAGGTTTTATTATCGATATTCTGCGGGCTCAGGTTCTGTTGTTTTGCCTTTGGTAGAATAATGTTACCTCAATCAAGATCGCATGCGAGTCGTGGGATTTCTGTGTTGCGAGATTGGGCTGAATGCTAGGCTGAAACTCGTGATCAGCCACGATCAGGCAAAAAGTGAGCGCCGCGCCATGCTGCCCGGGTGCCTTCTTTTCTTTGGTCTGAGTGTGTACCAGCCTGGAAACAAATCGGCAAGCCTGGTTCGGGAAGCAGGGGACAAATAATTGATTCTCCGTCAATTAAATGCCCGGTGATAATACGAGAAGCGCATACTTGCTCTGAGCATCCTTCGCTGTGCGCCGCAATCACGAGCGTAGAGGGATACATTCTATGACCCTTGACGATCACGACATCTACAATTGAGCGACTTCACCTCGGTTTCGCCATAAGCAGGTGGATCGGAGAAGCGACGGAATCGAAAAGGTAGCGGGTTAGAGAACAGACCATCCATGCATTGAGTATCTAGCCAAAGTCATACTACAAGAACATTAAATTATTAAGTGTTAGAATGCCCAACATCCATGCCATATACATTTTCACCCCATATAGCCATTCAAATCAACGTCGCAGACAAAACATGGACGCTTAAGCAACGATGAAGGTGCCGAGGAGCAGGGCGCCAACCGCGACGGCCATCTTGCTGACACCGAAGCTGGAGGCAGCGCCGCCCTTGTCGCTGTTGCTGCTGCCAGAGGTGCTGGAGCCGGTGGCAGAAGAAGCAGTCTTTGTTCCGGTCGCAGAGGTCGAGGAGCTGCCGCCAACGACGGAGGCCGTGAGGGAGGCGGGGAGGTCGACCTTGGTGCCGGTGGCCTTCCTACTGTCGTCGGTGGTGTTGCCGCTGCAGAAGGGGAACTGGTCGGGGACCTTGTGCACCTTGTTCATGCAGTTCTTGAAGTCGCCGACGGTCTGGTCGACGATGAGGCAGGAGAGGCCGCAGTTGTTGTAGTAGCTGACGACGTCGGAGCCCTTGCAGCAGTCCTCCATGAAGCCAATGTACTCCTGGGTGTAGGGGACGCCGCAGACGATGTCGCTCTCGCCGGGTTGGCTGTAGAGGGTGGAGGCGCACTGGCTGGTGGGAGCAGCAGAGCTGCTGCTGCTGGTAGCGGAGACAGTGGAAGACATTTTGGGAAGATGATCGCTAGGCTGGTCGACTGAGTGGCTGATAGGGATCGAGACGCGTCTGGGATAACGAGCGAGCGAGTGTCGATGAACGAATGGACGAGCGAGAGAAGAGCTGACTTGGGGGATGGGGAGAAAAAGAAGAAAGCTGAACCGACGCAAAACTCTTCCAACCGGAGCAAAACGAGCACGGCCAACAGACCACCCACACGGCCAATGGCACCAGTGCTCCGAACGCGAGATTTGGTTTGATTGCAGTACCAGGTTCCGCCGTTCCTACTGGCCAAAGCGAGCACAACGGCCCACGTTCCGGCCAAGATTACCAGCTCCAGCTTTTACGAGCGTCATTGTGATGTTGATGTCGCCCTGAAGCGGCTTAGTCTGACCCCTAAATATAGCCCCCTCGCAAGAAATGAGAATCAGGAGCTCTTCCCCAGCTCAAGCTACCGGTAGGTAGTGGCGGGATCGAGCTGTCCCTGTCCATGATCGATCATATGCTTCAACGATTCCCGGGGCCTCAAAAAGATCAATCCCAAATTACCATGGGTCAGAGGAGCCGTGTGAAGGAAGATCGAATCTTGATGGGCTTTTCCGCATCGCATGGACGCTTGTGCATGTGAATAGAGACCAGGCACCGATCATCAGAGCTGACCCCCTAAAACCTCGTATTCCTCGCTCTCCAATCACATCGCCAACTAGGCCGCTTTGTCAGCCAGTCTATTGACGGAAGCCCCAGACAGCTGAATCAGACCCATTGAAATGAAAACGCGAACTACGCCACAGCTTCAGCCCTGTTCACTGGACTATTACCCTATAACCAGGTCCTATTTTGCCTTCATCTATGTACTCTCCTTCATTGCCTTGATAGTGAGGATTGTTCTGATAGGAGGACAATAGCTTCCGTGATCGGAATGCCTAGGGCTCTGCTGAGGGGATGGGAATTAATTCGTGATTAATACACAAGTTTCATACTGAAACACAGGCCTCACCGGATTCAAATTCTTAGCCATAAAACAAACTCCACATCCTGTTGTAAACCAAACTAATGATCCTGATGTCGTAGATAACTGCCCTTCAGATAAGTTTTGCCTAGTATCTCGCTTTATCACACGAGAAGGACACATTCTATGTTGTAAGCAATAATATGTACAAAGAAGGGGGGAATATCCAAAGTCTTGGATGTTTGTATTTCAAAGTCTAAACCAGATCCATGTATTCGTCCAAATTGATAATCTATACAGGCCAAGATATGCAAATAGGAAAGTCAACTTTTGGTTGGGCAAGAAAATCAACCTCAAGCAAGCATCTCCTGCCTCCTCCTGGCAAACTCTAGCAGCGAATTCACATCGTCATGATGGAACCGGTCCCTAAGCTGCATGGAATGCAGATCACAGAAACGATGGTACGGGTCCTTCTCCCCGTGCAGTTCAAACTTCTTCCCGGCCGGCGTTTCTGCCAAAAGCCCCCCCTTGACACACGCCGCGCATATGCGCAGCGACCTCCACCCCCACCAGCGCTTGTTCTTGCCCTGGCCCATGCCGCCCTGCTGGCAACCCGGCAGTCTGCTGAACCGCATGATGGTGCTCTCGAGGCGGCTCAGGTCTCCCAGTATCAGCCCCTCCGTCAGCAGCTTTTCATGGCGCCGAAAGAAGGGGTGGTAAGCGTTCATCCAACAAGCGAATGATGACTTCTTCCCGACATCGTTCTTCACCTTGTAGTACTTTTCACCACCCAAGGGCTTGATCTTGCCTATGAAGCATCCTTCACATACGCCGTAGCCACGGGGGTTGTTCGGGGTGGTGTACCACTTGAGTCCCACGGTGCCTTGGGCGTAGCAACGCCTGTCTGTCCCGTGAACGAGGCGCATGATCTCAGCACGATTGTATTCGATGTCTGCAGTCTCCGAGGTCTGGTTTCCTTTGAGACTGGCCATGCACTGCGGCTTGACGGGCAGCCTGTCACCCAATGTAAAGGAACCTTCCCTGTCTGTTTTATAGACGTGATCGAAGTAGCAGGCTTCGCAAATGTATAGGTCTCTGGTCAGACTCTTGGTATACTTGTACCACCAGCCACCATCGGCATCATCACCGTTGGCATTCTTTCGCTGTTGGGAGCAGCCGGCGAATCGAATACGAATCTGCATCAGCTCCGCGAAATGGTCCCAATCATCATTCTCCAAAAGAGCATCCACCATACGCTGAGTGTAGTGGAATGCCCCGTGGCAAATGGAGGGGCCAGGGGTGTCATCATGGGACCAGTATTTGGAGAAGCGAGTACCACCGAAATGCTTCTGGCGGCATTCTTGGCATATCCTCATACCTGGGATGGACTGTGTCGAGAACCAGCTCACACCAGAAGTGGGGAAGGCATCACCAGGACAATATTGGGGGACCTTCTTACGCTGCATGGTCTTCAAAAAGGAGAGAAATTCATCGGCAGTGTGTACTTTGCTCCAGCGCTGGTCCATGTGTGGGATGGCGCCGAGATGGCACCTGAGCGACAAGCCGGTGCTGGGTCTGTACTTGATGAAGTCACGGCGCCACTGCTGGGTTTCGTATATGCGATCGACGTAGCACCGGCCACATATCACAAAATGCGGTGCCGAGGGGTGGATGACCCAGTCTATGGGCACAGAGATGGCATCCTTGACGCAGCGCTCTGTCGGTGAGATGCCGGAAGGGTGGGTGGCTGGGAGACCGTCACTGCTGATGTCGTGGACAGGCGGCGGCGCATGGGCCTCGGCGATCTCTTGGTAGGGCGGTGGGCCGAGCTCGGTGGCTTCGTAGATGTCGGAATCTTTCGAATCATTGCTGTATTGTGCTTCTTTGGTGTCTTGCGACGTTGTGGGTTCTGGTTGCTCGCTCGATTCTCTGGTGGATGTTCTCCTCTCTCTCCTTTCTCGAGGCTCTCTGGGCTCTCTGGGCTCTCTGGGCTCTCTCAGCACCCTAGACTCCCTAGACGACCGGAGTTCTGGATACTCCCTCGATTCTCGGGATCCTCTCCTTTCTCGGGCCTCCCTAGGCACCCTGGACTGCCTGTGCTCTCTAGGTTCTGGCTGCTCCCTCGATTCCCTGGATGCTCTCCTCTCTCGAGGTTCTCTGGGCTCTCTGGGCTCCCTAGGTTCTCGATAGTCCCTATGCTCTCGGGCTTCTCTAGGTTCTCGGGCTTCCCTAGGCTCCCTGTGTTCCCTGCGGTCTCTTTGGACCCGCGACTCTCTGGACCCTCTCCTCTCTCGAGTCTCTCGAGGTTCCGGATCGTCTCTGGTCTCACGGGGGTCCCTGAATTCCCTGGAATCCCTATCGAATTCCCGGAGCTCCCTTTCGGCCTCCCTATAATCCGTAGTGGCGTCCCTGGAATTTCTGACGGCGTCCCTAGAATTTCTGGCGCGATCCCTGGAACCGGAGGTCGTGTCCCTGGCATCTGGGCTCCGATCTCTGGCGTCTCTGCTCGAGTCTCTGGCGCCCCTGCTGCGCTCCCGGGTGCTCCTGGGTCTTCGGCCAGAGGTGGTTCCCTCTCTCCAGGTTCCTGGAATGTCTCTTATGCTGGCGTTGTCACGGAAGCTGGCGTTGTCCCGAATGCTTGCGTTATCCCGAATGCTGGCGTTGTCCCGAATGCTGACGTTGTCCCGAATGCTGATGGCGTCCCGAATGCTTGCGTTGTCCCGGAAGCTCGCATTGTCCCGGATGGTGGCGTTGTCCAGGAAGCTCGCATTGTCCCGGAGGGTGGCGCTGTCCAAGAAGCTGACAGTGCTGTCCGCATATCTTGGATCCCGGAATGGGTCCCTTGGATCCCTTGGATCCCTAGACTCTCTAGAGTCTCTAGGCTCTCTGGATTCTCTAGGCTCTCTGGCGTCTTTGGGCTCTCTGAATTCTCCAGAATCCGGTTCTGGCTGGCGAGGGGAAGCGCGGGTCTCACCGCGTGGCTTGGCCTCCTTGGAGCTCAGGTCGGTGAAGAGGTTGAAGAGCTGTTCCATGGCAGGCGAGGAATGGTGAAGGCGATGGGGACGGGGACGCTTCCAGACGGGCTGGCAGCATCTCTCTTAGCGTAAGCGGGAATTGGAAAAAAAGAGGAGGAGGGTCGAGAGAATGGCAAAACATTCTTCTGGATTAACGCCATGGTCCAATGCATGCCGGGGGAGTTGTACAACTGTTCAACAGTGGGTTGGCGGTGGAGTTTCCCCGACGATCCAGTTGCCAATCGTGACGGCGCACCACGGGCGGGACCAGGCCAGCCGCCCCGTGATTGGCCGGAGCAGAGGAGCGGTCTGCCCTGAGGCCCACTGGACGCTGTGCGCTGAGCAGGCATCGGGCAGCGCGCCTCTGCCCATTGGGCTCGCACCCCAATTCGTGCCCGCCGATAGCAGGGAAAAGGCTTCTTCGCGTAGGGATGCACCTGCGCCGCCTGCGAACCGCGAGTTTCAGTGGTTGGTGACTCAGAGGCTGGCTGCGAGTGCGCAGTATTTCACGCGACTCGCCTCGGCTTAGGCACCAGTGAGGGTGATCACGTGCGTGTTTGCCCCAAAACGGCGGTGATTAGTCAGCTTAGCAGCTGCTTATTTGGGCCGCATCCGCCGTTTTCTGCATTTCGTGCGTCAATAGCTGCCACGACTCGCATCCTCTTGGGTAGGCTGCTGACTTGGGCTGCACTGCATTAAATCTCGATGGAAAAGGACCCGAATCTGACCTCATGACTGCTCATTACGACATGTAAGCCGGGGAACCTAGTATTTGGTCTTATTGCTGCGTATTCTCGCTTGACGGAACGTTGGCGGGGTGAGCAGGGATGTAGGGTAGCATCTTATTCTTGGTATCGTCGATCCTTATCGGAGCACATAGACCCTCTCATCAACATCCAGACCTTGTACCATTTCGCCCCTCATTGCTCCGTACACATATGCGTCGCCTACGACCCGGTAGAAATCCCCATCGGGGCGCAAAACTGTGCATCGCCGTGAGCCGTAGAGCACAACAACCACGTCTTCAGGTTGGGTGTCGTACGGCCCAACGCCTGAAAACCCATTCTCAGTTGTGAAAAACGTGCGATTACTAAGGGCTCTGCCTGCTTTTTCATAGAACGGCCTTGTATACTCCTTGTATCTCATATGAAAGGGAATATCGGGTAGAAATCCCGCGGGCAGCGCTTCCTTTGTGAGGTATACCCGGCCCCTCACACCGAACTCGTCACGGGCAGGAGAGATGTTCACCCCAAAGGGTGCGTCCGAATCCAAGTCCAGGATGAGTGTTCGCCAAAAGGTCTCGAATGCGTCTCCGTATAGGCTCGATGCATACGCCATTAGGCTGCTCACAAATTCACCCTGACCGAGGTCCTCGACTAGCTGCCTGAAGTTGGCTGGATTGCTGCCGGGAGGGAGTTTCTCTAGGTCTCGCATCGGCCCGATGACAAATCCAATATTGCCTATTGGAACACCCGTGACAATCATTGATTCCGTTTCCATATCGAATTGCACGTCCGTATCCACTCCTTTCGATGCCTGCCAAGTTTGGTCGTCGAACAACATGGTCCCCCACATGTCGAGAGCATGGTGTTGACTGTGAACTTCAAATGTCCAGCTCGGGACAGATGAGCAGATGGTTCTTCTGTTCATGTTGATCTCAAGATATCTCAAATCCTTATCTCGCTCGACCAAGAATTTGACAAACTCCATCATTGTTCTGCGAAGCGGTCTTGAATAATTGGGCAGGAAGATTTGGTCTTCATTCCGTGCCAAGCCCAACAAAGCGTAGAGCTTGTCTCTTTCATCTGTGGCCTGGTAATTTCTGGTAACGTAAAGCAGGAACTGTATCTTAGGCGGATCAGCTCTCGTGATCGCCCCATTGAAGGCTGATATCACCTGTAGCATGTTGACTCCTGGAGGGTGGCCGTTGTTTCGGCGAAACATGGAACCTAATGGTTCTGGCACCTCGCCTGTAGCAAAGTCGATCATTTTCCCTGACTCCAAGAACAGGTAAATTAGTAAGCCACAAGTGAGTGCATATTCTCTCATATCGAATCTTGAGGCGCCGCAATAGAATGTACAGGGCCATGTTTCTATTCCTCGGACGGCTAGTTCTTGGATCACCCATACTCGGCTCCAGTATGGCCGCTCGAAGAATGCCCAGAGAGCGTCCCATGGCATTTCCGTCGTGCGGAATCCTATTCTGTCGAGACGGCCTAGCAGATTCTCTCCTTCAACCCGGTATATCTCGTCCAAGTCGGCATGCGTCAGAAGCCTCCCTAGGGCTTTGATAATGTTCACAGCCTCGTCACTGTTATCCGCAAAATCACCAGTCCACGCAATGACACAAGATGCTTGAGAGTAAATCCTAGTCATCCTTTGTACCTGTATTGCCTTTTCATCGTTGTCAGATTGATTAATGCACAATGCGTCGACCCAAAGTGTTCGTGAACATCTGGGATCACGAAGGCGATGCAAAGCAGCGTGGAGGTTGGATGTCACGCTGAACTGGGCTCCTCCCAACAAGATTTGCCTCCGATCCTGTTGATCTCCCCACAGATAAGACAGTGCCTCATATGATGGATTATCATCTAGCGCTGAATGTACGAGTATACACCGAACTTGTTCGTCTTCAAGGCCAGGCATCAACTCCAAGAGCCTGAACTCTGAGCTACCCGGATCTAGAGGTGAGTAATTATAGTCTTTTGGGTGAATTCTTTTGGTCTGGCTTTGTGACTCCCGATCTGGAAAATCTGGTAGTGACATCTTGCCTCTTTCGTAACGAATAGGCTATAGCTTCCGACTTAATTATTATATATCGAGACGGTATCCTGGGAAAGCAATATACTTGAATAATTGAATGAATAAAGAGCTATTCTTGATGCCTTATTTAAAAGAGCGAGCGGGGTTTGCTTATACAGCCACTCAGCCGCACGAGTGAATACTTGCGCTCTTTCATGATAGGGTGGCTCAATACAGCCCATGGCACGTGAATTCCATCACCATAAGCAGAGGAGCGCTTGGCAATTGTTTAAATTGATTCATTTGGTATTTTCAAGGTAGATTGAGCTTTGGCAGCGGCCTTTTATGCCTGTCAAAGAGCCAAGTATATACAAACTTCGAAGAATATTGCCTTCCAGCAATTGAAATGAACATGAGACGGATTAAGAGATAGTAGGGTCGATCCATCTTTCTGCCTTCAATTGCGAGCTGCTATCACCTATTTGCGAACTAGCTGGGGCAAGCTGTGCAGCAAGCTGTAACTTGGACACAACAAAATGTGCTCTCAACGCATGAACAACAGCACTGAGGCAACCATCAGTTTTTGGGCATCTGGTTATTATGAGGCAGTTCTTACACATTCCTTCATGTCTTGGCTTCTCTGCTGTCCGTATCTGTCATTTTCCTCGTTACCACCACGAAGATGGAGTTGCCGCTGATCTGATGTCTTTATCTCCATTGATTGATATGGAGCCTGGACGAAATAAATAAATTGGACATGTTAGCTTAAAATAACTGTTGTTAGAGTATGGTTATATCTCTTACTGGCTGAGTAGCCGTGGTTATCTTTCCTGTCACAGAAGCCATCGCTTTGCTGGGGTCATACAACGTTGGCGTTACCGTGATGCTTAATGTAGGTAGATAGATTTATCGGGGCTCGTCTTCTTTTCCGTTTTTTTGCTGCTTTTATTTTACCAGGTATGAGAGTAATAAAGTCACCGGGGTTCATCGCCGCACTCAGCTCGTCTACAGTAGGGTTACGATTGGCTCGTCAATAAGTAGGCTGGTTTCTGGGCAAGCTGTTGAAAAAAAAAAGCCACGCCAAGAACGAAAAAGCCCCAGCAAGGCAGAATTAACGGCATCATACATATACGTGCGAATACGGAAGGAGGCCATATCTGGTTATTTTCTAGGGAGATCACGAAACATAGAAAGCTGGGACTGACCTTCTTTCAATCGATTGATGTAGCAGAGAGAACTTGACGATACGAGGATAAGTGCAGTCACTCATGTCCGAAACATCAATGGCCTCCTCTGCAGAAAAAAAGCCGGTGGCTTGATATCGATGATTCGTCGCTCACCCGGGATTGGTTCAAGAGGGCGTGGATGATGCATGAAGTTTCTACCTAGGTAGGCTAAGGATATGCGATTCGTCGATGGCCGTCAATCAGCCCCTAGTGAGGTCTATGGATGGTTTCGAGAGGCCACCCAAAGCTGTTGCCCAAGGCATTGGGAATATTAGCGCTATATGGGCACTAGAAATGTGTAATGAAGTACAGGAAGTGTGAGATCTAAGATGTGGGAACCAACAGAAATAAGGGATGTATACCCCCTTGACGAATCTGGACTAGTTAAGCCTACTTGAGGACTATCCCTCCAGCATTTGTATTCGAGTATCAGCATTTATATGTAAAAGTCACTCAGTTCTTGACCTTACTTGCATGGGCCAGGGCATCGGTCGTGACCGGTTAGTTCCAAGTTGGGTATGTCCGATCTGCTGTCTCCTCAAATAGAATACAATTTAATTCTCGACATTCCCGCTCTTTTGGCCTACAGGCAACGTGTCTCCTTTCGAAATGACTTGATAGCCACTTACCTATGATCCGGGTGCGTTTAATCAATCTTATTACGTTTGTTAATGGGTGAGAAGTGGCCAGTTCTCAAAAACCAAAAACCTCTCCACAGATATCGCACCAAATACTGAAAACGTGGCCATAACATTTAAATTTTTACAGAAGCGAGTGCGAAAGTACCTATTCCAAATTTCATACATGCCTTGTAGCGTACTACACAAGCTAAATAAGTAGGTGTGATCATGATACCCCGGTCCTCATGTGCTTTTTCTGGTTCATCAATATTCTTGGCACGGCAATAACACGTATTCTGTATTGGAGATTCTTAGATTAGTGATTGTGCAATATATATGAGCCCTGAAATAGGCACCCGCGCCCTTGTTCGCGTGCAAAGGTCTAATGGAAGGGACTTTGGTTGCATTAGATATGTGAGTTATCGGAGCCTTAGCGTTCTGATATTGCTGCCTGGTTTTCTTTCTCCAATTTTACTTTGAATGACTCTTGTTCTCGTGATTCTCGTCATGATGATATCGGCCCTTTGCTATATCTTCACCTTTATACTTCTGTGAATTAACTTCAACCTGAATAAAGCGGTAAATAATCAAGAGCTTGGCCTCATTATAATCTAATCCCGCCTACTGCTCGGCTCGCGCGCCCATATAAGACGATTCAAGAATGAATGGAGGGTCTAATTCTCACGGAGCAATCTACGCGAGCTCATATGAATATGACAATAACGAAGCCGAGGCCTCGTCGAAGGCCATGCTGAAAGGCAGTCAGAATACCAAGGATACACGCTCCGCCTCTCCATCGGCATACGAAAATGATCAGCAGGGCGAAACCGCAAAGCATGGAAACAGCTTTCGTACTCCAGTCCACCGGAATTTTGACAAATATGGCAACGAAGCAGGCGGCCCTTCAACCCAGCTCGAGCCAGCTGTTCAAGAGCCATCACCGGTCACTTCTCTAACACCTGATACACCGTTGGGACAGCAAGACACTATTAAAAGCACAAGGGATAACGCTCGTTCCCACAACCCAAAATATCATAGCTACAATGACTATGGAAATGAGAAAGGTGGCCCCTCGAGTCATAAGCGTCACCCGGGGCCGCGGGATTCCAAAAGAAAGTCTCACAAGCCTCGAAAACCGGATGAGAGTAAGAAGAGAATCTCGCAGGCTCACGGCCCGGTATATCAGAGCTACAATGAATATGGCAATGACGGTGGTGGTGCCCCGCCTCGACCTATGCCAGGGCCCAACACCAGAGATCAGAGTTTCGGGACCCCTCTAGTGTCTCTCGTGCCTGACCAGCAACCTGGAAGAAACAAACGAGGAGCAGCTTCGGGAGGGCCCCCTTACAAGAGCTTCCAACACCACGACCAAGACCACGATGAGTGGGGCACGTCCTGGCATCCAAGCCCAGCTGAAGCTCCGGCCGACGATGGGCCTCCATTTGCAGATGGAAATAGCTGGGTCTATTTCAAACTGGCCCTCCACGTGGTAGGAATGTTGGTTTCTCTTGCCTCTTTAATCTTGAGTTTTACCTTCATTCCCCATAAGCGCTACCTTGGAGACTTGATAGCAATTTCATGCCCAGTTGTAAGCCATCCTTCTCCACAAGCCTCCCAAGTATTGTGTCTAACATCTTTTGAATAGCCCGGAGTCGCTCTCATATTGGGCGTTGGTGAGTTGGCCGTTCGAATCGTCTACGAATACACGAGAAAGCCCGGCCGCGGAGCTGCTTCCAAAGGGATCCATCCAGCTGGCCATGTCGCCGTGTGCCTAGTTCTTTGGCTAGCCAGTATCGTCGTTCTGTATTTCTTGACAACATACATTAAGGCCACCGATAATTACTGCTATGCACCGTTCGATAAAACAATATTTACAAATTTTTGGTGGGGTGTGTGCCAGGGAGAATGGGACGGTCAACGGTCATCTGCAGTGGCCCTTGCTGCGTTGACGGCTGTGATCTGGCTTATCTACTTTTTTCTGTTCATCTTCGCTTGCATTGACACCTCTAAGCGAAGTGAGAAAAGGGCGGGGAAAATAACAGAAAAGAGACCGACGCCGTGATTTCATCTTCAGCGGCTGTCTCCGAAACAAGTCGACCGCATCATGGGCTGTACTATGATCATATGTTAGTAGATAGAAGGCTTCTATCCACTACATTTTGCACCTCTTGTCTGAAGCCCAGGCTACTGAAGATCAATCTATGTTACCCTTGCTCGAACTACATTGTGCTCAGATATGTGACTGAAATTTGTTGACCATCTACAGGGAGCGATAGCAGCTGATTTATTCTTTGATTGCATTTGTTCTGCTATGCTTAATAGAGGATATATAAGGCAATGCAGGATAGCTCCTACTAAGCTTGCAAGGCGAGGTATTCTGAAGACTAGAGAAACATAGACTCATAGGGATGGAAACCAGCACATCTCTCTCGGCATTTTTTTTCTTTGTTTGTAGATTCGACTCTTCATTTGATTCCTTTGTCTTTTGTCTTTCTGAAAAGCAAGTACCAGGTTGAATAGGATACGGCTACAGCCCCTACTGCCGAAACAACAAACATCCAAATGTTTGGCGAGAAAGTGATCAGTTTGTTTTCATCTAGTTCCATTAAGTTCATTCCCCAGAAGCCCTTTAGGTCAAATAATATCAGCTGTGTCCGAGAGCGATCAAGGTTAGATACTTACAGAAACGAATGTTACAGGAAGGAAAAACAAGGTGAGGTTGGTGACAAACCTGGTCAAGTCCTTGGACTCATCACGGGCCTCTTCAAGAAGGTCCTCGTTGAGTTTTAGCTGCAAGATGTTGACTAAATTATTGGCCTTGAGAAAAGAAGCGAAATAAAGCATTAGAGTATTGATGCAATATTTTGAGGAATTCAGGGCCATTTTTAGTATACTCACCGTTTGTATCTCGTTTCGCACCCTCTCAGTGAAAGCATTGGCGCGTTCCTTTAGGCTCTCAAGGAAACTGCTGGAAAATTGTATACCTGCGACAACATTCTCTAGACGCATAGCGCCGCTGGTCAAACAATCGACAGAGCGAGATTGCGTCTCGGCCCGTAGCAAAGCCATGCTGGCTGTTTTCATTGCGACACTGATCGTTTCGGTCATGTGAAGGGTGTGACGGGAGAGCTCGGCCAGCTCTTCTGGGTGGTCATCCGAAATACCACCATCTTCATGCGTAGGGTCAAGTTCCATTCTGCGTTTCACAACTCGACGGCGTGTCTGGTGGGATATCACTTAGTCTACTGGAGCTTTTCTGTGATTGTTCTGCTCACCTTTTCAATTGTACGAATCGGCATTCGGAACTTCCAGAGCGCCCTGTCGAATTGCCAGACAATGACACCAAGCATAGCGTCAAAAACGGCATATGGGCTCTCTCTGATGTTACCGAGCGTATAATTTCTCAGTCCTTCAACGATCTCAGTCTTGATGTCTGCAGCATCGTCATAACACACCAAAACACAAGAAACCTTGTTGGTGAAGCGGTTTTTGGACCACAGAACAGAGAAGGACAAAAACGACCAGCTGAAATCGGTGACACCTTCACCGTAGTTTTCAGCCAGAAACTTTATTAAGAAGCGACTTCCATAGCCTGATGAAAAAAATTAGTAACCGCAAGAAATAAAAGCTCTCTATGGGCACATACTATACCCATCCTGGGTCTCGGACCGGACCAGCTGCCGGCTGCTGAAGAAGCCATTGGAGTCCCATGCCGAAGTCGTCAAGAAGAATGGCTCAAGGTGAAGTTTGTCAGTAAGCTCCCGACATAAGACAGGATCGTCGAGCAAGGCTTGCCCTTGGCCCTTTCTTTTTCGAGAGATGGGCGGGAGAAAGCTTTGAGGCCTGTCAATATAATGCGATAACATGCATGATTTTTGTATGGACAACTGACTAGATTTGAAGCTCATCATCCTGTACTTTAGTGTCAGATAAGGAGAGAAAACTGTTCGTATGTCTACATGTGACTTACCTCTACAAGATGAGGCGATACATGGCCAATAAGGTGACCGACGGTGGCGGAGTCTGACTGAGGGAAACTTGTCCCTTGGGCCGCACTTTTCAGACTTTGATGAAATGGAAACAATGAGCGCTGAGTATAAGAGCTTTACGTTGTTTTCTGTCTGGAGATCAAGCTTACCCGAATCGCACCCGTTCTACAGTGTGCTCTCTCATCTGCAGCTTTTCATTTACGGTGGGTGGTGTGGGGAGCGGCGCGGTCGACACGGATCCGGAGAAGCTCATCATGGCGCATTCCGGGTGTCGACAAAGCTCATGGTAGAGAGGTGGGTAGGTGGGCACAGCATCAAAGGAACCAACATTTACTTCTTTGCATTCATTGATTTATCGGGGGTTTAACTCTTGTTATGAACACTGGCTGCCTGACTTGCAGGGATGGGACCTAAGCCTTCGGTAATTCACAAAGCACAATTGTGTTGTGTGATACCGAACCAACATTGGTGATCCCCTGCAAGGCGTTCTTCGGTACCCAGTTGCCAGTCTTCGTCCAAAGCATTGGTCAACCATTGCTCAGCCACCATGGACATATCCTCGTTGCTCGTTCTCCCGAGGAGAAAAAAAAAGAAAGAAATGGCGTGACACCTATGCCGAAATCCTGGGCAACCCTGCCTCCCCCAAGAGTGCAAATTTCCTTCGTATCCACGCCTTAATGTGCCCTTCTCCCACTTCGACTTCTGGCCGAAGCCTGAGCGACTCATATAGCAAGGGCTGCGGCAAACACAGCGATCCCGCCGTTGATCATCTGTCTGTGGACGGCATTCGAGGTTGATGTAGGATTCGGTACAGTGGCGATAGTAAACCCACTGCCCGATGAGTCGGTTCCAGTGGACGTGGTTGTGGGAGGCGCTGAAGTCGGTGTAGATGTCTCACTGCTGGCTGCTGCTACTAGAGGCGTGGTGGTAAGCAGAAGAGCGGCGAGTAGCGAGAATTGAACCATTTTGAACGAATCTGGGTCGCTAGAGAGGCGAGTAAAGCATAAATCGAAGTTGAAGAGGGTGGCGCAAGATTGAACAGATGATGCGAAATAGGATGGATGCAGACGTTGAGGTTTTTGAAGAGCAGCCGTCCCCTTTCCTCACACCACGCGACGACAGGTTCTATCTCAGGATTCAGCAAGCGCTGGATGGGCCTACCGGAGCCTCTGGAAGGGTTGCAATTAGCGGTGGCTAACCGCTGACAGGGACCTGAGACGTCTCACATAAAGCAGTTTCTTGGTTCGTGGGTCAGTGAATCTTCTTCTGGATTGCTCTGCCCTGAAATGTGCACAATTCTAGGCCTAGACCGGGGATTATAATAATCCCGTTGAGATGCCGGAAGATGGGACTTTGTTGCCCGCTTCCAGAGCTTCTATTTACCTAGTAGATCTTATTGGGCTTGTATGTGTGCATTGCTGCGTCGATGTTTCTGCTGACCAGACAATTAAGCCTCCCGCACTCTATAGCATGACTTGATTCTACCTGATTTCGGTGCCCCAGCTTCCCTCCCAACTGACTGAGACGTATACTCTATACGTTCAGCTATGAATGATGAACTTCGGTCTCCGGACCTGTGAATTAGATGAAGCTACCCACAGGTTTAAGCCTCCCGCGGAATCATCCGGTGGCTGAGTTTTCGGCCGCTGTACCCGCTTCGGCTGTGTACGGCAGATCATCCCAGTCTAACTCGTGCAAATCTCAGCTCATCATCATCATCATCATCTCGTCGCCTTGTCATGCACATTTCACCTGGAACCAGATAGCTTGAGAGGCCAAGACCCGTGCCACCTTTTCGAAACCGACGTGTATGGAGCTTTTCCAATCGCTTTGCTCGTGTCAGCATGAGGCGGCACGCTGGCCCGTTGGACAAGCGGAAAAAGGTGACGCGGTGCCAATCCTGCTCCAAGCGGCGGATTAAGGTTAGAAACCCAACGGTTCAATTTTACATGATGATTGCGATCTAATTCGAGAAAACAGTGTGAGGGAGGCTTCCCGTGCGAGTACTGTATTCGGACCAAGAAGCAATGTCATCCTCCTGGTCCGTCTCCCCAGGAAATAGAATTTGCCATTGTCGGAAACTTGACGCGGCCGGATTATCAAACGCTGGCATCTCCTGCTCTGATCCCGAGACCTAATGAAAGCCTGTACCTGGATCATTTTGCACTCTTCGTGGAAAGATGCCAATTTACGAAGGGGTTTGCCACCGTATCCTCCGACCTCCTCCCTCTTATTTCTTCTTCAAAACCTTTGAAAGATTTAGCACTTGCAATTGGCGCATTGGAAGCCAGCAGGAGAGGATACTTGCACACACATCGTGGGGCAGACTCTCCGCAAGTTGCGTCTTTTGGATTTTACGGGAGATCGATCGAAGCGTTCCAGAAGCAGATACAGACCAGCCAGGGGATTGAGAAGGAGGATGTCCTTTGGACCACCCTTTTCCTCGGAATTTTCGATGTTCGTTCAAATCCCTTGGTATTGATTGGTTTTGGAAGCTGATTGATGGTGCAAGCTCATGTCTGAGAATTCCGGCGATGGTTGGGCAAACCACATGTCGTATGGCGTATCAAGAATTTTGCAAGCCGTGAAGCCTGTTGATGACCCATCACCGCTAAGGATGACGCTTCTTGACGCATTTAAGACCCTGGAGGCCAACCGTGCTATTCTGTACGGAAATGGCTCGTTCCTGGGTGAAGAATGCTGGTCGTCGCACCTCCCGAGGCCGATCACACAGCCCCCTGGCACAATGCCCAGCATCATACAACTAATGCTTGAAGTATCCAGCTTTAGTCAAAGGTAAAATATTACAATGTCGTAGACTTCACATGAACTAACTTTACTTTTAGATTTTTTGAAGGAATAGAGTCGATCGCGAGCGACGGCAGGCCTTTCCACCCATTCATAAGCGAGCTTGCAGTTGATGGTTGCCGTCTCCACGAGAAGCTAGAATCATGGTACAGTGAAACAGCACCCCGGAGAGACGAGTCTGATCCATATACCAAGCTTGCTTTGGCCATTTATCATGCTCTTGCCCTTTTCCTGGTTGGAAATTATGGGTACTATTCATGCTGGGAAGGTCAGAGACTCCCAAGCTTAAGTTTGCTCGAAGTGGAAAGTCATTCGAACAGAGTAATGAGCCTGTCTGTCTCTATTTTGGAGAATTCTCATATTTCAGGAACATTAATTTTATTCCCGCTGAGAGTAGCTGGCTTGTACTCTACAGAGGAACAACAGCGCGGAGAAATCTTAGGTTTGCTTGGGCGTATCCAACGACAAGGGTTCAATGTCGCCGAAAGAATACAAGGCGACTTGCGGCAATGCTGGAATTACCAAGACTCGCATAGCTCACTTCTTCGCATGATTGATAATGTCTCTGAGTACTGAGTCAATTTTTAGATATGGAAAGTAGATGTCGTCTTCAATTTGTGCTATCAAGTGAGAGGCAAAGAACGTATGCTAGTTAAATTATGCCCACACTAAGCCTTTCTGATTGAAGCTCAAAATCCATTGTAACTGATCCTACTCCTAACGGTTGTGAGGAAATCTAAATATGAATCTCATGAGATGGTTGAACTTGAAAGAGACTAGAGTGAGATCATATATGTGTTGGTAAGTTACTCAGCCTTGAGGTCGAAAAACTCGGTGATTACTTGAGTTCTCTCCACAGGAGCGAAGTAGTCATAACCAACTACAACATTGCAGGTGTTGACGAATACGGTCACGGGGATCACTCCCTGGTAAATGATGTTCCACTGTACGCATTGATCATTAGAGACAGGATCAGCGAGAAATATGCGGAGGGTTCTTACAGCGGCAATTTGCCCAGGCCAAAAGGTTCTTTTGACAACGCCGCTGAACACAGCCCCAGCCTGGACCAGGATATCTTCCTGGAAGATGGGGAAGTTTGAGTTCACATAACCCTGCCAGATGTATGGAGTTGTAGAGTTGGCGTTATACATTGTTAGGATGTTATCGACCTGACCATCTTGAGTGACGTTTGCATAGTTGAACAACGAGGTCCCGAACCCCTCATCGTTTGCTTGATCGACCCGAACGAAGCCTTTGGAAGGGGAGTTGAGTATGTATCCGGTTGTGATGTGAGACAGGTTTTGATTCCTGTTAACAGTTAGGTCGGAAACAAAGGAATCATATTTTCAAAAACACTGTGCTCTGTGTGACTTACCACTTATGCTGGACAAACTGAGTCTCAAATTCGGATTTGACCAGCGGCGGTTCTGGTTGCTTGAAATCGCTCGAAAAGGCAACAAGGGAGGATGGAAAAGGAGTACAGGAGTCAGCTAGCGCTGGCGAAACCACAAGGCTTGCAGCCACGGACAGACAGGTGTTGACCTTCATATTGAATGTATCAACTAGAAGTAGACGTAAGGTGGGGAAACTCTGTATGTTATTGCAGTCAAGATAGGATGTGACTTGGAACTGATCAAGAATACATCCCCAGCAGGAAAGTTCCTTTACTTATACATGTTTTTCTCAAAGCTCTGATTTTCATCAAGGCGTCTGCGTTCAAAGGATTCTTTTTTAGGAATGGTGGCCACGCAGAATATCTCCCGAGGCCAAGTAGTTGGTTCTGTGGAGCTGCGTTCATTTGATTCCTTTTTGGGCTTAAACGAGGTACACAGCCTCGCAATTCCAAAGCCTAGGAAACCTGGTGGACATCTTGCAGGGTGTACGCGCGGCAAATGAAGGAGGGATGGGCAAGATTTACTATTTTTTGGTGGCTGGATTACTACCGATTTTCACACACTACATGTTGTCTGGGAACATGAAGGGTTGAACTTGACCTTAGGAACCGAGACAAACAATTTGTGTAAGACATCAAGACAAAAGTGTATGAAATGTACTCTTTCAATATTATTCTTCCACCCCTTCTCTTCATTAGATTCCGACCACTCTCCAATACCAGCCCCTTTTCTTACCTTATCAGAGCTGCCTGCTGACAAGAGCGGATGAGGTCGATGGCAATGTCATGGCCAGCAGCGCACGCTTAGCTTCCCTTATGGACTGTGGAATCGCTGTGTCGTCCCTACCCCCCATCCTCGCAATCCTTTGCTGCTCTTTCGGCCACACAATCTTGCTCTCGTCTTCGAAATCCCACCAGCCTCTGCCTCCTCTGCTGAATATTGCGGCCCTCTTCTTCCACGAGGCTAGCCACCTCGTATCGGACGCTTCTTGAGACACGCCGACGATATCTTGCGGCCTCTGGGGGGTGGAGAAGGGCACCATTGCATCGATGCGAGCTTGGTCCCACATGACATACCCCATCTCACGCAAATGATGGCGATGAGGCTGATAGACGAAGCCCGAGCTCAGCTCGTCGAGATGTTCCCGTTCCCAGGCATCACTTGGCCCCGTGTCGGGATCGTTGAAGAACGGTCGCCTGATATATTCCTCCCGATCCTCGGCCGAGAACGCCGACAGTGTCGATGTACTTTCAACAGCAGACCTAGCCGTAAGTCTCAATGCTCTGTTGAGAAAATCAGGTCGGGCGAGGAAGTGGTCGGACGACAGCTGGGCGTATCGATCATCGTACGACTCTGCAGTTGAGATAGCATGTATTTTGACCAAGCCTTGTGACAGTACGCCCTGGAAGGAGATGGAGCTGAGGAACAGGGCGGGCTCGATCTTGAGATTGCCCCACGTAATTTCATGCGCGGCTACATCGTTGAAAGCTGTGAAAGAGTCAGCATCTAGCTTAGAATCTCCAAAAGAGACCTCATTCTCTCCTTCATGTGTTGTAGATTCGCCACCGACTTACCCGGAGATGCAATTCTGAAGAGGAAGTCCAGGATAGCGCCAAGTTGTTCATTCTCCCATGGCGCGAAGCAGAGGCAGAATGCAGCCAGAGAGTCATGAGACACCGGCTGGCTAGGAGATTTTCGATAATACAGATTGCAGAATATTTCAAAGCGATAGAGCGCCCGCTTGATACGAGCAAGTTCGCTGGCAGTTGGGGGAGCTGCTGCGTTGGACGGACTGTCGCCGCTGGTCCCTACCCTGGCGAGACAGTCGTCTGCAAACCTCTGTGCTAAGCTCTGAATGCACCAGTTCAGCTCTTCCAACTGCGAATATGCACCGATGGTCGCAGATGTTGGATGAACAGTACGGCTGACAAGATAGGTGGTGAGGAAGGCATCCGACGCTTCCGGCGAGTGGGGTGGCAGACGAGAAGAAGCAAAGGCGATGGTGGCCTCTGGCAGCACGTCGTATCCCACTTGGTTGACTAAAATAGATGCTGTAATGGCTTCGGATGGTTTGAGTAGATAGGCAGAATACAAGGCGCGGCAGGTCAAGATGGCAGCCGCCAAAGAAGAGAAGCTGTCGAGCTCTGCGAGGATTAGCCTCCGAAGCTCAATGGGCAGCGTGTCAAAAGCCATCATAGCTGCAGGCGTGAATCTCAGAAGGTCTCGGTCATGGACGAGCCCCGAAAGGCTTCTATTACCAGTAGACAGACACAGATATCCAGAAAGTCGTATGTTGTTGTAGCTTCAAAGTTGTTGCACGGGCGAGTTGAACCGCCTTCCCCGCACGTAGAACGTCAGGTGGCTCTTAACTGGCACGGGCAAGGGTCGCAAGTCATTAGCTTTATTTGGCTCTTTTATTACATATATGGGATGCAACGTTATTCGAGTGGGAATATCTTCATCATGCGATCTATTATCTCCCATCGTGTTCCAATTCATGATCAGTCGTACCAGCGTAAATCAATACCGCAACCATAATAAGACCATGATCATACCAATGATACATCTTTCCGACGCTCTGTCCAGTCGACCAGCAATTGAGGCCGCCGTTTGAACTGATCTTCGCAGTCAATCAGGAACTCCCAGTGAGACCTGAAAATGTGGAAGAGCTCCTTCCATGTGTGTATCCGCTTATTCCTCTCCAGGCTCGGCAAAAGCTTAGAGCCAAACACCAGAGTCGCAGCCCTGAAACGTGCCATCTGCTCTGGGGGCGGCGGGGTTCTGTTGCCGAAAGGGTTGCGGCTGCCACTTCGTTTCTTTCTGTCCCAGAACTCACTGAATTGGTCGTGATGTCTCTGGAATAACCTGACATCAACATGACGGAGAAGTCCAGAATGGCCTGGTTGAATATCCTCTTGCTGTTCTGCTACTATTCCTCTCAGATCCCAGTCGTACCTTGTAAAGCGCTCAAGATTCTCGATGGGAGTACGGAGTCTTTGCTCAAGTTGTTCGCGGTATCTCAGCATAGGAATCTGAAGCCATTCGAGTAAGGCCGCAGCCAAAGCCTCATCTCCATGTTCATTCGTAAAACATCGGTTGCATAGAAGGTCATCAAGCTGTGTCCTGACCGACACATCCCAGGCCATACTGGCCTCATTGTACGCCTCTGATGCCACCACACCGTCACCTTGGTGGTACGGGAACCAATTGTTTTTCACACTTCCAAATCTGAAATTGCGCATTTCCTGCCATTTGGTGCAGCAAGGGCACCTTATCATGTACGTTGTCCATCGCAGTGCAGTGACATCTAACCCGGCCGGGCGTGCTGGGCCTGGTGAGGATGAAGGCAGGTGAAAGAAACGTGAAAGCACATCCGAGAGGTCCGGGAACCAGCGCTCAAGGCATGATTCGAAGTATAGCCCACGAGATTTCTGTATTGGGACATTTTGAGTGCCGCCTTTGTAGATAGGAAATCCCGAGCTGTCGTTAATTGAGCGCTTGGGCCCAAGCTCTCCTGCCTGAAATCGGCACTCATTGCATTTGCGTCGCCATCGCCTGTAGCCAATGCAGGCGCGCCCATAATGCTTATTTCTCTGGCGTGGCACTTCGAATTCATTCTCTCCCTCCTCAACTTGCTCCGGTGACTCTGGGCTTCGCTCCTTGGCTTTCTCACGCAAGGAAGGCAGCCAAGAGGTCGTGGGGTTGGCAGCCGGGGACGTAAATGGTGGCTTTCGATACGCGTCTCCCAGAATGGAATGATTGTCGAAGTCTGTATGTTGGAGGAGTCTCAGGCAAGCTGTGCATGCCCACCGATGAGCCTCCCAATCTTTGAGGTTCCAAATCGGCTTGAGGATCCCCCCCGATATGTAGCACAGTGGTGTCCAGCCTCCGTAGCGTTCGAACAATTCCACTTGTAGCAGCCTTTCCGCAAGTTCCTTTGTCCCCGGATCGATGAGGCGACGGAAGTATTGGCAGCTTTGGCTAAGCGACACGAGGCCAATCGGGTCGAGGAGCGGGATGATCTTGTGTTGAAGTTCGACGGCCAATAACTGGAACGCGCTCGGAGGCTGATTCTCCTGTCTAGACGCCATCGTGGATCCTGATGAATCCGTTAGCAATCCATCTCAAGGCGATGGCAAAGGATCTGTGCCTGGGTTTGCTTACCTCCGGTTGTTGAATCATCTCGGGAATCCATTTGGTGGCCGTGTTCGACAGCCTCGCTGGTGTCGGACTCGCTTCCTCCATCTTGATATTCTTCGATGATTCCGGGCTCTGGCGGAAAGGTGTCTGAACCCTGATGATAGAAGTGATACATGATGGCTGCGAGATGATGATGATGGATGATTGAGGCCGCGTGTTTCTCTGCTTCTTTGTTTTGATTTGGAAGCGTGCCTCAGGTTCGTTCCTTCCTCGAGGAGGACAAATGCCCAACTGCCGTGATTTATCCGCCAATTACCCTCCTCACCGTTCGAGTTGGCAGAATGCGCCTTCTACCTGACTCTCTACCCTGGACTTTTGAGGGAATGAAGGGAAGGCTTCGCTTGAACTTGGGAGGTAAATCTCTTCCTTCATGGTGTGTGGATTTTCGTGAGGTTTGTGGCTTCTCGAAATATCAACTCCATTTGCTCCTGGTGCTAGCTTCAGCTACTTCTCACATCCAGTACGACTCTCTCAGAGAATGCTCACTTTCATATGAGAACCGTCTGCAAAACATATGCCATGTGTGTGTGCCCTGTTAGATATTGTGTTTTGAGCTTTGGTATCCTACTTCAAGGTCCTGGGTTGCTTAATCAGGAAAGCTGGAAATAAAATAGAAAATAGAATTCTCTGCTTCAATTTCTTCACCACTCGCAACCGCCTTGAGTATCATCGCGATCTGAGCCAGGTTGGCGATGCGCTTGCGTTCTGGATGGACTTTACTGGCTGTTTCGGCAGGTCCAGCGTGTTCATTTACCTCCTCGCTTGCTTCTGCCATAGGCGTTATGTATCTGCCAGGACAACCACATCGTATGGTCATTTATCTAAGTCCACAAATGCTATACCGCGTACTTTCTTGTCCAACTTTGTGTTTTATCGTTGTATGATTGCCTGTCTACTTTGCACAGACGGATAGCTTTGGGAACAAGACAATCGTCTGGGTTGGGGTCATTTAACAATGAATAAATCGAAATCAGAATTGGTCTTCGCCTTAGTAACAAGAAATCTTCCTCAATGGAAATGAACACTGATACCTTCTTCAATAGTGAGGTTTGGGCTCCAGTTGTAGTCAAGAATATCAATGGATATTCTATTAAAAGAGTTGATGTTGTGGTGGTGAATTTGCGTGTTGAACGAAACATTGGGGGGCGGAAGAGACATACCACACAAGAATGGCAAACCAGAGCCAGATCATACTGCCATAATCAAAGGAAAGTGAAATTTAGCCCATGTGACCGACAATACGTGCTTTCTGTGTGGTTTGAAGTCCCGGCCCAGTATGCTTGTCGTCTGACCTCCTTTAGACTCCAGTCTAAATGTTTCCTACATCTCTTCTGTTATCTTGCCCTTATCAATGCTCGATAAGACTCAGATTAAGGGTCTGCGCTATCATAAACGTCCAGATATTCTATCTATTAGTCTTATCTAGTCGCCTTACTATCTCTTGGCTAGTATCTGTCTTGACTCAGGTTTGGTGACTTCCGGACTCTCTGTTGACTCATCTTCCAGGGTCGTGAATAGTGCTATTTTGGAAAGTCTCTCAAGTGGCAATGCTGCCTATTTCACTTTCTAGAGAGGTGAGTAACAGACGCCGTGATAATCAGCCCTGAGAAAATAGCTAGCTTAGTATTGTGCATAACCCTCGTCAGGAGGAACTCTTTCTAATTTCGTCTTGGTCTCCCCTCGACATGACTATAATGTAACAATGCAAGATCAATGTATCCGGCTACTTCCAAATACGAAGGATGATTAAAATTCGACTATTCTCAGGTAGTGTATCTAACCAGCAAGACGTGTAAGAACCTCCAAGTAGGAAGAGATTCAGCAAAACTGATAGCAAATCACAATCAGATTTTTACAAGGTCTACAAGCCCATGATAATACCTAATGTAAATTAGGAATGAGGTTTCTGGCTATTCTGAGTTCTTATGGCGTTCACGAACCCAACTTTGCTAATGATGGACTTAATTTCTACGGGTAATGCCTCTAGAATCGATGTGAGACTTTTCTCTCCTATATTGACTTTCTTGCCACCTATCCAACTGCTTGGCTATTGAGTTTATTGTAACAGCATATCGTAGGTCCATTGATCCTCAGGAACATCCTTAAACTTGATAGCTGTCGGGTGCTTGGCTCTTGCGGGTAAAATCCTCCTGATGTAAAGATCACTGACTTTGACCTTTTCGTACTGCTTCTCTTCTCCTTCGCGTTGACAGCACTCCAGCACATCGACCTCTGCATCAACGTCCATGGTGAGGAAGAAAGGTAGAGAATAGCGCTCGAGCCCCGTCAAGTTTCGTACTCGGTGTACTGTAGCGGGGAATAGCCCGTTCGTCTGTCGCTCCAAGAACTGGCCAACATTGCAGACGAGTGTCCCAGGAGTAGGCGGAGCTGATACCCACTGTCCAGACTGGTTGAGCACCTCCAGTGCCGGAACGTTGTCTTGAAGCACAAGCGTGAGCCCTATTAATAAACAGTTAGTGATTCCACGCAAGATTCATGTAAGGTATATCTGGAGGACTCACAGTCGAAGTCAGAGTGTGCTCCTAGGCCGACGTTCGTAACATCCTTGTTATCGTTGTCGACAGGCGTAGGTGGGTAGTACAACGGACGCATGCCAGTGATGGGAAATTTGAAGTACTGGTCTAGTTCGTCTTCTTTAAGACCGAGACCGAGGGCGAAAAGCTTTACCAATTTCATCGCGAGTGGAAGTACGTGATTATAGTACTGATACAAGCCCTCGCGCCACCATGGCGCTTCAGATGGCCAGATGTTCTGTGGGCGCTTGAGGTGTGATGGGGGAGGTTGGCCGGTTTTACCAACGTAGTCTTGTTCGGGCTCAAGCGGACAGTCTCCCATGGTGAAGGCCTCCTTGACATCTATTGATTTACAAGATAGTGTTAGACAAGAATACTGGTTAATGTCTCCAAGGGTGACAAGGACTTATTGACGTAGCCTGACTAACCTCCTCTAGTACGCGGGTCTAGTTTGGTCTCGCCCATAGGTTCATAACCTCTGATGGCTGGATTCTTCTGCACATGAGCGTCCATCTTGATGTCGCGCTCAAGAGCGAAGAATCGCTTCAGCAGTTTGAAAGCATCGTCGATGACACTCTGGGGAATGCCGTGGTTGACAACGTAGAAAAAGCCAACATCGTGACAGGCCGTGTACACTTCTTTCGCTATGGCCTGGCGAAGTTCAAGCGAGGGCGAATCGATATTCGTCAAATCGATTGTCGGAATGGATGTAAAGGCCTTCTGCGTGCTAGTGATCGGCCTGTATGAGGCCTTGGAGCCGGAGTGAAAGTAGACGAACTTGGACGGATCCTGGGGTGCGGGGTTACCACGTGTTGCCTGCGGACATAAGCATTTAGAATAGAGCTTACCTTGGTGGCCTCGGGGAGGTTATGGTTGTCTAGGACGTCGGCCATCGTGGGCGATGGTGCTATGTAGGATGGTGTTGAGGTTTGTAGATTCTTAGTCTGTTGATGTTTGACGTTGCTTCCTTTGGTGTCAACTGTGTGAAGCTAGAGGGAATTATCCTGGAATTCGATGACTGTGATCGGAAGTTATTCCATTTCAAAGCACGAGGAGCGCTTGTCGGACCGGACACCGGAGACCGTGGAGGATCGGCTGCTCATGCGACCCTCTCTTATCTAGCCGGTCCCAGCAGGGCGGAGACTCGTGATGGAGACTCTCCAAGGTCATGGTTCAACGCGGGGAAAATGAAATCAAACCTGATATGCCTGTCTGTATCAGTGGAGATGCTTATCCGAAAAGATACCAGAGATATGCCTATCTCCATGTCGGTTCCACCAGGGATCAATAAGTCGCCAGGCTAAATTACCAGTAGCTAGACTGGCGGTGGCGAGCATGGGAATAACACGATAGACGGTCGGTTATAAACGAATAGGCTCGTTGGGTTCGTGGGTACTCCTCTCTGCTATAATAGGCCGAGGGCCGCTGATCGGTCATAAATTCATCTCATACGACAAAGCTTGGTTTTCAATACGGGATCTGCCCTTGATTGTATTCGTCGTCTTCGTCATGGTTAAAGCTTCAAGTTATCTGCGCCATCTCTTCTCCTCGTCCTATAGTGACGAGGAGAAGCCCGGATTCTTCATCTGGCATCCGAAGGGGACCTCTTCCTCTGAGAAGAAGTTGCTCTTCAAGATTGACTTCTTCATTCTCACCTACGGATGTCTGGCTTATTTCACAAAATGGCTGGATCAGGTACGGAATCTTGATCGATTTACAACGACTTCACTTACACAGAACTTCACTAAACACTTCTTGTTCATGTAGAGCAACTTGTCAAATGCCTATGTCTCGGGCATGAAAGAAGATCTCAGCATGTTTGGCACAGAGTATAACTTGGCCATGACATGCTTCTCTGTTGGACAAATCATTGGGCCTATTCCTGCCAATCTTCTCCTGACCTGGATTCCTCCCAGAATTCTGCTTCCTGGGCTGGAATTCCTGTGGGCAATTCTCACCATCGGAACATATGCAGTCACTGATGTCCGACAAGTACGTCTACTTCAAGCGCCTTTAGAAGAAGAGCCCCCGCTAACATGAACCAGCTCTACCCCATCCGCTTCTTTGTTGGCTTCCTGGAGGGCAGCTGTTTCGTAGGCATCCAATATGTCCTCGGCTCCTGGTACAAGAGGACCGAGATTGGAAAGCGGACTGCCATCTTTGCGTGCGCCGCTTACGTCGGCACCATGATCAGCGGATATCTGCAGAGTGCCGTGCTCGCTGGTCTCAATGGGACAAATGGGATAGCAGCCTGGCGCTGGGTTTTCATCATTGATGGTATCATCACCGTCATTGTGGCCGTTTACGGATACATCTTCTTCCCTGATACTCCGTACAACACAAAGGCCTTCTATCTCAGTGACGAGGACCGAAAGAGATGCATTGAAAGGTTGAAAGAGGATGGGAGAGAGGAAACGAACAAATTCACATGGGACTTGTTCAAGCGAACTCTCACCTCATGGCAGCTTTACGTTTTGACCGTGCTATGGATGTAAGTCCTTTCTACTTCGTGAGACACAAGGATACTCTGAACATGAAAGCTAACGGCATAATTCTTTCAACTCTAGGTTCTGGAATACAACCGTTGGCAAAGTCTCCAACACGGTCTTCCAATTGTTCTTGAAAGGCGACACTGAGCACAAGTGGAGTTTATACGAGGTCAACAATATCCCCACGTGCATCAACGGCTTCAACATCGTCATGGTGTTGCTTCTCAACGTTTACGTTGATACTACTGGTCGGCGTATGGCGGCTGTAGCTCTGAACTTGGGCATCCTCCTCTTTGGAACCATCTGCCTGGTAATTTGGCAGATCCCTCTGGGATTACGAGTTACCTCGTACATGTTTGCCGGTCTCGACGGTCCGCTGAGTCCCATCTACTACTCATGGGCCAACATTCTCTGCAGCGGTGACGCCCAGGTCCGAGCACTGACATTGGCCATCATGAATGCCTGCGGTGCGGCGTTGACAACGGTGATCCAGCAGTTCTTGTATCCTGTCACGGATGCACCCAAGTACGGCAAGGGATTCAAGGCCAGTCTTGGCTTTCTTATTGGAATGTGTGTGTGGGTGGTTGTCGTCCGCCTATTTGAAATGCGGGAACTCCGCAAGGACAAGGACCTGACTCCGACGGAGGGCATCGAGAGCGGCAGCGAGACCAACGTGGGAGTCATGGCAGACGAGAAGAGATAAGCATGGGGCCCCGTATCTGCCAAGCTGCGGGTACTGATATCCTTCTCATGACCCTGATAGCACCCAGATAGCACCAAGATAGTCCGAAGAGGAGGCCGGCCCGGGATCGGGGGAAGGCCCCCCTCTCTCCTCTTATCATGCTCCACCACTTAGGTCTGTACTTAATTTGCCTAATGTCTTGGCCTGGAGCATGGTATAATAAATTGAAGCACCTAGTCCCCATACTAAGACCACTCTCACCCTGTAATATAGTGCTCAGGCAACTGTTATCATCATGACTTCGGAAACACTTGTGGCTCCCCCCCAGACTGTCCCCACGACCAGCCTCCGTCTCTCCTCCGGAAACGGGCCAATCACACTCAAGATCCTGTCAACACCTCTTCGGGATGCGTCACCGTCCGAAATCCCCCTGATTGATATTGGGCCGCTATTTAGCTCGGCTTTGGAAGACCGACAGTCGGTTGCCCGCCAGATTCATGCTGCCGCCACCCACAACGGCTTCTTCTACATCTCCAACCATAATATCCCCTCTTCTGTTACGGACGAGGCCTACAAAGCCTGTCTTGACTTTTTCCGGCAGGATGGGGAGATGAAGCTTCGTGCAGACTCTAGCCAGAGCACCTACTTCAACGGTTACAAGGGCCCTGGTAGCCAGCGCATAAACCCTACCGAGGGCGTTGATGTCCGGGAGACCTTCTCGTGGACGTACGATCCGAGATTTGATCCCGCTGTCGATGACCCAGCTGCCATCCCAGCACATGCGGCCAAGTACATCCGTTCCGAAGACTTTCCGTGGGAGGCAACGGCGAACATGCCGCAATTCAAGGCCTCTATTGTACGCTACTTCGAGTCCTGCCTCTTCCTGGCTAGGGCACTGACTCGCGCGTTTGCGTTGTCTCTGGACCTCCCCGAGACCTACTTTGATGAAAAAGTGCGGTATCCAGACGCTGCTTTCGCCTTTAACTACTACCCTCCCATTGAGAACCCTGTCAAAGTCGGCCCAGACCAGCAGGTGTCGATCGGGTCGCATACTGACTTTCAGCTCTTCACCATCCTGTGGCAGGATACGGTTGGTGGCTTGCAGGTGTTGAATCGGGATGGCCAGTGGCTTCGAGCCGCGCCCATCAGTGATACTTTCGTGGTCAATATTGGTGACTACCTGCAGCGCATCACCAACGATCGCTATGTGAGTACCGTGCATCGTGCACAGAACTGGAGTGGCCGTGAGCGGGTGAGCATGCCTTTCTTCTGGGGCTTTGGTCTTCATGAGAGTTGCGGAGTGGTTGAAAGCTGCATCGGGCCAGAGGGGAGTAAGTACGAAGAGATTGGGTGTGAGGAGTGGGTGCAAAAGCGGGTGAAAGACATGCTCACAGTGGAGGATGAAGTGACCAAGAAGACTTAGGATAGAGACAAGCTACATTTTCCTCTTAATGAATGAAAATGGTGAAAAATATACAGCAAGAAACAACTTTGTTGATAGCCTTCATTACTTGAAGATAAAGAATATCTCTAAAACTATGGCATACTTCTGAACGGAATTATAATTCTTTCAATGAAATGACGTAGTATTAGTTGATAAAGGCTCTCAGGTTTCTGATAGAACAATGAACCCTACGTATAACGATATGGAGAAACTCAGATGGAGAGGCTTCGATAAGTCGAGCTTTACTTACAGGGTAGCGTTCTAGTAGTTTGATCTACCTAATCAATATCTAGTTATGCGGTACTCTTGGACTGGGCAGCGGAATACCAACAACAGGGTAGCATGGAGGGCTCGGTGAACAACTCCGATATCCGAGTAACTGCAAATATTTTACCGTCGTAGGAGTGGAAAAATAAGATATGGAAGTTTTTGTTCTTTCCAAATCACTTGTAGTTACTCAATTACTCTCTGTCATCAATCATCAACACTACCACAAACTCCTCAACCGCCACCCAGGCCGAAAACTCCCCAACAACACTTTTTCCATTTTTCCTCATACTCTTTCGATGCAAATTCTTACTTGCCAACTAAAACAGCCTTGAAATGAATTTTGCCGCTATCTAGCTTGTTCATTGCTTCTTTCATGCGGTCAGTGGGAATGTCTCTACGACGGGCTTGATTCCGTGGAATGCGGCAAATGCAAGCATCTCACGGTGAACGGCCCTAGTGGCGACAAGAGACCCCTTGACGGGAATTCCGACTCGGACGAAGAGCATATAAGGCATGTCCAGATTGGCGAACGAAACAGAAAGAGCGTGTACAACAGCCTTTGGCGCCAACATTGGCAGCAGAATCTCCAATTTGGGTAGTACGGATGCTGCAATGAGCAGGCGGTTGATTTTCCACTCATCAACAAAGTCTTCAGTCTTGTAGCCAGCCATGGGGATGAACTTATGTGCGCCAAGCTCGAGAGCTTCATCTCGCTTGCTGCTTGTTCCGGAGAGGACAACAATACGGCACCCCAGCTTGTTGGCAAATTGGATACAAAGGTGGCCAAGTCCCCCAACACCCATTATGGCCATAGTATCAGTGGGCTAGACTCCATCGAGACCCGTAAATACAGTAGCTCCGCCGCACTGAAGAGGTGCTGCGTCCTCATCTGAAATGGAGTCAGGGAGGGACGATGTGAAGGAACGCCTCGCTCCATACAGCGTGACTTGCAAAATTACCTTGGTCAAAATTTTGGAAGCCATAGATGCATCGCTCGCGGCAAAAGACTTCCTTTCCTTGAAAATAGAGAAGACAGTGTCCACAGCTACCAGTGACGAAGCCCCAAGGTACTCGAGTACCCTTCTTTAAAAACTTGACCTGTGGGACAGTATCCTCAACAATGCCAACACCTTCATGGCCAAGGGCAACATCGCGTTGTCTCTGAATCGATTATAAGAAAACGAAGTGCATGATGATTCACTGGGGAGTTACATGATGAAGATCAGTTCCACAAATCCCGGAGGCGTTAATTTTCACCAGAATATTGTCGCCAACGAGCTCATCGGGCTTGGTGGTAGTGCTTTCCTTGGGATAGCCATCCTCGGAACCCTTGTAGACTTTAAAGGGAGGCATGTTGAAATGATATTTAGATGCTGTAATCACTCCTTTGACTTATCGAATCACGGTCTACCAAGTTGCCTTTCATTTTTCCTCTTTATCGGGCCACTGCTTCAGTATTCATAGGCAAATAAACTTCCGTTCGCCCATTTTCCTTTTGTCAGACTAACTGCCCGTTATGTGATAAACCATGCGTTGAAGCAGCAAAACCACATGATACTGTATTCGGATGACAAAAGGCCCAATTTGATGCTTGTGCTACAGTCCTGCCTCGGGACAACTCTCCCAGTCGAGCCAACGATGGTAGACAATTCATAATATTCACAGCGAACGGCCTGCCGCCGTAGCCAGATCCAGCGTGCGCAAGGTCTAGGCCTTGATGATTAGTGTGATTGTTTAGAAGTATCTCAATCACCCCGGGATAGTCACCGCCTCCCCTGTGGTCGTTCAATTACCGAATCAATAAATTGTCGATATCAAATCGTCTGGTATTCATCTCTCCACCTTCAATACTGAGGGAACCAAAAGCCGTCGGTAATCTAGCCTCAGCCGTTCTCGAACCTATAACTGCGGGTAACTAGTTAATATATTGAGAACTGGCTTTCTTAGTCAGGGGATTCTGGCGGAACCTATTCATCGTTATAGCTGCCTTCAACGTTGGCCCCTCTTGTGTCACATATCACATCACACTATTTCAAATTTGATCTGCCAACTGATCAAACGTCGGGAACAATGCAGCTGTTTTGTTTGAGCATGACTAATCTGCAGAATGTCTCCCATAGGTAGGCTGACTTGCATAAAACGATGGTGGCTGTGAAAAAAGCCACACAGTTTGCCCAACAATGTGGCGAGGCAGCCCAATTCTCAATTTCTGCTCCATCATCCTTGAAATCTCGAATCTTCCAGCCCCTGTCGATCTATCCCTCCTAGCCTTCGCATCGATTAAAGACAACTTTCTTTGGTCTTGCCTAGCGATTCGACTAATAAGGCCAACGAACACACACGCAGCCTGACCGCCATTGCTCCGTCGACATGGACATCAGGCTGCCCCTCGAAGATGGCAATCGAGCCCCCTACCCCCCTACGAAGCGACAAAAGATCTCCCACATCCCTTCGAGAGATCCCCTACCCCACGACCGCTATACAATTGCATGGATTTGCGCACTGCCCATCGAGATGGCTGCCGCTCGGGCCATGCTGGACGAGACTCACGGCGGCCTGCCCAGATCCGGCAATGATACCAACTCCTACTGTCTTGGACGCATAAAGTACCACAACGTCGTTATCGCATGTCTCCCCTTGGCCCAGTATGGTACTGTCAACGCTGCAAATGTCGTGACGGACTTGACTCGCAGCTTCTCATCTGTTCGCCGAGGGCTGATGGTCGGGATTGGAGGCGGGGCGCCCAGTCAGGCAGATGTCCGCTTGGGTGATGTCGTCGTCGGGACACGTATTATGCAATATGAGTATGGCAAAGTGCTGTCAGGTGGCGCGGTACAGCGAACTGCAATCCCTAAGGTTCCTGAGCTCTCCCTCCGCAAAGCTGTTTCGACCCTACGAGCTGGACACGAACTCCATCCCAGCCGGATTCCACTTATTCTCCAGGAGAAGATGACTGCCCATGTACAGTTCGGCCTTCCAAAAACGCCCGATCGTTTGTTCCAGACAACATACAATCATGAGCCAACAGCCGCGAGTTGTGACGACTGTGACAAGTCACAGCTCAAGGACCGGAAAACGCGTGTCTCTCTTGATCCGGTAATACACTATGGTGCCATTGCATCGGGCGATAAGGTTATGAAGGACGGTATATCTCGTGATGCAATTTCAGAGGAGCTCGATGCCATCTGTTTCGAGATGGAAGCCGCGGGGCTCATGGATATTCTCCCCTGTCTGTCCATTCGAGGGATCTGTGATTATTCGGACTCCCACAAGGCTAAGGAATGGCAAGGATACGCAGCTGCTACAGCAGCAGCATATGCAAGAGAGTTTTTAGAGGTCTTGGCTGCGGATGGTGAAGCGAAACAGTCATCTATTGCCTCTCCTTGTGGTAGGTCCACCTAGTCAATTGAGATTCATCTGCTGACATCGCCAAAGAACAACCTGTTTCGGCCGATCGTCGCAAAGAGCTGCTGAAATTACTAAACTTCCAGCAGCTTGATGCCCGCAAGGCCAATCTTCAAAAGGCTCACAAAGAAACCTGCGAGTGGTTTCTTGCCCATTCCGACTACCATGACTGGCTGGACCCTAAAAAGATACCACATCATCATGGATTTCTATGGATTAGGGGCAAACCAGGAGCCGGAAAATCAATTATGATGAAGTTTCTTTATCTGCATATGAAGAAGAAAGACCAACCTGGACAAGTCCTTACTGCATCCTTCTTTTTTGTTGCTCGAGGAGATTTGTTAGAGAGGTCAGTCTCCGGCATGTATCGGTCCTTGCTCTTGCAATTACTAGAGGGATTTCCAGACCTGCAACGGGTTTTAGACGACCCGGAGCTGATCCCCCGAAATACGATGGGATGTCCTCCTCTGAATGCTCTCAAGGATCTATTTCGTGCCGCGGTGTCCTCTCTTGCAGATCGATCGTTTACTTGTTTTATCGATGCACTAGATGAATGTGATGAGCAGCAGGCCATGCATATGGTCGAATTCTTTGATGAACTGACTGAACACTGCACAGAGAATGGGCTTAGGCTTCAAGTTTGTTTCTCAAGTCGCCACTACCCGTATATTGATATCAGGTCTGGAGTCCGCCTGACATTAGAGAACCAGTACGGCCACTCTCAGGATCTGAAAGCATACATCAAAAGTCATTTGCGGATTAGGAACCCATGCCTTGTGGAAGAACTCATGCCACTATTGCTCGAAAAGGCAGCTGGTGTCTTTCTTTGGGTTGCTCTTGTGGTGGATATGTTGAATGAAGAGAATAATCGTGGCCGCTTGGCACTCCGGAAAAGGCTCTCCAAAGTGCCGAGCGGCCTCAGCGACCTTTTTAAAGACATGTTAACAAGAAATCATAAGGATATGGAGGAGCTACAGCTGTCTATCCTATGGATTCTTTTCGCAAAACGTCCACTAACACCTGAAGAGTATTATCACGCTCTGTGGTCTGGCTTATCTTCAAGAGGGCTAGCCGATCCTGAAATGCCCATCATCGAATGGCCAGATGCCGATGACTGCTGTAAAAGGCGTGTTACGAGTTCTTCGAAGGGACTAGCTGAAATCACTAAAGTAGGGGGAAATACCGTGCAGTTCATTCACGAATCCGTGCGGGATTTCTTACTAAAGGATAATGGTCTCACTGCCCTGTGGCCAGATCTAGGACCAGACTTTGAGAGCCAAGGCCACGACAGGCTTAAGTCATGCTGCTATGCATATTTTCGTCGTCCAATCATCGACGGGTTTTTCGATAATAAACATGCCGCAACAGCGCCAACCAGGGCGCTGCGTATGAAGCGGTATCCCTTTCTAGAGTACGCCACTCACTTCATTCTCGACCATGCCAATACTGCTGCAGATGTGGTTTCTCAAGAAGATTTTCTCGGTCAATTTCCTTTTTCAGATTGGAAACACATATTCAATATCTTTCAGGATTACACGACCGATAAATATGATGAAGGGGTAGTTATTCTATATATGCTTGTAGACAGAGATCTTCCAGCGCTGATCCGAGCACGACTGAAAACGAATGTCAACATTCACATTCAAGGAAGAAAGTTCGGATTTCCACTTCTCGCTGCGATGGCAATGGGAAGAAAAAACTGCGTTGCAGCTCTATTAGGCTTGTCATCACGCTTCTGCGATGGAATCGATATTACAGATGGCTTAGAGGATGACACGCACTTGGTACGAGAACACCACACAGGTTTCACTTGGGCATGTGGAAGAGGTTCCCTTACACTTGCTCAACTTGTCTTCCAAAAGTGTGTTCATATCGATGATGAAACTGAACAGAAGTCGAGGGGCCTGCTAGAGGCTTCGGCGAGCGGCAATTTGGAGGTAGTGGAGTGGCTGGTCAATTCAGGTGTTAACTTAGAGACTGACAGCGGCCGAGAGTCGCTCTCATCGGCTGCTCACGGAGGCCACACAGCTGTAGTACAGCTATTGCTTGAGAAGGGAGCAGTTATTGATTGCCAAGATCGGCTCTATAGAGAGACTCCGCTACCATTAGCCGCTCTAGATGGCCATATAGCCATAGTACAGCTACTGCTTGAGAAAGGAGGAGCTATCTATTCTCAAGATTGTCGCTATGAACAGAGCGCGCTATTATCAGCTGCTGAAGGGGGCCATATAGCTATCGTGCAGCTCTTGCTCGAAAAAGGGGTAGCTGTTGACTGCAAGGCTGGGAACGGACAGACCCCGCTCTCGTTGGCTGCTGAGAGCGGGCATACAGCTATACTAAAACTATTGCTTGAGAAGGGAGCAGCCATTAATTCCTATGGTGGTAGCGATGGAATGAGTCCACTCTCGTTTGCTGCCTGCATGGGGCAAATAGCCGTGATGCAGCTACTGCTTGAGAAGGGGGCAGCTATTGATTACCAGGATGATTATGGCTGGACACCGCTTTCGAGGGCTATATGCCAGAGGCACGGAGATGCTGTACGGCTACTGCTTGAGAAAGGAGCACCTGTGGAGGCGTCAAGGGACACAGATCGCTGGATGCCGCTTTCATTGGCTGCTTCCGTTGGGTCTCCAGGTATTGTAAGGCTACTACTTGAGAAGGGAGCAGCCGTGAACGTCAGGGATAAACATGGCCACACACCGCTAGCAAACGCTGCCAGCTATAGGCATAGGGCTGTTATACAACTACTATATGAGAACGGAGCAGCCGCAGATACGAAGGATGAAAAGGGCCGCACACGGCTCTATAGGGCTCCTAAAAATGGGTGTACAGATGCTGCACGGCTGCTGCTAGAGAACGGAGTAGCTATGGAAATGAGGGATATCGAGGACCAAGGACCCCATTCGAGGGAGGGAGCAGCTGTGGATGAGAAGGATAGAATCAATTGGACATTGCTTGTCGCTGATTACTAGGATACCATGCAGCTGCCAGAGGACTACGGCGATACTAAAGGAAATGGAACATTAGATGCCAAATAATTGATACTTATATCCGAGGTAGACGATATGTGCAAATTAACCTTGTCTATTGAGCATCAAGGTGACCGGCCATTATTGAGCATACCGCGGCACAAGATCCGAACTGTACTAGCAAACTTTCCCCGCTCCTCTTTAAGCCTGTCCGACTCCTTTCGCCCGTTCCATGGACACTCATGTCATGATTTGAACAAGTGGAGGAAAGGCAAGAGAAACGAGGAAACAAACAGCGCGTCTCACAATGTCTGACCCATCTACTACACGGAGCACGACCTATCTACAACGCGCATACGCCCTCGGCGGAGATGCGCAGGCTCAGCAGTTCTATGACGAATGGGCCGACGCCTATGAGAGCGACAACAACGGGCTTGGCTACGCCTCTCCCCGACGCGCCGTGGAGGCGATCAACAAGAACATTGCAGGGGATGCTCGTGATACCCAATTGAGAGTTCTTGACGCCGGTTGCGGCACCGGTCTCGTCGGCACCTGTTTGGCCCAGTCCGTCCTGGCCGGCCAATTCGTCCTTGACGGTTTGGACCTAAGTCCCGGGATGCTGGCAGCTGCGCGCCAGAAGGGCGTCTACCGAGAATTGGAGGAGGCAAATCTCAATGAGAGGATCCAGAAACCAGATAGAAGCTATGACCTTGTGGTCTGCGTGGGCACACTGACCGTGGGACATGTCGGCCCAGATGTGCTGCGCGAATTTGCTCGGGTGGCCGCCCCCTCGGGCTTGATTGTGGCGACTGTGCACAGTAGCATCTGGGAAAGCAAGGGCTACAAATCTGTGATCGAAAACTTGCGAGATGCTGGGATAGTGCGAATTGTGAGCACTGATGAATTTGGCCTCGTGGAGGAGGCAAGCACAGGAGGCATCATGGTCGTGTTGAGGAAGAACTAGAGTGGGGGATGTCAAAACGAAATTAAATATATAGATATTCATTATTTTTTCGTAAAATGAAGCTTGCCAGAAGGCAGAGAAATGCTATTCTGTTACAGATCATTCATAAAAAACAAGGCATCTAACTTCGATGCTCTGACGACCCTTGGCATCTTTGGGGGTGGCTGGATCCTCGAACGCCGTGTGAGGCGTCAGAGCAGCGAGTCCCTCCTTTCCTCCGGGTTGGCCCTGGCTTCTCGAGTCAAAACACTTGATAAACATGGCCTCGTCGGGGGTCATATCCTTCACGTAGTAGAACTTGTGCTTTTCATTTGGCTTGATAGCCCAAGTCTCGCCTGTGTCGGGAATATGTTAGCCATGCTGTCTGCAAAATCCCAAGTGTTTCACTGTTCACTTACCTCGTACTTCATAGCCCTCTGTCGACTGAGCCTTTGTTGGATCTGGTAGAACCTCCTTTCCTCTATCATCATTGTCGGTAGGATCTTCTCGCTTGGGATAGAGAAGGCCAACTTTGACCAAATCCTCGGGCGACGTGGTGCGCCAGTCTATAACGGCAAGCGGGAAGTCTGATGCGGGGTTCTCGATTGGGCGCCAGACATTGATGATCTGATATCGTCCTTTGAGCAACTCCTCGGCATCTTCGGCGGGCAAGTGTCGCTTCACGCGCACTTCGGCTGCCCAGGGCGTCTGATCCACGTGCACCTGCTGAACAGGCTGCCGAGGCGATGACTTCTCCCGCCTCCTGATGGTATGGTCGAAGATGACGACTCTCTTCACCCCGGGGAGCTTGGCCCGCAGCAGCGCTTCGACCTCTGCGTAGTAGCCCTCCCTGACCTTGGCATCGTCTGTAAACAGCTTTTCCTCGGCTGCAGAGTTGTAAACTGCGAATCCAGATATGTCGGTGCCGAATTCCAGGTCAGAGGTACGGATGTCGGCAACTGATCGCCGCCGTTCGGTTCGCTGGAACGAGGTCACATCAGTATCGACTTTGGACCAGACCGAGGACCCGTCGCTGGCGATTGTCGCAGGGTCCAAGTAGCGGAACAGACCGGTAGTCATGGCTGTGACGAGCTTTAACGAGTGTCTAGAGATCTGTTGTAGTGTATCGATTGATGTGAGACGTGAATTTGAATTGAACACGGCTCTTCTGCGGGGAAGGGCGTGATGTTGTTTTATGCCGTCGTGGTGATTTATAAGCCACGGCTTGTGACATTCTCAATGGACAGTGATGATGCCACAAACAAATTAATAATCACTGCGCTGCCAAGTATGAATAATCCAGCAAAAATTTTCCACGTCGCTTCCATCGATTCAATGGAACAATATTCTGAAAATCGCATCTTCCAGATCGAGCGGCCCCAGAAAATGTCACCTTCGTGTGTGACCGGGGCGTGCAACGACGTCAGACCTCGCCGACAATCGGACAGCTTCCGGAGGTCGTCGCTCACTTCACAGTCAAATTTCCTTATCCAAACTCTAATACGACTTCATCGTGTTGCTGTTCACGAAGCCAATGAAAAAAAAATGTGCCAGTTATAAGGATCATTATCTTTTGCACCCCTTGGAGTCCTGGAGAGCCACCCCATTCCTAGTGACGAAATTAAGCACATCCTGTTTGACGTTATGAAGACTTCGCGGTTCAATAATCGCCTAAGTATAAGTTTTGAGGAAATCGGATGGTACTACCGAGTGGGATGCTTCCAAAACACTTAATCAGTTGACCTAAGGTCATGTAAACACAAACACCTTGGTGATCTATCACACCTCGTAAACCTTTTTTATCTTGATTCCCGCGTGAAGCCCCGATTGTGAAAGATTTTTATTTAGTGCTCGCGATTGAGCCACGGAAGGTTTGACTAAGGCTGGTTGGAGTCAGCCTAATGCTAGGTATGTATCATGAAATCAATTCTCGTGCTGCTTGTCAACGTATCGCTTTCCGACAATCGAAAAGATCAAAGAGGTCTGTGACTATTGTATTGTATTCAAATGGAAATCATTGTTACGTAAACTGTAATATTGACCTTGCCATTGAGGAATGAGAAATAAATACATAGATGTCGACTCTATGAATTATCATCTCACGGTGTCAATCTCTACAGAAGCATTTATCATACCATCTTGCAAACGCATGGTAGGATAGGCATTGACTACACATGTTCATCAAAGGACGTTAATCAAGGTATTTTCATCCATGCATGTAGCGAAAGTTGAATTCCACTACGTTGGTGGTAGATGATAAAGTCGCGACTGTTCGCTATTCATTTCGCATGTGAATGGCAGGCTATTCATTGCGTTGAGTTGTCGGGCCCTGGCAGCTTCAGTGTTGTCAAACTTTATTCTCTTCCTCTTCCGTGAATTACAGACAGATTCGGCATCGATACATCGGTCATAACATATCGAGATAATATCTATCAATCACGACACATATCATGTTGCTTAGCGGGCAATGTCACAACGAAGTTTCTAATTATGGCTACATATCTCATATCAACATGATGGCTAATGAGGGTCAGAGCGTTGCTGAGGCCCCCTTTCTCATAATCATATCCCACGCTCATTATGCATGCATTTGTTTACAATGTTACCCATCAATGCCAGCACTCACTGTAGGGTCGTAACGCAGGCTTCGGCCATGAGATGCTGCCGCATAACTTACATGTAGCCAGCAGGCAGCAACAACATCAATGCACATCTGAGGTATTATAACGCGGACCCCCAAATCATAACAGGCCTCATGGAGGTGCGATACGACCCAAACGCGTCAAAATTCACATCACAGAGCCAAAGATTATCGAGATATCATCCTACGTGTCGTATCGAGGTGCACCATTGGACCTCCCGAGTCAATATGCGAACGTCAGCCGCTTAGCGAGTGCACCGTTATGTGACTGTCTCGCAGTGGCATCGGCGAACAAGTGCTCCATGATATCGTCTATGGTGATCGGCATGACACACCACTGGTAGTAATGCACCGCCTATTATATATTGACACGACACTACATCCCACGGATCTGTTGATAACGGCAGCTGTCTCAGAGCACATGCCCTGGTTCCATGCGCCTCATAGGCATTTCGTGCGTCAGAGAGGCCGGCGAGAACGTCGTGTCAGACATGCTCACGACACCGGTGCATACGGAACGCCGCCACAATGACACCTTGATGGCCTCGAGGACCTCTAGCATATGGCCACGACAGTAGCTGAGACTGCGCGTAACCTGCAATTGAATTACGACTAATAACTGATAGGTCGACGACGTATGACCGGACCCGTATGCGGCCTATGAAACGCTATCACTGGCCCAGGGCGAGGGCGGCATTGGCGCTCGCTGGCCGGACGATGGATGATGGATGGGTGGATTTGAAGCAACGACTGGCAAATCACCTCACAACCGACGCGGTGCGCGACTTCGATGATGGCCAGTCAACGGCGAGCTGAGCTGGCCATGGCTACATTGGTCGGTTCGATGCAATGCAGTCACTAACACCGGGGTTGCGCTCCATACACATCCCATGCCATGCCATCCCATGCCATTGTCGTACTTCCACTCCTCCAACGCGAGCCAAGCGCCGGAGCTTCTGCACACTATTCCCAATCGATGGACAATCCGCGGCTGGCGCTGCTGGGAAAATGTTCCATTCGCCAAAAGCATACGTAGTAAAACTCTGGGGGATCGTATGACCCCTTAAATCCTCCTCGAGCGTGTATATCGCTCGACGACAGCTCGGGGGCGGTGAAGAGGTTCTTGCTCACGCGGGCAGCAAGGATCCATCCAGGGGACATGACGAACCGTCCCCCACCTACGCTTTTGGGGGCGCCGGTCTAGATGAGACAAGGATCCGGGGAGGGGCTTGCCTGTATTCGCTCGTTGACGCAGCAGGGATGGCAGTCGTTTGTTTGCATTGAGCGTGTGCGCTAGCTCGCTGCTAACCCAACGGAACGGAGGTCATACCACCTAGAGACTAATGAGGCCATTCAGTTTGATATTTCGAAAGCTGTTGGGAGAGAGGGGTAGCGAAGGAGCAGAGCCGAGTGATGATGCGTGGTTAAATAGATGGTAGTGCCTCGTGGTGTAAGAGAGGCTGTTCTCCTCTCTCCCCTTTCTCTTCACCTGTCCAATTCCAGAAAAAAAAACAACTGAGGAAACATCATTATGTCCGCAGTCCCCAATTCCGTTCCTGAGAACAATACCACCCCTGCTGCTGTTGCTGCTGCCGACTCCTCCCAGGACCAGGCCCCCGCAACCACCACCGACACCCCGCCTTTGGCGGAGACTCCTGCTCCCACCGAGGCCGCGCCCGTCAGCGAGGTCCCGGTGGAGTCTGCGGTCGTCGACGAGGCTCCGGCAGCAGCAACAACAACTGCTGCTGCCGCTGCCATTCCCGCCCCCGCCGACGAGAAGGTCGAGGAGGTGTCCAAGGTCGAGCCTGCACCGGCCCCGGAGGTCGCTGAGCAGCCCGTTCCTGCCGTCGAGACTGTTGTCAAAGCAGAGGAGACGCCTGAGGTAGAGTCCGCCAAAGCCGAAGAGACCAAGGCAGATGCTACCCCGAAGGCAGAGGAGTCCGTCAAGGAGGACGTGACGAAGGTAGAGGAGGCCCCTATAACGGAGCAGGCTCCCGAGCCAGAGGTCTCTGCCCAGGTGGAGGAGACCAAAGCAGAGGCCCCCAAGCCCGAAGAAACTGCCAAGGTAGAGGAGACTTCAAAGGTAGAAGCGACGGAAGAATCTACCAAACCTGAAGAGACTCCCAAGGCGGAAGCAGCAGAGGAAACTCCCAAGATCGAGGAGGCTCCAGCGACAGAGGAGACTCCAAGTGTCGAGCAGTCTGCAAAGGTCGAGGAGACCAAGCCAGAAGAGGCTCCCCAGGCAGAAGCTACAGAAGAAGCTCCCAAGCCTGAGGAGACTCCTAAGATCGAAGCAACACAGGAGACGCACAAGGCCGAAGCAGCAGAAGAAACTGCCAAGGTCGAGGAGACTCCTAAGGTCGAAGCAACAGCGGAAGTTCCCGTGTCTGAGGAGACTCCGGTCGCAGATGACGCTCGCAAGGTGGAAGAGACTCCAAAGGTAGAGGAGATCAAGGAAGAGGCTCCTAAGGTGCAAGCAGCACAGGAGACTCCCGCGGTCGAGGAAACTCCAAAGATCGAGCAGTCTACCAAGGTGGAGGAGACCAAGGTAGAAGAGTCTCCTCAGGCACAAGCGACAGATGAGACCCCAGTGACAGAGGAAGCTCCCAAGCCTGAGGAGACTCCCAAAGTGGAGGACACCGCCAAGGTAGAGGAGACCAAGGAAGAGGCTCCTAAGGCGGAAGCAGCACAGGAGACGCCAGTGGCAGAGGAGACTCCAAAGGCCGATGAGACACCTCAAGCTGAAGAGACCAAGCCTGAGGAGACTCCTAAGATTGAAGCGACAGAGGAGGCACCAAAGGCGGACGAGACCCTCAAGGAGGAGACCAAGGCAGAAGAGGCTCCTCAGGTTGCAGAGACTGTAAAGGCCGAGCCTGAATCAACTGTCGAGCTCGACGAGAAGCCTACTCCCACCACCGAGGAGACTGTCAAGGCTGAGGAGACACCACTCGTTGAGGAGACTGTGAAAGCAGATGAGGCACCGATCGTTGAGGAGACTCCGAAAACTGAAGACGCACCCAAGCCTGAAGAAGCTTCCGAGGTTGAAGAGGCTCCTAAGCCTGAAGAGACCAAGGCTGAGGAGACTGCGAAGACTGAGGAAGCTCCAGCGACCCAGGAGGTCGCACAGAGCGAGGAAGCCGAAGCTCCGAAGACCGAGGTGCCAGAGGTGGTCAAGGAGGAATTGACCCCAGTGCCAGAATCCAGCTCCGTTCCTGTGAAGGAGGAGGCTGTGGAAGAGGTCAAGGAAGAGACCAAGACTGATGAGGTTGTCAAAGAAGAGCCTAAAACCGAAGCATCTACCGCTGCTGTCGACGAAGTGCCCATTCCTGGGAAGAGCAGTGAAGAGGAAGTCAAGCCTGCTCCCGAGGCGGCAGAGGCTGACAAGCCAGTCGCCGCCGAGACCCCAGAAGCTACACCGGTCGTTGAAGTGACTGCCGAGCAACCAGCTGCTGAAGCTCCAGAGGTATCAGCACCTGAGAAGGAGGTTGTGCCAGAAGCAGAGGCAACTCCAGCCGAGACTCCAGCACCTGAAGCTCCTGCAGCTGAGGAGACGGCCACCGAGAGGGTTGAGCCTACCCCAGAAGTGAGCGAAAAGAAGGAGCAGTCAGCACCTGAGCCAGAGCCGGTGGCTACAGAGGAGGTCAAGCCCTTGGAAGAGACTGCAAGTGAAGCCAAACCAGCAGAGACAGAGTCCGTTGCTGTGGAGACGCAAGAAATTCCTGAAGCAAAGGAAGTTGCTGCCGAACAAGCGGTATTGGAAGAGGCCCCGAAGGCTGAGGAGGAGGTCAAGCCTGAGGAGGTTTCGAAACCTGAAGAGACTTCTGACACAAAGGAAGAGCCCAAGTTGGAAGAGGTATCTCAACCTGAGGAGGCCCCTAAGGTTGAAACTTCTGAGGCTCCTGCAACAGAGGAGGTGTCCAAGGCTGAAGAGACACAGCCTGCGGAAGAAGTCAAGGTTGAGGAGAAGCTGGATGACACAACAGCACAGGCTGCAGCGCAGCCAGAGATTCAGGAGGAGGTGAAGCCTGAAGAGACTTCCAAGCCTGAGGGGACCACAGCAGAGGAGACACCCAAAGCTGCAGAAGAGGTCAAGCCTGCAGAGGAGACTAAGCCTGTGGAAGAGATCAAGCCCGCAGAAGCCAAGGTTGAGGAACAGCCAGATGACACACCAGCACAGGCTGCAGCGGAGCCAGAGGTTCTGGAGGAGGTAAAACCTGGAGAGACTTCCAAGCCTGAGGAAGCCGCGGCACAAGAGACATCCAAGCCTACAGAGGAGGCCAATGTTGAGGTCAAGTCAGACGACGTTACCAAATTCGAGGAGGACACCAAGCCTGAAGAAGAGTCCAAGCCTGCAGAGGACATCAGGGTCGAAGAATCCAAGGCAGAAGTCGTAGCAGAGGATGAGAAACCCGAAGAGGTCAGCAAGGTTGAGGAGGACTCCAAGCCTGAGAAGGCCACCAAGGTAGAGGATATTTCCAAGCCCGATGAAACACCCGTTGTGGCAGAGACCATCCAGACAGAAGCTCACCAACCTGAAAAAGCTACAGAGACTGTCGAGGTTCCTCAGCCCGTGGAAGTAACCAGCACCGTGGAGGCGCCGGCCCCTGAGCCTACCGTCGCTGCAGCGCCCATTGTTGACGAAAAGGTGGAAGTGGCAGATGACACTGACAAGGAGGTGGAAAAGACTGTCAACGGGGTCGAAACTGCTGCTGAAACTCCAACTCCTGCCACAGAAGCTCCTGTCGTAGAAGTTCCCGCTGCGGAAGAAGCAGCACCCCAGGTGGAAAGTGTAATTGCGGTGGAAGAAACAATCGTTGTACCAGTGAACGAGGTCAACCCCAAGGAACAAATTGTTGTAGGTGGTATTGAGCACAAGACACCAGTTGTCGCAGTGGCAGATGTCTCCGAAGATGCGGCCGCCTCTTAAACGAGGCCAAATCTTGTATGGCATGGATCATGTATTATTGCGTTTCTTTATTTAGTCTTTCCGCCTTCAAAAAATGATGTGTTCGGAAACGCTTTTTGCTCACCTGTTCAGTCCGAAATTTGGGATATGTAGGTGATTTCAGGCAATACTTATCCTTTCACTTGATCAAGCCAAGAAGGGATGTTTAGGTTCAAGTTTACGTGTAGGCTGGCACCCAGCTTATTTTTTACCCAAGCGCCATGAACATTGTCGACTACGTGAATAATGGGTGGAAGACTGTTGGCATACCCATGAATCTAGTCTTGTTTGCCCTTGAATGAGGGACGCTTGTGTGAAATTCATGAAATTGGCTTGCTTTTACACGCACTTCGGAGCTTTGATATAGCCTATCTGGCCCCTAGACCACCATTCCACTCAATTAGGCTATCTATTTCCATCTTCATTCTGTGTATTCAACTATTCATCTGCTCTAAGGTGATTTACAATGAACTGTCAATCAGCATCCGTAAACATATCTGAAGTCCTCTATCTTGAAGGATGCTAATCATCATCATCAAAGTGACTCCTACGCAGCATTGATACTATTTAACGCTCCTCTTGTCCCACGTTGGCAAGTCGAGCCCATCATCACAAATCTAATGGTCTACCTTCATCACCGCGCTTTGCAAGTCAAGATGCTCTATCCTTGACTACAGCAGCTAAACCCATGCTCGTTAACCCTGTCGTCCGATGGCCATTGCAGAAAATAATCAAAGACAACTGTAACTGCAGTAAGAAAATCATAAATTTATCCATTAATATTCATAGCGAAATTTTCACGAATAGTCACTTCATCTTCTTCCATGTTCTCATGTGGCTGTTTTCTTAATTGTTAGCTAGAGCTCATCTTGATCGTCAGCACACATCCCTGTTATGCAAGCACCAGAAAAATGCCCCATGTGAAATTAATCATAGGTTGCCAGCCGACGCAAGTGATAATTCTCGGGGGCGCGACGGAAGAAACAGAGAGGCAGAGGTTGACCGACTTATAGAGCAGCAACTTGGCCCTTCGAAATCGGCGGACTATATCGTCGTACCAGACACACAACTGATAGAATATAGGCCACTTCCCCGCAGGAGAGACTACCTAACTCAACGGAGAAGGTCGGGATTTGAATCCCGATCTAGGAAGTGAGAACCAGGCTTGAAATATGCGGGATAAAAGATCATCACGGATTCGTAATCCGGCGGGGAAAGCCATCTGATGTTTTAAATCGCATTTCATTTAAGGGTGTGATAAGCAAGTCCGCCTAAGTTATATAGGTAATACCTAATAGGTACTCTAGCTACTAAAATAGGTAGGGAAGTACCTATATATTATTAATAGGTCTATATAACCCCAACTCTTATAAATCCCTACCCCTTATATTAGCCTAACTTACTACCTTTAAGTATTTATTTTAATAAGGCCTTATAATAATAGTATTTTCAGTATTTTTAATATTTAATATAGCTACCTCCCAACCTAATACTATACCCCGAGCCCCCCGGATAATTAGTATATTACAGGGTAGTAAAATCTCCTCCTAATCTTATATATCTTAAGTTTATTAATTTAATAAGGAAGTCTTCCTATTACTAGAGCTACTTCTTAAAGCCTAATATAATAGAAGACTTAATAGTAGTAAGTACTAGTTTATAAAGGTAGTTTTTACTTCCTTTATTAAGAAGTTTAAAGAGTAATTCCCTTATAATACCAGGTAGTTAATAGGAACTATAGAATCTAAATATTATTATCTTTAAAACTATTAGTAAATATTCTATAATATTAAGTCTTAGAGTAGTACTAAGTATAAGGAGAATATAGGAATATTAGTATTATCTAATAATAATAAGCAGAAGGTAAAGTAGATATAGCTATAGGTTAGAAATAAGATAATTCTAAGTAATCTCCCTATCTTAGATAATCTTAACTTTAATAAATAGTATAAGATCTTTATAAATAACCTTCCAGCCTATTATTATATTACTAAAACTAAAGATAATATAAGTTTTAAAGAGATAATCTAGGTAATATAAAAAGCTAATTCCCTAGTAAGTAAGCTAACTAATAATAAAATAATTAATATATAAGAGGAGGAAATAGCTAAGGAAATTACTATTAATTCTAAGTAGGTTAAGAAGAGTAATATAAAGGAGGTCTTATAAGAATTACAGCCTGTTTTATTATTATAGATACCTATATTAGTTTATATATATTTTTAAACTATCCTAACTTTATAATAAGATTTACTAGTATTAAGTAGGAATAATACTATTCCTCTTATAAGGAAAAGAAAGGTATTATAGGCTAATCTAGGTAGTAATCTTAAGCAGTTAGTAATTATATTTAAAATACTATAGCTTTAATTATATATAGTAACTATACTTTTAGTCTTACCTAATAAACTATAGGAAGCCCTAGAGAATTACTTTATATTTCTTAGTAAGAATAACCTATAGATAGTAATAAAAATAGCAGAATAGATAAATTCAGAGCTAAGGAATATAATTTTATAGTTAAATTTACTATTAGAAAATTTAAAGAATTTATATATTAAAATAAAGTTTAATCCCTTATAGAGCTATAGTTTATAAAGCTATTTAGAAGTTAAAATAAAGCAGGGTTTAAAATAGTCTTACTTTCCTATCTACTAGCTAGCTTCTAATTTACTTTTTTATCTACTATAATATATATATACTTATAAATTATTCTACTAAACTAGCTATTCTGGATTAGAAAAACTCCTATAACCTTTATTTTTATCTTCTCCTTTACTTTCTATCTTAATATATAAATTATACTACTCCCAGATCTAATTTATAATAAGTTTCTATAGCTACTATATAGAGTAACTAGAGATAATACAGTTAGTATACTAAGTTATATTTATAAATACCTATCTATTAGCTATAGTAAGTACTTCTATCTCTCTTCTTAAGACCTATTATAGTAGAATTCTATCTAATATAATAAAGTTATTCAGACCTATTATAGTATATATAATTTTTATCTAATCAGGGAAAAGATACTTAGGTATACTATATCAGATAATCTTCTACTTCTACTTATAATAACTAAATATTCTCTTAATCTAGCTCTATAACTAGATATAATAAAGGTTAAAAAGCTCCTTAGTATTCTATAGCTACCTATTATAATTACTAAAGTCTTAAAGGTAATATATACCCTTAAAGGGTATTATTATTCTACAGCTCAGACTAAAGCCTATATCTATAAGAAGAAAGTAATTTAATAGGATATTAAGAGATCTTAAGTTTATATATAATAGTAATATTAAGTTATAAACTGAGCCTTTAGCCCCTACTAATATATATATAAATAGCCTATTAAAAGAGATAGCTATAAGTATATTTTATAATATATTATTCTTATATAATCAGAATCTCTTCTAGTTTATAAGCAGGATAAATACTAGGATATATATTCTATTAATAGCTCTAATTACTCTATTAAATTATATAAACTTAAAGTTTAACTTAACTTTACCTAATAGGTAAGTTAAATCTAGCTACTTAATAAAATAGCTATAAAGATATCTTATTAGATTAATAACTATATAGAAGATAGAGGATATAGTTAGTTAGCTAATCTTAAACCTATAGGTTATATTCTATTATAGCTTATTATATATATAGATCTAAAGGAAAACTATAATCTTAAATTTAATTATCTAGAACCTTATTATAGCTAGGGATATATTTATCCTTAGCTACTTATAAAGTAAATAGAAGATTATCTTTATTATCCGGAATATATAATAAAATTACTCCTCTAGTAAGAAAAGAAGATATAACCTATATTTAGCTACCTTAGCTAGACTATTTTAATACTACTTCTTTACTTCCTTATCCTTAGAAAGTAGTTTATATAGCTATTAGATAGGGAAGCCTTTATTACCCAGGCTTTCCTTAAGTAAATTCTAAATAAGCTAGGCTAATATAAACTTATATTTATTTTTATTATCTTTAATTAGCTACTTAAGAACCTAAGGAAAAAGATTAGGAGAGATTATTATTAGAAGGGCTACCTTAATACTATAGGTAAGATTATAAGATTTATATAGAAGTTAGGTAGGCCCTTAGATAATATAAAATATATAATTAGTAGTCTATCTCCTTACGCCTAAATAATATATATTAAGCAGTAGAAAAGATATACTTCCTTAGTAACTAAGCCTCTTATAGGTATTAAAGCAGCCCCTGCTAGCAGGATATATAAAAGTTAAGGGTATAATAAGATAATAGAGTAATTATATAAAATAGATAAATTTATATAAAGATCTCCTGCTAATTTAAGTAAGATCGGTATTTTTTATAAATTTATACTATTAGGCTGTTGTTTAGCAGACTTGCTTATTATACCCTAAAGGCTAGTCTATATACCAGATCACAACTCTGGCCTATCACAACATACATTCAAGCTCCAAAGCTAAATTTCCCGGCAACTAATTTAAGTTCAAACGTTCATCTTTTCTTGCTGACTGGCGTCATACAAGTTCTCTTCTGCTCGTCTCTCATCGCGCTTTCACCATGTCGAGCGACAATAAAGATCGAGTCATGCAAAGAAAGCTGAACGTTGGTGTCGTTGGAATCGGCCGGATGGGCCAAAAGCATGCGTTGAACATTCTGCATTCGGTGCCACGAGCCACACTCCTCTGCGCCTGCTCACCAGCTGAGGCTGATCTGGCGTGGGGCAACGAATACCTGAAGCCTTATAATGTCTGTGTAGTTGCTACCTTCAAGGAACTCATCGAAACGCCTGGTTTAGATGCAGTCATTGTAGCTTCTAGCACTGAATTGCACGCCAGACACACAACAGCGGCCCTTGACCGAAACATCCATGTGCTCTGTGAAAAGCCAGTGTGCAAAACCGTCGAAGAGGTAGGTAACTCTGGAATATGCCCTTAGACCTCTACTTATAAACTTCAAATAGCTCGTCCAACTGGTCAAAAGAACCGAGGCCAATCCCCGAGCCAAGTTGATGGTTGGATTCGTACGTCGCTTTGACCAGAACTACCAAGACGCACTTGAAAAGGTCAAGGCCGGTGCAATCGGTCGCCCTATTATCATTAGATCTCAAGGGTGCGAGAAGTTAGACACAAGCCCGTTCTACCAACAATATCTAGAAGCGTCTGGTGGCATTTTTGTTGACAGTATTATTCATGATATTGACCTTGCGCTTCTCTTTTTCGGAGAAGACTCCAAGCCCAAGTCCGTCTCCGCAGCAGGAGTCGCGGCAGTCCACACCAAAAGAGCGGAGGAGGGAGACGCCGATAACGCTGTCGGGATTTGCGAGTTCTGGGACGGCAAGATTGCGTATTTTTACAACTCTAGAACCGCAGCGCATGGCTATGATAATGCCACTGAGATTTTCGGCACAGCTGGGAAACTATCGATCAACATGGTCCCCAGAAAGAACGCTGTTGAGCTCTGCGATGGGGACGGCTTTGTCAAGGTCCAACCCACGCCTGGCTGGTACGATCGCTATGCACCGGCATTTGTGGAAGAGGCGAAGGCCTGGGTGGATGCACTCCTCGACGACAAGCCTATGCCGATACCGCTGGGGTCATCCCTGCGATCTCTTGAGATTGCCACTGCGTTGCAGGAGAGCTTGAGAACCGGGAACAAGATCTTTTTCACAAAGGAGGGGGCTGTTCGGCGAGAGACAGCATTACTCTAGAGTGTGAAAGAATCAGCATGGCTCGCCTCAGCATCATAGAACTGTTAACGAATTTCAATGATCAACAGATGAAAAATCCCTCTTAGATTTTTAACTTAGGTGCTACCCCTCACCGCGAATTCAATGAATAGATAGAACAACTGCCAGAAATGATATTAATTCAGTGATAGGAATTTCCAGAGATCTGGGATACAGTGTTATACTGAACAAAACGGCGAGTTATTGCAAGGAGAAATAAATATATGACCGTACAACTTGGACTAGAATCATGAAAATCTTGCATTACGGGCTTGATTTCTTCAACAGGTTCATGATGTTTGTCAATTTACAAAGTCGGTTGGCTAGCCGTTGTAAGTTGAGGCACAGCAAGTGTGATGGCCAAAGGATTCTGGCGGGGCTCCGACTGCCAAGCAACATCTTTGATTGTTTCGGCTGACAGAATCTTTAGTCAAAATTAAGATCCAGTCAGAGCACCGCTCAATCGTGCGAGGGCTTCGAACCGGCAGGGAAGATGCAACCGTAAGGCAGTCACCACAGCTCGCTTTCTCATAACCATGGTGATGCTGAGCTCCTGAACACAATTCATCTTGTGGGTGCCATACATCATTCAATATTTCGGGCTCTTCTAGGCGCCAGTGATTTGAAAATATGCTTCAGTTCATGTCCAAGTCGCCAGACCGTGCTGGTGATTGGCGGAGTGCAACTGTCTCTCAGAAATACAATCAGCTGATAAAATATCTCATTTAGCTTCCAGCCGACAGAAAAGACTCGTCTACAATTCCTTCATACATAAAAGAAAAACCCAAGCGCCGGGTTAAGCTGAAGCGTCCAAGATCCCCACACTTTCCCCCTGCGTCCGACACCAACACTACCGAGTGTTTCAACATGATCAGCCCAGGGTTTCAAACGGCTCGTAATCAAGACTAAGATGCTCGGATTGCCTAAATATATCCCCTGTCAGAATCATCTGATATCTGGGCATAATCTAGATGGAGCGTAGCGGGTTTCTCTTAACAATATATAGCTGGGAGATATTCCCCCTGCCCACAGTGATCGTCATCCCTCATTCCTCTCACCCTTCTGGAGCCTAGAGCTTTTACCACACTCTTTTGTCAAACACATTCATTCATTGTAGTTGATCTACATAGCCACTCTCTGCTCTTCAAAATGGTTCACTCTTTTGCCTTGAGGCTGTTGACAGCCGCCGCATTTGCCCTTCCCTTGGCCTCCGCCCATCTTGCCGCCTACACCGATGGAATGTACTGTCCTGAGGTACACCTATCACTTAATGACTATTATGTTTTAAATCGCTGCTAACGGCCCATTTGAAGAACTCCTACAAGGGCTCATTGACCAACTTCACGGATGATAGTAGGGTTGTTTTCGATCCTCTTTACAACCTTGAATTCGATAGCTGGTATACTACGGCCCCCCCATGATCCTTTTCAAAGACGACTTGCGATCCAGAATTGCGATTCAAATTTCCGTTATTAGAGCAATTTCTAACACGGCAACTGCCTAGGTTTCTATCCAAGGGCCGCAACTGTCATCTAGCCGAGCCCAAGGGAGTCTGGGAGATCCAGGCAAACTCCCAAATCACCATTCCCTGGGCTAACTGGCAGGACTCTACAGGCTTCTACGCCGATGGAAAGGAGGAGAACGAGCGCCCTATCCCTTACTCGACCAACAATCCCGAAGTCGTCGCACAGGGTCTCGTCAGCTCCTCAAAGGGCTTGAACTCGCCCAACCTACACGCCGCGAACAAGTCCACCGCAGCTGGAACTGCCATTGCCGTCGCCTACGTTGATAACATCTGGGCCGTTACGATGGACAACCTTGTCGTTGTCTCCATCGCCTCTGAGACTCCCTTTGAGCGTCTCGCCAACTATAAAATTCCCGATCTCGCTGCTTGCGAGTCCTGCATCTGTGTGACTGGGTTTGTTCCCCTCCAAATCGCAGAGGTAATTTATGAATGACATAGTCTAATATGAGTTGATAGATGGGTCCCCGATGGGTACGGCCAGCAAAACATGTACATGGCCGCCCACAAGTGCCGCATTGTCAACGCCAACGGCGGCAAGACCCCCAAGATTCCCAGCCAGGTCCCCGGTGCTGGCGTCACCGGCGCCAAGCAGATGATTGCCGCCTTCCAGAAGTCCGGAAACAATGTCCAGTACAAGCAGGGAGACAAGGTCCCCACCTATTCCACTCGCATGGGCTACCTGAAGGGTATGTTGGGACTCCGTGTTGTTTACCGCCGGAACGGCTAACATAACCTCACTTCTACAGACGCCCAGACAGACATCTTTGGTGATGAGTCGACCAACGATAGCCCCTCCTCCTCTGTGTCCTCTCCTTCATCCTCCACAGTCGCAACTCCTGCCAGCACCTTTAGTACTGAGGCTCGGACTTCAACACCAACTACATCCACCGCTGCTGCTCCCACGGCTACCCAAACCGGTCTCGGCTGCTCCAGATCCAAGCACCACCGAAACTTGCACCGCGCTGCCATTCGACGTAGGGAAGAATGACTGGCGAAATAATGTATACGATATTGAAGAGGTTTGCAGCCCAAAGTATGGCAAAATGTTGGACATGGAGTACGGAGGTTATAAAGCAATGAGTGGTGGGAAATAGATTTCTCCATTCCACCTTGAGGTGATAGCTTGGTATATTTACTAGGTCTCGAGGAAGTATAAGTAGTATATTTCATATCATAACTACTATACTATTATTAGTCTGCTCTTGGTGATATCTATAACTCTCGAAACCTCAATACGTTCGAAGGGTTAGCTCGACAGAGGCGACCATCCGATGCCACCCACCAGGCATCGCTACCGACGGCAGTACTTGCATAGAATAGATCTTCTGGGTCATATTTATACTTGACCTGTCGTAATTTCTCATAATTGTCGCCGAAGAAATCCTCTTTCCATGTCGAGATCCCCACTTCAGCTTCATTGAGATACGTCCCAGAGTCGGGGGGTAAAGCCGCTCTCAACTGTGGGATAACGCTTTCGGTGAGCTCAGCCTGCTTTGATAGCATCTCAGTCTGAGCTATCTCAAAATCCCAGGCCAATACAGCCATGGCATGGATGATGGTCTGACGCCACTGAGGCAGGACAGCGTTGTCAGACACTGGCTTCTTTACTGATGTCTGAGTCACGTTAGCGACGTGAAAAACAATATAGACGGGTGTATTCTCTGTGATGTTTCGTGTAGCCTCAATTATCTTGGTCCGGTGAGTTTCGAGCGATGTTCGTGGCACGAATCGGGATCCGACCTGGACATTTGCACGATAGGGGCCCTCGGGCGTAGGTCCTAAGTAAATCTCGTAGAATGACTTGTAGTCGGGTAGTGTAGAGACCTGGTAGGAATAGTCGATTCCTTCCTGATCAAGCCGTGATACGAACGGTTCCAAGAGTTTGGATAGGGCATCGGAAGAAAGTCCAGGAGCCGAAATGGGTGTGATCTCAAATGCGGCCGGAGTGATTTGGAATGCAAATTGTAAACCTGCCTCGGCGAGCATCGGGCTTAAATCCAACAAAGAGCCGAGCAGGTCATAGACAGTATCGCTTTCCACATTGTTTCGGGAAAACCGAAGTTTGGCACCTCCCATTCTCCCGTCTTCAAATACGCGGACCGTAGCAGATACGACAATGCCGAACGTGCCTCCACCGCCGCCGCTGAGAGCCCAGTAAAGCTCTTTGTGTTCGAATGGGGACGCAGTGACAACCTCGCCTGACGCAGTGACAACTTCGTATTCCAGAACTTGATCAGCTGCCAGGCCGTAAACAGACGACAACGGGCCGGAGCCGCCACCTTGGAGGAAGCCACCGACTATGCCCACGGTAGAGCAGTAGCCAGTAATGAGCCGTACCTTGTTGGAGTGGGCAGCTTCCACAGCTTCAAAAGCTCGGATGCCAGCCCCTAGTTTCATGGCTGGCCCCTCATAAAGCGCACTTCTGTAGGAAGGTATAAACTCGGCCTTGTTGAGATCTCGGGTCCAGATAGCCAAACCGCCTCGGCCGATGGATTTGCCTAAGAAACTGCGAGGAGTTAGTGAGCTATTCGGGAACAAGACGTTCGTTGGGAATGTCAGACAAAACACGGATAGCTTGCTTACTCATGACCAGTGTTTCTGATGACGAGGCGAACGTTTCTGTCTCTTGCAAACTTTATACCGGAGGCGATGTCCTTTGCTGAACCGGCTCTGATAGCGTATGAGACATGGTTTCCCATCTCGCATCTTGAGGACCGAGTCGTAAAGGGATTGCAGGTCTGATTCTGGTAATATGGTGGGATAACTGACCCTGCTGTTTCTGCACTATTGGCCATGAGTAACGAAGCTGAACACTAATGACAGCGATCTGAGATGAATGAAAGCCTGGAGACTATCCGAAACCTTGATGTGGTAGTGGGACTATTAGCGGACAAAGGTCTTGTATTACTTACTGTGTCAGGTAGCTGGACCAGTTCTCCCTCAAAGCCTTGCATTGTTCCGGGTCAAAGTTGGCACCATGACATACTGTTGCCAGTGGCACGATAGAGAATAGGCGTCCATGGACTGAAGCGTTGAGATTCATCCAATCCTCTCGTGATGGCCAACCAACATCACCTGGCAGAGTCCGGCAGTCCACAACTCGGGCTACCACGTAATACGATACAGCGAGTAGAAGAACGAAGACGTTTAGCTCCATGACGTAAGTGTGGACGTTTCTATGATGAAGAGAGGGGAAACTTGAAGTCTAGGAATGTAGGGGCGGAGCGATGTCGTTGCGGATGTAGTAGCAATAATTTTCTTTCAAGAAATATAAGCCACCTTTAAGATAATGGACGCAAAACAATCCGTCTGCTACCAGAGGACAGATTGGCATGGGCTGGGCGGTTTGAGCAATCTACTAGTCCTTGACGCCTGGGATATAGTTAGACTACGAAATACCACTTCAAAGGCTTCATGAGGCCTCCGGCGATTCTACGGTGAGGAATCTAGGAGTCTAGAAGATGTAACAATCTAGGGGTGAATGCACCTTTAAGGAGACTTTTCTCACGGGCCTACCGTTTTCGAGGACCATGAGGGTTGCAGCGGTGTTCTGTCAATGCGGCGGCCGGAATGAGGCCGGAATGAGAGCTTCGAGTGTGTCGGCTTCGTCTTCGGCTTCTCATTCGCACTTGTTCTAAGAATCCATCGGCTACAGCCCGTATCGACGTTGTTTTCAGCTCTTGCGTGAATGGAAGTGCCGTTGATCTTACCCAGCTTTAAGTTGTAACCTCGTGTAGCTGAATGATTACTTTAGGCTAATACTATGACTACTACTACCACCACCACCCAGAAAGAAACAGTCACTAGCCCCCACGTTTCTGGGGTGTGATACTCGAAGGTAAGAAAGTGATGAATTTGGGATTGGGGCCTCCCGGTGCTAAGGAAAATCAACAAGACACAGGTGTGATGCTTGGGCCTATGTGGATGAAGTCAGGGGTTTTTGTCTTATCTCAAAATTTATGAATGTCAAGGAGCACTCTGACACCCAATTCGTAATGGGCACGTAGCCCAAGAAAGGGGAGTCTCCCTGCTACGGCCACTTACAAATTAGATGATAGTTTCCCCATCTTCCCCCTAGTATCAAAGCGAACAGGAGTCACACTCCGCTCATGGCCCTCCAGCACAACCAGACTTGATTCTTTACTGTGCAACACCGTGGTACCACGTACCTCCGGTAATGTCGATCTTTCCCTCCGGTCTTTCTTGTGATACGACTTGGAAGAGTTGACAAAGACTTGGTAAGCATGAGCTAATCTAGTTCACGGACTGGAATGTTCCATGCCGGTTTTCCGCTGAGTTGACGCAACAAAGAAAATAGTTGCAAGGGACTCGTTTTGGAAGACCCTGGTTTGGGCAGCAGATGGCTTAACGGGGATATCCAAGCATAGCTAATAGGGAACAAGCCTACGGAGGTACCCTTTTCCATGTTTTGTGACAGCCAGTAAGCGCTAGGTCGTGAGTGTGGTGTGCGGAGCTCTATTTTTCGCGGGTAGAGTCGGTTGGTGATATTGTGAGGCCCAACCCTAAAGAAGGCATCGAATTTGAGTAGTTCAAAATGGATAAATGACCGAGGACAGTCAAGCTGAAAGGTTGTCACTATCTGGGGGGGCCCTGTTTCCGAGCAAAAGCAAGTTGCCTAGCCGAAAGAATGTACAGTACCCAAACAGTGTGTGGGCTATGCCTAGCCTTACAGCTGTGAAAAGGGATTTATACTATCCTTTGTGAATGCATGTAAAGGGAGAGATATAATGTAGAGAGGCTAAAAAATAATGTTCAAGTGATATGCTGTTACTTCTCTGTTATTCTATGGAGAAGGAATTGTTGTTAGAAAGGACCCCTGCTGTTAGAGGGGAAATCTATTGTTGGAGCTACCGTCAGAGTCTTAATTCATATGCCTTCCTTGCTTGACGTGCCTTCCTTCTCCAAGTCCCTGCCCAAGGCAGCAAGAATCTGCTTCTTTTCCCTGATTCTATTCGCCCTGGCCCTCGTGGACACGATCAACAGCTGCAGCTTCAAGCTGCCTGGAGCAATGATGAATGCGATCAATGGTGTGGCTATAAGCCGGTAAGTTAGATACAGTGTGGACCTCTTAGTAGTTTCTCCGTAACCTAGTGTAATCTATCGTAAACGGGAGGAGTGTGATCCAAGCCAGAAGTAGCTACATTTGAAAATGAACACTATATCGCCGCTAACAGCGTATACAGCCCGCATACAAGAAAACGCATATACATTGCAAATGATATCAGCGCAACTACATGCTGTTGAGAATTTTCGTACGGTGTCCAGACCGTTGTCTACACACGGCCTCCATCCGCGTAGGCACCCCGCAGGGCTGGTCTAGAGTTCGACATCCCTGTCCTCTCCTCGCTTTAGGGATATAAATAACAGAGACTCGTAACGCAGGTCAGCACGGGGTTATAAAGTTACGAGACAGCTTTGATCAGTTCACTTGCATTATGCTACAAAAGTACCTGAACCTAGGTAGAGCGGTGGGGATGCAAATCCAGATCCAACTTACTGAACCGGATAGTGTTCCCATAGAATAAAGTTGATCATCTCATCTAATGTATGAATGACGGGTAAGTTCCCCAACCTACACCCGCGGCCCGAAACCGTACCCCAGTGTGTATTGGCGTTGGTCAATGACAGGGATATACATAAACACTTGGCCATTTAGCAGCATTAAAGGGCTAGTTATGCTTTGTGTCAGTGAACATCATGCCGTCTTTCAAGCAGTTACCGTCTTCTTCTAACTGGTTTGCTTTGAAGGCAAACATGAAGACGGCCAAAACAACCGACGGCCAAAACAAGAAAGTCCCGTCGGGTAATTTCACTTGCAATATTACCTTTTGATGCCGTCTGGTTCATCTCCGGTTGCTCATCACCCTACAGGGGAGCTCGCGAGGTAAGGCAGGGCAGACGATGGTATCCAGTCACCAGAAGCTGTAGTTTAGACTTCAGACTATCGTTTCACCTCAAAGTTCTCGGGGCCTATCTGAAGAGAGAATTGATCATGGCGTGTGATACGGCCTCCAGGTATGAAACAGAGGAACACCAATCGCGTGAGCCATCAACACGCAAATACTTGTGTTCTCGCGGCAGAACGGCAACGTGTGGTAGCATTGCTCACGAAAATCCCATCGGCCGCTCCGTTCTGCTTAGAAATAGCCAGCACGTCATACGCAATGATACTTAGAGGCTTATCGAGTCGGCCACCTGCAATGACATAGCCCTGCATCGGGGTGTCAGCGTATTGAGAATAGCGCCTGTTTCCCGTAACAGGGAAGTACTACCAGTGACAGACATTGGGCATTAATACAGATGCTTTCTTTAATGTGGAACTCCAGTGCGCTTCTGAATAGCCGGGCGATAACATACTCATGTCGCAACTACTATTTGCAACCAGAGCAGTTGCTACACACATCAAGAGTTGGTAAGGGCTGGAAGCGATTTTGAGCGAAAGAGACGAGGAGCGACCCTGGCGTTCTCCCACTCTTCGCGGACACAAGCCGTCCTCACCCTAAGAGGAGGAGGAAAATGTCACCTCTTGACGAGGTTAGCTCTTCCGATGGGTTGCTTCCGAAATCTCGTTGCCAGGATACCTGCTTGAACTCGGGCCAACACGTCCATCAGGTCCTTATTCGTGTACGTGATCAAGGAAGAACTAGGCCATGGTCACAAGGGGCTTTCAGATGTTGTAGCATGTACGAAATCGGTGTATTATCTTGTGGCTTCTAGTTATAAGATTTATGATGCAACAGTCAGGCGTAAAACTATAAAGCTGCGACTGGTTGGCATTCCCAAAGATGAGAAACAAGTTCATCATTCTTCCACCAGCTTTCTCCCTTACTTCCTATTTGAAAACCATTATCTCACCTTAAAGCAAGATGCAGCGTGACCTCAAGTCCTCCATTGCCATATTTGGCCCTACCGCTTCTGGCAAAACCAAGCTGGGAGTGACCATCGCCAGAACATTTCTGGGCGAGGTTGTCTCCGTCGACAGCCTCCAGTGCTATCGACCGGGGGGCGTCGTCACAGCAAAGCCTCGCGCCGAAGAGATGCAAGGCGTTCCCCATCATATGATAGACTACCTTGAAGCCGATGAGGAACCTCATGATTTTGTAAGCATGGCCGCTGAAAAAATGGACGACATTAGTAGTCGTGGAAAGCTGCCAATCCTTGTTGGCGGCTCGACCTCCCTTACAATTCCTCTGCTGCATGAAGCATTCAAACGTCGGTACCGAATGATGGTGATCACATTGGTGCCTGGTCAATCAACATACCAGTCACTCATCCAGGCCAGGGCTGACGAGATGCTGGAGATGGGTCTCTTAGATGAGCTCACCGAGCTGAAGCGCCTCCAACAGAGCCTTCTCGGTGATGAGCCCGATTTTGATAAAGGTATATGGAAGGCAATCGGATATTCAGAGTTCTTTTCGTACCTTCAATCTGATACGGGCACCGGCGACCACGGGGTCTTGATCCAAAATGCCCTGACATCAATGTACGTCAATACTATACGGTATGGCCTCCTCCAACTGGAGTGGATTCAACACACCTTGATGCCTATTCTGCACAAAGGCCGGGTAGCGTGTATCAGCCTTCCGGTCAGTGACAAAGCATCCTGGATAGTGGATGTTGAAGGGCCTGCGATTTCAATAATCACCGAGTTTTGCCACAACTCCCCGTCAATGTGGCTTCCATCGAAGGAGACCCCAAAACACCGCGTTGTATGCTTATTGTTAGATACCCCCTCCTAATCCCCTTAAGTAGCTTGAGCTAACTTCGTGTAAGTGGTGGAGCCTCTTCCGGTAACGATCCCGCGCATATTGAGGCGGCCAAGGCCCTCGCACATGTGTTGCACCGTCATGACATAAAACTTATATATGGCGGCGGCACCACTGGAATTATGGGTGCCATTGCAGGTACTCTGGTGGAACTGTCTGGCCCAAACGCCGTTCACGGTATCATCCCAGCTGCGCTTGCAAGATACGAGGAAGAGGTGACCAAGGAGTGCGCCGACCCTTCTCGCTTCGGAACTCGGACCGTTGTGAGGGATATGCACACCCGCAAGAGACTCATGGTCAAGTCTGTCCTCGATGGTGCTCCAGGCAGTGGCTTCGTCGCATTGAGTGGGGGTTATGGCACCATGGAGGAGCTGTTTGAGGTTACCACATGGTATCAGCTGGGTATCCACGGCCGCAGTGTTTGCATCTTCAATGTGAGCGGGTTCTACGATGGTTTGTTACACTGGATCAGTAAGGTTGTCCAAGATGGGTTTGTAGACCTGAAGGATGCTGGCATTCTAAGGGTTGCGGCATCGGCAGATGAAGTTGTTTCTTGTCTGGGAGATAAACATTCGTCATCACGAATTGGTGAACTCGAGTGGATTTAGTCAAGGTAGCACGTTATAATGCAGCCCGGTCATCTGAATCTTGTATGAGCAATGAAAATACAGACGTATCCTGCAGATCTACAGGCCCGAATGGTGACGACGTGTATTTCGCAGTTGCCTAGTAGTATTAATAAGCTACAACTTTATAGGCTTAATATCTCAGGCTCCGAGTTAAATATCACCCCCTGATTGTAACTACTAAACGTGTCAACCACCCTTAAACTAATACACTCACTATCTTGAGCGACGAGACAAACACAAAAAGTCATGTCGAAATCCATAACGCACAGTCTGTCGCCTCTTGATTGGCTGATGCCACGATCCTATATTAACCATATCATTTGCTTCGCGTCCTCGAGCTCATCCGCACCGCAGGTTTTTCGTCAAGGTCTGGCGGACACTTTGAGGGATATTCCGTATCTTGCCAGCGAGATCGCCGATCAGGAATATCCCAAAGGATCGATCGCGCTCAGCGAGAGTGACGCCTCTGTCGGTGACCTTTTCCGTGTCAGGGATCTTTCTGCAGCCGCCGATTACAATGATCTCCGCGCACACAATTTCTCCCCCTCGAGTCTCAAAGGCTTGGACTTTTCCCTTGAGGACCTTGTCTCCAGCGGTCGACGGCCTATATTCCGGGCCGTGTTGCTGCTTATGAATGGCGGTTCCGTGCTTTCTGTTAGCGTGCACCACTCGACGACCGACATCACTGGTTTCGGGGCATTGCTCAAGATTTGGGCTTCACATTGCAGCTCACACTCATCTCAGCCTATTGGCTTTTCTGCTGACTGGTTAGACCGCAGGGCGCTGCTCCCGAGCAACTACGTGACGCCAGATGCTGCGCAGATCAACCTGCCAACTCTTTTGCACAGAGTGATTGCCGATGATGTCGAGAAATCCGGAGGGCATGATGATCCTGACCATCTCGACACCTTGATCTTCAAGCTTTCGGGCGATGCGCTTCAGAGTTTAAAAGGCGAAGTGATCAAACATCTTGACACCGATGTGGTACCTTGGGTCTCGACCAGCGATGTCTTGTACGGCATTCTTTGGGCCGCCGTGACTTATGCAGAGGACCAAGCAGATCCAGCACAGCGAGATATCTCGGGCCGAGAAACAGTGCGACAAATGCGCTTCCCTGTTAATGTCCGCAGCCGATTAAGACCGCCTCTGCCAAAAGACTACATTGGCTCCGCGTTTGTTGTGGCTCTGGCGACTGTTGACAATACTGATCTCATTGACATTGCCACGAAAGACGCCGAGGCATCCATCGCAGCTTTGGCACGGGTAGCGGCGGCCATTCGCAAATCTATTTTAACAATCGATAATGAAGCCATGGAAGAGATCGTTGGATTTCTAGCAGCACAACACGACTTGGCCGGTCTCAAGCTCGGACAGCAAGCGGCGGACGTTTCGATCGTCTCATGGGCTGATGAGAATGTCTATGAGCTAGACTGGGGCAAAGAAATTGGCCGATGTGAGGCTGTGAGAATACCTGCACTTAAGAACAAGAGGTACCCTGTCATCTTGCCCCGTTGCTTGAATGGCGACCTTGAATTATTTGTTTGCTTTAATAAGAGCACCATGGGTTTGTTTACGGAGGTAATAACTCGATATAAGAAATCTTGCCGGGTGAGAGAGTAAGTAGTACAAATATAGTTTAATTTCAGGGATTCACATATTATTATATATACTGGGATCTATCAGAAGGATTCTCAAGAGCAAACCACTATGTACAAAAGTGCAGCACCATGCAATCATGGTTATGCAATATCTCGGAGTCGTGGCATCAAGTCTTCGTTTGGGTCCTAAGCTGAGATGGAGCTTACCCTATACTATTGCAATTACGAAGCGCGAAACCAGCTTTCACGCTGGTAGGAATACAATATCCATTTCGTAGCAACATTATACTAAATGTTAACTAAACGGACGCCCATCAGCATGAATGCGAAGTTGAAGTGGCGGGATAGCGTTGAAATAAGAATTGATACCTCTTAAACTATTTACAGTTGAAGTGTCCCGAGGCTCTGGAGCGATCTGATGTTGGTGTGGGAAATAGCACTTTCTAGTGCATTAAAATCGCTGCAAATATCTAGTGCTCTATAAGCTAAAAATAGTTAACTACATTATGGTAGAGCCCCTGATTGATGTTTGCCGATGCTGCCGATCTACGGTGCATTGCCAGTATTCATGATGACTCACTCACATTGCATCAGAGCGTCCGTAAATCTCGTACAGTAATGGATAAATGAACTTTCTATAAAACTGCATGACTTGGCCTTAACCCCTCAGCGGAATTTAATCTCTCCGCAAATCAGTCGGCAAAACCAGCCCCAAGCCCCCAGCACGATCGACCATGACTCCGTCTGCGAAGCTCACGACACACACCTCCCCGGACGTGTCGGAGGATCTGGAGCGCCTACTACAGGCCCATTTGCCATACTCACTACCGGTGCTCCGCCGACTACAACACGCAAAGTACAAAGATGGCATGCCGCCAAACGCGCGCGCGGTCGTCGTCTCGAGCGGCGACGTCCTTGGCGGCGACCAACTCGCCTCAGCCCGGTTCACAGCCGCGTACGTGGACTATGGCGGCGGGCCCGACACGCAGATGTGGCTCTTCTCCACGCTCGAGGAGGTGGAGAAGCCGAGTGACGCGGACAAGGCCGAGTATCGGCTCCAGATCGAGGAGCTGGTCCGGGAGCTGGTCAGGCTGGGCAGGGAGTACGGGAAGCCGACGGTGTATCCTGGGGGTCTGCTTCTAGGGTCATTACATACTGCTGTGCGAGACATCGTGCTCGACCTGGGGCGCGCGGCGCCTCGGGCGACTGGATTCTACGACAAATGGCTGTTTCAAGCAAAAGGTTTCCCAGAGAAAGATGCCCCGTTGCCTGATGGGATGCGATGGGACACGGCGTCGCTGGATGACTGTAGGATTGTCGTGTCTAGAACCGACATTCCCCGTGTAGCGTATGTTTGCGTTGATGGATGGCCCGTTGCGAGTATTTTGCTGACCGAGGACAAAGTGAGACACTGTTCCGCCTTCAGAACTTGATCATCCGGATTGAGGATGGCACACCCATCGCCTGGGCATTTCTAGGTTGGTTTTATGGACGATTCTTGCAGCTTTGCGTGACTGACCGACTTATCTGAATTGTAGGATTTGATGGCTCGCTGTGCAGTCTTTACTGCGAGGTAAGTAGTCACCCGAGATGCTACGTTTTTTTTTACATCATGGCATAATTGACGTTAACACGGACAAGGAACCATACCGCCGTCGCGGCCTGGCCACAGCGCTGGGAGCGAAGCTGATGCGCACCGGATGCGGCCCATATGCGACTGATGGATGGGCGACTGCGGATGTGGCAGCGAGCAATGCCGGTAGCAGAGCGATGTGCAAGAGCCTGAACGGAGAACAGCACTGGGAGGTCTCATGGTAAGTGCTTTTACGTCTCTACCGTGTTTAATTATCGACAATTGCTGATGGGTGCAGGATGATGCTTGATATCACAGAGGACGGTCTCAAGGATTGATCACGCCTGGATAGAATATCTACTTGACCTACATCGCAGCAATCACAGCGCATTAGATTTCATCAATAGAAGACAATAATTCTGACTGGCACGCCACGACAAAAAATGACATGTTGATCTAGTGTCCTGGATTGGTGATATGATTGAGTGATGGATGCGCGGTTAACGCGGTCCTCATTGACAAGCATGGAGAAGCTAGATTGCCACCGCGATTGTGACAATTTCCATCTCGAGGCGGTCTGAACGGCTTCTACACCAATGCGGTTGTGATCCGCAAACCGGTGTCGCGCTTGGAATTAGCTGGGCTTTAAGGGGAACATCGTCCGTGAAGGGAGTTTTCAAGCCAGAAACGTCGGTTCCAGTCGGCCTCCTACCTGAGCTAGAACAAATTTTGAGAATACAGACATCATCTAGAGCTGTGGCTCTGTCGCGTCTCTGTGCGACTGTGTCCCCTCGTCCGTGCTCTGAGCACGTTCTTCTTGATAAGAGCACGTACCATGAAGGATCCATCTTGTGGGAGGGAGCTGGGCTAGGGTATTGTCGAATCCTGCTTCTCCACTGCCTGGAGAAGAAGTTGAGCACGAATCGGCAGGGATTCTAATCAAGCTCATTTCCCGGAGCCGCCAGTTATACTTAAGATATGCATATCTCATGGGTGTGCCGTCTCCCCTATTCACCGAGGACTGCCTGTTCCAGCTCTTCAGGCAGTAGAGAAACTCATGAAAAGGAGAATGCTACGGCAGAATGACTCGCATTGCATGTGAAAAATCGGGAGGAACAAGCTTCTCATCAGACTAGAGGCTTCTGTTCTTCCCGCCGCGAGCTTATGCAAGCCAAGACCCACGGGAATGACCAGACCCTTGTCCGTTCGCAATCGATTCGCTCTGAAAACAGGGAAAATCGACTGAGAAGAAGCACCGGTGAGGTCACATCGAGCCTCTCAACCCCCGCAACCGGCCTCGATTGCGCACGTTCAATCCTCATCCACTCCGTCGCACTAGATGATAGGGGGAACCCGTTTAATTTTCCGATTTCTCTGAAGGATGTTCGTCTCATCTGATGGGTCTACATAGTATCCATTGTAGCACACGTGGGGGGATCCAATTACCCCCCATTTGAGGCAAATGGGAGGAACATTCCACGCAGCTCTTCTCTGGCTTCATCCATTCGCTCATGTCCTGATCTTGTCATTTTTCTCTCTCTTGATTCTGGTGCTGCAGAGATAGAATGATCTGACCAGACATTGTCAGCGACAGGCACGACAATGCGGCCTTTGGGAACCTGCTGGTCACTCCTCAGTCTCTTTGTAGGGCATTGTGTGGGAGGAGTCGCGCAACAGCGTCTCACATATCTTCGTCCACTTCTGGACCAGAAGGATCCGGCTCACATCGCGGCAAACTTTCTCGATGTCGACGACGAAATACTGTCGCCCGCGTTCACATCTCCAGACACTGTCCCTGAGGGTTTCCGCCATGGAATCTCGGGACCGACACCTCAGAATGTTCTCGGTGAGTACCGCAGGACCTTCCTTTCCATGGGAAACATGTACTGAGACGACATGCTGCACAAAGAGGACTGGCTGAAGACCCTGGCCGCCAGAAACGACTGGATGAGCTACCAGGAACCAGACTTCACGTCCGAAGAAGGACGATCAATTCCCTTCGTCACCTTGTCAAGCACCTCACCACAGTCACTACCGTTAATTGATAATTCTAATCACACCAACAACTCCTCCAAGCTGCGGATCTGGCTCACCGGCGGCGTCCACGGCGACGAGCCAGGAGGCGACCAAGCCATCCTCGCCCTCCTCGGCAAACTCGACGCCAACACCTCCTTCGCCTCTGCCCTCCTGGACAAGGCCGACCTCATGATCCTCCCTCGCTACAACCCAGACGGCGTCGCACGCTTCCAACGCAGCCTCGCCAACGGAGCCGACCCCAACCGCGACCACACCGAGCTCGCCCACCAGCAGACAATCGACATCAAACGCCTCCAGAACAGGTTCGCGCCGCACGTCGGCATCGACTGCCACGAGTACTACGCCAACCGCCGCCACGGGAGGCACGCCGACCTCCTCTTCGCGCAGGACGCCATGGTCTCGCCCATGAAGAACCTCAACGTCCACCCGACCATCCGCGCCCTCTCCCAGACGCTCTTCGTCGACCGCATGGGCGCGGCCATGGACGCGAGGGGCCTGCGTTGGGGGCCGTACGTGACCCGGCCGAACGCCTCCGAGATGGTCCTCCTCGAGATGGGGACGGACGCCAAGATGGACACGCACGTCGCGTTGGGCCAGGGGGTGCAGATCCTCACGGAGACAAGGGGGACACACCTTGGGGAGCAGCATTTCCGGCGGAGGGTGGCGACGGGCCTGGTGCTTTTGGAGACGGCGATGGAGGCGGTTGTTGAGCATGCTGGGGCGATTTATGACACAGTTGAGGCGGCGCGGGCCGAGTTTATCCAGAGTAAGGGGGATATCGTCGTGACGGACCGTCATCGGATGATGGAGGCCAACTGGACGTTTATTGATTCTGACTCAGGGAAGATCAAGGACGTCCCTGTTCAGTTTGGCAATAGTACGCCGATGGTAGCTGAGATCACGCGTCGCCGCCCGGAGGCATACGTTTTTGGTCCGGAATGGACCAGCATTGCTGAGAAGCTGCGCATCGCCGGTGTCGAGGTTGAGACTCTCACTGCACCGTTCCAAGGAGAGGTCGAGGCGATACACGTTCGCGGATCAGGAGACGAGGTGGTATCACAAGAGGAGACGACGCCCCGGGTAATCGCTAATACGGAGGTAATACGGAAGGAGGTGCAGATACCCGCAGGCGGGTTTCGAGTCAGCACGAGACAGAGAATGGCAGCGCAAGCGTTTGTCAGGTTGGAGCCAGAGAGCGTGGACTCTTTCGCCGCGTTCCGGCTGCTCCCTGCCTCTCCTGGGGATGAATACCCCGTCTACAGAGTAATGTCCTAGCGAAACAGCGAGGGTAAAGAGCAGCTGCTGCAATAGCTGTCCTCTATTCACAGTTGTTGAGCTAATGTTTAATGATAATGATAGTATATGAAAGTAGTGTTCTATTCAATCGTTCATCCACCCGTCAACTTCCACGCGTCAATGTATGTCGGAATCCTAAATACACTCATAACTACAGTGAATCAATCCACTCTAGGGCGAGCTTGGGCTCAATCCTCTTGCGGAAATCCGCTTCGACATACTTCTGGCGGACGATACCCGAGCCATCCACTAGCAGCGTCGCGGGAACCGGCACCTCGAACGAGTCGTCCCCATTATGCTCCTTCAAGTTGATGCCATGCTGGGCATAGAACTCTCTCGCAGCCGACTGGTTGTAGATGAGCCCAAGCTTCCTCGCGACCCCGTTGCCAAGGTCGGTCAGCACGGGGAACTTGAGCTCATTCTTCTCCGTCGTGCTGAGACTCTTGTCCGGCAGCTCGGGGGTCAGGGCCACCAGGGTGACGCCACGGGCGGCGAACTCGTCGAGGTGACGCTGCAGGAACTGGAGAGCGACGTTGCAGTAGGGGCACCACTGGCCGCGGTAGAAGGTGACGAGGAGGGGTCCCTTGGCGAGGAGGTCCTCGCTCGAGACCTGCTTGCCCGTGGCATCGGTGAGGTTGAAGCTGGGGAACTTATCGCCGATCTGCACGGCGGACTCCGGCTTGAAGTCTTTGGTGAAGTCTTCGAGAGCCTTGATGACTGGTTCAATTCCCGGAATGTTCTTGGCCTGGGCGGCAATGGCCTCGAGTTTCTCGCTTTGACTCATGTTTGCGATGATTTGGAGGATTGTTGAGAGGAAGTAAGGATCAAGGTATTTCTTAATGTATTGATTAATGTCTGTGAATGTGTGAGGCTTGTGATGAGGGACATGATGGAAGATTGACGAGGTATATCACCATATATATACCCTTTCCAACGCAACCTGACAAACATCTCATGGATATTGCCTTCGTCATTGTTTGATACTGGAGGTTCCGAGCTCGTCCGAAGCAAATGAGATTACCAATATGCAAGGGTTCAACTGACAAGGGGTTCTGATCCACATTCGTGCGACGCGTCCGAGAGTTGATGACTGAGTCTCTTCTTTCCATCAACATCCATTGAGCGCGATTGATTCCCCTCGGGTTGACGGCACAGGCTAGAACCAGGGTCTACCGGACGAAATTCAGGTAGAATACCTTTGCTACCTTGTCTGCTCGAGAATGTCCCGGAAGTTGGAGCATCGGGGCCCAGGTCCTGCCCAGTCCCCAGCCAAACGCATGCGGCTTGGCACCAAAAGCTGCAGTGAGTGCCGCCGTCGAAAGGTCCGCTGTGAATTCGACGACGGCAGTGACAGCTGTCAGCAGTGCGTCTTGCACGATGCTCGATGTATACCACAAGATGATTACGCAGTCTCAGCCGAAGCCTCTGCTTCTGCTAGTGTGCCTCCGTCAGCTTCCGCCTCCACTTCGGACGATTTACAAGCTCGAATGGGCTCCCTGGAGGCTTCCGTCCGTGAGCTTTGTCAGGCTATTAGTCAAACGGGTATCAACCACTCTTCTCTTTCCGTGGCTGCACTCCCTGCCCAGTCCTCTGAGCATGAGCAGGGAACTGGCGCAAACCAGGACGCTGCCCTTGACGAGGCACCGCTGATTCAATACCTCCGTCACTCGCTGGCTACGCAGGTTGATACCACTATTCGGAGCGACGATCCGTCGCGTGAGCCTTGTGCTGGGAACCCCATCATCGGTCCCAAGGAGAGACGTATCCGTGATTTGATCCCCGTGAACTCAACCTTGGTGAGGATGTTCGATTTGTCACATAAATTCTGGGATGTCTGGCCTCTCCATTCGGCTCGCGATGCCAATTCACATAATATCCATGGTCTTCCGACCTCTGTGGGAGATGCTGTTGGATTTATCGATGACTCGTTGCGTTCCTCCAACCCGAGCATCCTGGCCAAATGCCTTGTCTGGTTTTGCCTTTGCCTCCAGCAACTGCCCCCGGCATACACGACAAACCCGGAATTCTGCCTTCCAATGCCCAAGGCTAACCTAATGGACAAATGCCTCGATGAGTTGGACGTCGCTGTGTTCCAGCGTAGCTCATCACGCTTGGGCTGCGATTTGGACTTGCTCGAAGTGTACATTCTCCAGGCTGAGCTCTTCGTCAACATGGGTCGACCTTGCAGAGCGTGGAAGTCGGTTCGACAAGCAGTCGATAACGCCATGCTCCTTGGACTTCACCGCCCTGAGCAAGACGGTGCTCGGTTGAAGTCGATATGGTCAACACTCTGGCGACTAGATAGGCAGCTGTCGATGTTTTTAGGCTTGCCCTATTCGGTTCCAGGCGATTTGATATTGCAGGATGACAGAGATGATGGGATTTACCTCTCACTCGAGCACCAGATCGTGCAATCCGTGACCTTTGTCTGTGGTCGGATTGTCGAGCGTGACCAGCGACGGCAACAACGATGGCAAGAGAAGACATCATACAGCGATACAGTCTCCATCATGGAGACGATGGAACGTATCAGAAACTTGATACCAACAGAGTGGTACAACTTTGAGCGCGTGAACCAACCTCAAGTAACCCCTGCCATCGCATTCTCGCGCATGTCCATTCTCCTCCATTTCCATTTTACCAACACATTACTTCATCTGCCCTACGTTCTTCTAGCCGCGCACGATAGAAAATACGAACACAGTCGCTTTCTTGCGCTGGAATCCGCCAAAGCCATGGTGCAGACGTACCTCAGGCTCCGGAGTCTGATAGAAGACAACTTTACCTGCGACTTTCTTGACTTCCTCGCTTTTAGTGGGGGAATCGTCCTCGCTGCCGATCTCATCAAGCGAGGCCAAGGAAAAAAGCCCGACGATGAGCGCATCTGGGAGTTGCTGCGCGAACTATCTTCGAGACTGGGTCAAACCGCGGAGGAATTGGGCTGCTCAGTCGCGACACAGGCGGCCGAAGTCCTCAGAAATCTGTACAGCATCTCTCGAGGTGAGTACCATAGCCCGGATTCCCACGAGATTATGATTCCCTACTTTGGGATAATGCGGATCAGAGCACCGAATCCGCCGGGCCAGGAACGTTTCCAAGCATGGAGAAAGGTCTCGTTATCTTCGGATCCAAACATTGTCGACTTCAGCACGGATATGTTCTCGTTTCGCTTCCCGAGCGAGCTCCAGACGGCCGAGGAGTTGGGTCAAGATTGGGAAGATTTGGTTGCCAACCCTATGTATGATAATGATGGATATTTTAGTTAAGACCTGCTAGGATGTTCTACTACTTGTTTCTTGTTACTGCGTTTTTCGTTCACAGTTCATGCTGAAGACACTCACCAGATTTTGGCACTTTTCATCCAAGCTTTAGGTCCAAAACCAACTATAATGGCTCGGATTCACATCATCCTATAAGGTAGCAACGATTCCCCAAGAAGCAGTGATAAGCATTGATTTCTCCAAGCCAGAATCTAGGCCGTACCGTACCGGCTAGCCCTCCCGAGGGATGATCACCTGTTGCCTATCCATGAGTTATGAATGGGCCGCTTATCGCAACTACCTAGTGCAACGGAATCAGTCAACACTGTTAGTATAGATACATAGAGACTAATCAGGAAGGTAATTCTTTAAAGGAGGACTCCTTTACTTCTTTTACATCGTTTTACGGCGGTGGATTTTTCCGATCACCGGAGTGCTGACCCGAGTGACCCCATCCATGTTTGAGCCTTGTCTCGAAAAGTGTCGACAACCCTTGTGAGACATGCCAAGCTCCCCTAGCTAACCACAATAGCTGACCGGAGACGTAGCATCCGTAATTTGATGTCCTTCGTATCCGAGGACCAAGAATGGGACAGGATACGATTGACCTCGACTATAAAGAGTCGCGAGGCCATCGTCGTATTAGATCTCATCTCCCCATAGCATGATTTTCTATTGATTGGATTATCGCCAGTGCGAACAAAACTGCCCACAATGCTGGCGCTTGCTACCTTTCGTCGGGGGTTTCTCCCAGCCCTTTTGGCATTGATATTGTGTGCCGGACATGCAGCCGCCGCCAAAGAAGTCTACATTCCCTCGTCCTGGGCCAGCACAGGCGAAGTCCCGTGGACTCAGGACCGTACCAAGCAGTCGAACAACTTCATCTTGCTGTGGGGTGAGAAGTCTGGCACGAACCCAGTCTCAGCGCCTGGCGACTATGCCTTCGACCCTGATGATATTATCACCCAGCTTGAGAAGCTCTATTCGTTCTACGTCAATGACATGAAATTCACCCCAGAAGCCGGCCTTCTAGCACAGTATAAGATCATTGTCATCATCACCCGAACATGGAACCGCGTTGAGTTGGATGGATGGGCTACAGGTGGTAGCGCAGAAGGCAAAGTGGGCGTGATCAACGTTGCTCCCGGTGCTGCACTGCCTGGTTCCTGGGGTCTCGCTCACGAACTCGGACACGTCTTCCAGAACCTTGCTTTCCTGGGCAAGTCCGGACTTGGCTTCACTGACCCATCGTCGGGTACCTTCTGGGAGGCCAGTGCCGAATACATGGCCATGCAAGTCTATCCAGACGGAGGAGCCGGTGATCTTACTCGCTTCCTGCGCACTGAGAACCTCGCGTACTCGTCAAGCAGACATCATTATGGCGCTTGGATGTGGATTCAGTACATTGTCGACAAGAACAGCAACAACATTGAAATCTTCAACCGCCTGTGGAACGAGGCAAAGAATAATGAGCATCCCCTGCAGACTTACGAGCGACTTGCCGGCCTCACCCACCAGCAGTTCAATGAACGGATGGGCGAGTATGGACAGCACCAAGTGACGTACGACTATAGCAACAAAGCCCACTTTCAGCAATTCGTCGACAGCGTGTACGGCTATGAGTTCATCAATGCATTCAACGGCATCGCCGTCGACGCAGTGAACAAGGACGCCGGCCACTACGCTGTCCCAACAGCCCTCGCACCATCCGACTACGGCTACAACAAGATCAAGCTGGTGCCCAGCAGTTCCGGTGCCCTGATCAAGCTCCACTTCAAGGGCCATGAGAACAGTGCCGCGGGTTCTGGCTGGAGCTACGGCTTCGTCGGTGTGACGAACAAGACTCCTCGCTACGGACCAATCTACACCGCTGCGGACAGTCAGATCGAGTTCCAGAGCAAGGCAGGCGAGGAGGTGTACCTTGTTGTCGTAGGCGCGCCCTCGACTGTGCACAAGTACAGCTTCGAGAGCGGCTACACCAACCAGTATCGGTACCCATACGAATTCGGCATCAGCGGCGCCGTACCCTCTGGCTATGAAGCCGGCTACACCAAGCCTGCAGCCGTTGGTGGCAGCTGGCATAGCAACGGCGGCGGCTGGGTCAGCAGCCGAGCAACGGTTGCTTCAACCGCATATGTAGGCCCACGAGCGGCCGTGTACGGAAGCTCGACCGTCAGTGGAAATGCTCGTATCGAGGGGCTGGCCTGGGTCAACTCGGGCGCAACCATCAGCGGTAATGCCGTGGTAAAGGACAATGCTCTCATCCAGGGCGGCGCCAACCTGTCTGGCTCGATAGTTGTCGGTGGTGATGCTGAGCTGGCCATTGCCTGCTCTTCTGGCACGTACTTGAGATTTGATGGAGCGCGTGGATGTGATGGAAAGGCAGGGGAAACCGATGTCAACCCTACAATCACGCATTTTACCGATGCTCAGGTAGCTATAAGCTAGTGTCCACAGACATTGATTAGTACTCCTTCAAAATTTACGTATTTATTCGATGAATTAGGAGGGCTTTTTGTACGAATAAACCTCTGAATGGTGACATTGATTCTAACACATCATGATTTGACTTTGCCTGCGTAAAAGTTTGCAATAATGAGAGAGCAAATGGTCTAGTTGCAATGGTTTAGATCCCTTGCTCGACGAACGACCGAAGTCGACGCCAACGACGCACTCGTAGAATGATGACGAAGTCACTTCCTGGCTTTCTTTGACCACCACTGCTCTTCTGATTATATTGGCTCCAAGAATAACACATCAAGGCATCGAAGCTTCCACTGAATTAGAGAATGCTATTGTTTAACAAAGCCGTACACTCTATCGATGGCAGTCTACTTATGAGTACTCAAATCTAAGACTTCTATTAGCATTATATTCTGAGTTCGACTACTACGATTGACAAGCTCAGCATCCCAATAGCCTATAATTGCGCAATGTGGCTAGGTTTCGCTCTCTGATCTCCCATCACACCCTATTGCTAGATACCTGTAGGAGCAACCGATCCAAGGCTGCCTGATCCAGACGATCGCACATAAGCCACCCATATCTCTCTAGAAAATCCGGAGGGTTCCTTTCATGTAATTTCTCGAGTCAAATTTGAGTTCGTTTGAGGTAAAATCCTGGTATCGTTCATTGAAGATTCTATTCTGAATCTCGGGCTCCCCATCAAACGGCATCAAGGGTCTTCTTCGATTTAGCGAGGGGGGAGAGTGCAAAGGGTTCCATGCCCAAGTGCTCCCAAAGCGGAAGCATCGTAGATTTTGGAGCCTATCGGTGAATCCGTCAAAGACATGCTGCCATCGCGTTCCGTAGGTAACATATCGAGCTGGAATTGCGCAAAGAACTCCCAACTCATGAATCGTATCGTTTACTATTAAAGAAGCCAAGATAAGGCCAGTATAGCGCATACGCCGACTGTGTACTTGGCTCTAACCATAGTGCCAGCAGAGCACAGCTCCTGGTCCGTCACGGCCTTCCCGTCGTCGCAAATATGTGCAGTAGGTCTACCAGGAGTAGACGACGAACTTGTCGTAGGAGTAGGAGTATAAGCTACTGAAGCCTCGGTCTTCCACGCACGCGACTGTGTAGCATTTACCGTCGTTATTGTGGCTGGATTCGTTCCGGACTGCACGTTGCAAACAGCGCTCCTTCGCGGTTTGTTGGAACGCCCCTCACGACACGTGTATGTAGAACCAGCCCTACATTCAAGAACAGTCAGTATACAGGAAACGGTGAAGGGGGAAAGTCAGTTGGCTTAAACGTACATCTCAACTGTCACATTACTACTAGCACCATCGGTGTAGGTCTGCCCAGTGAACAAAGCGCAGCTAGATGATGCAGGGGTCGGTTGACAGGTAAGTATGTACTCTGTGCTGCTCAGATTCCGGGTTACAACGGACGCATACAGCGTTTCCGTAGTGGCATTGGCGGCATCTATGCCTGGTATCCATAGCGAGTAGGTTGTTGTAGACAGCTGGATGCTGCTGGTGCTTAGAGGCGTGGCAATGCTAGTAGTTGAAGTCATTGGAGTGCAAAAAAAGAAGAAGAGGTCTATCACCGGAGTTGTAAAACTGGTGAATGACAGGACGGTTTTCTATTCTTATTTAACGCTTAACTGAAGGTCTAGAGCAACTGTCGTCATTGTAGACCGGGTATGGCTGCTGAGGACGATCTTTACTGTGTCAAGGAAATCTAATAGTGATAAGCATAATTGGTGCTAACAAACGAGGCAATGTCCGAGAGCTTGGCGGCTGTGTTCGCCACTTTTGCTCACCAAATGTAGGGGTCAAAGGCCTATCGACGTCATCAGGATCAATTTAGGATCAGTCTTAACCGGTGGTGTAGAAATTGACACTGAGCTTTCGAATCGATGAGTTCTATTTGTATTAGCTATCAGCGTTCTACTTTCCATGATGATTGGGGTTGTTGGTCCAACGGTGTCACGCGATTATTGTTCTTTCACCAACGAAGTTATTGTAATCAAACCATGTACTTAATTTTCCGGTTTGATAGACCGCTCTATCTACCTGGACTTCATTAAATGGCAGAGATCGGATAAATACCTAGCAAGCCACCCCAGATGGCCGCGCATAGCCCCCGAGGCACACTAGGTAGGGCGATCCCACATGAATTTTGTCCTCAGCCTCTCATCATATGGATTAACTTCCTTCACGTGGAGCATGCTAAACCAAAAGGGAAAGAACTAACAAGTGAGTCTTCTGGGGAGAATTTACAGACAGTCAGAGCAGGCATTTGCATAGCTTAGCCTAACAGACGATGAAAGCGATTCGGCTATCGACTTCCATAAATTCTACATTGGCATTGAGCGATGCCCTTGAGAAAACACCGAATACGCAGGCATGAAGCGAGGGGGATTCAAGGCCTTACTGCATCTGGAAAGTTGCGCGAGTAATTCCCGGCTTGGGTTGGGAGTTGTGTTGCAAAGTACAGCAGAGAAGAAGGGGGAGAGAACGGCAGTGCAAATAATGATATTCAACTCAATAATCATACATGCTATAGATCTCTCTTTGACCAGAGTGCTCCGTCGTAGCCAGTTGGCCACCTCTTAATCCACGATGTGGTTGTAGATGGAACACAGATGGAACACTGTGACCTCCACTGTACACGCATGTTAGGGAACCCTGCTCCTTCGGCCTGTCTGCTAGAACATTCCATTTTCAACAAATAAGCTGTGAACTCATCTCACTTCGATACTCCCTGAATCAACAATAGGGGATGAAAATACCAAAAATTCTTCAGACCACACAGTGTTGAATACAGGCCTATTCATTCCATCACTCCAGCGGAAAATGGGCAGGTAAATACACTGGGGTTGTGTGTTAGTAAGAAACTCACTCCTTGGTCTTTGCGTCATAGCTCTCAATCCTTACCGCCACGAAGAGTCAAGAGAATCCAGGTCTATGTTGTTGACACCAATCAGCGACAGGGTTTCTGTGAATGCCCAAGAAACCTCGTAACTTGCCTTCTGATCGCCCTTATAGGCCCGAGAGCGGCATCCCAATGCGCGAAAATGCCTGGCATTCCAAAGTCGCGGGGATGTCAGATTTGCAAGCGTAGGAAAGTCAAGGTACTCTATCCGTCACCACACAAGGCGAATTCCGATTGACTGACTGGCTTTATGAAGTGCGACGAGACCTGGCCCTCATGTGACCAGTGTACGCGAATCAAAACTGATTGCCCTGGACCGACAAAGCTGTTCAAGTTTATCAACAAGACCACTGGCGGCGCTCCCAGAGATGAAATTGCAGAAGGCACCGCCGTCAGTAGGCCGAGTTCGCCCGTGATTCACATGCGCAAGGTGCGCTACTCTAATGTCAATGATGCGGCCGCGGGATACGGACGCCTACAAATGACCCTTCCCCGGGGCAACCCTACGACAGTGGCTGATCGTGTTGGCTTCCGCCTCGCCTCGACTCTGGAGCGAGGTCCGGCAGAAGTCGTCACAACATTCATGGGCTATCTCCCCGAGCTTCCGAAGCGGATAGCTGAGAGCCCTTGCTTGCGCGACTCAGTTGACTTGTTTTGCACTGCATGGGCGAGTTTCCGGTCTCAAAGTCCACGTAAACCGCTCCTCGCGATGCCGCAATATGGCAAGTCGTTGCGTAGTCTGCACAAGGCGTTGACCAACGGCGAGGCTCACCGGATCGAAACCCTAGCTGCCATGACGTTGCTCGAACGAACTGCGCGGTTGTTTGACATAAGTTCTGAGAGCCTAAATTTCCATCTGAAAGGAATCAGACAAGTATTCGTTCAGAAGACTTTGCCAAATCCAAACGATCAGCTGGACATCAAGCTTACCAACGAAGTTCATGCACTGCTGGTAAGCACCTCCAGGCCATTGCTTAGCCATTGCATCACTCAAGCTTCCGTGCTAACTCGAACCATAGCTGAGGGATTGGCCTGGGCCAAGTGAGGACATGACCGCACTCACGTCTGCACAGAAGGAGGCTCTGAGCCAGTGTGCAAGTTCACAGCTTTCTAATCTGGAAAGTCGTCCGTTCGTGGAGAGAGACATCATGGTTCTATATACTTGCGCCGAGAAGTTCATCAAGCTGCTTGCCGACTTTCAACAGGTACTTCGCAACCCGGAAAATAAGGAAATGGCCAGCTCCGTTCGCCGAGGGCTACATGAGATGAAGAACGAGGGACAACAAGCCGCCGCCGATTCGCTAGCTAGGTGGATCGAGGATGGCGGCATCAAAGAAGAACTTGATCCGGCCTTTGTGGCAGGCAAGCGTTACGAGATTCATTCCATGTATCTCATTGGTTTGTATCATGCTATGATCATGTGCCAACTGATTCCTTTGAGTGTACTGCACCACCTGGATGTCATGTGTGGAACTCAAGACAGCACCGTCATGGACGAATCGAGACAGGTTGGCGCTGAATTGTGGAAGATGATGCCGGCAATAAAATCGCTTGAGCCAGTCATCGCTATCATCATGATGGACGGGGCTTGCATGAGCTACGAGTTTGCGGACGAGCGGGGAAGGGAGTACGTGCTGGAAACGATTCTTGATATTGACAGTTCGGTTGGACGATATCCAAAGGAGAAGGAATCGCTGCGCGGCGCGGTCATGGATAGAGTAAGACTCTTGACCGGACGAAACTTGAACCAGCCTATTCAAGGCCTTGTTTTGAGTTGACCTGCAATAATGAAGGCTTTGTATTAATCGAGATACCAAGAACAGCCCCCTTACAAACCATTTGCTGCAGCCAACTTGACCATTCCTGGGTCAAAGCTTTCCTAGCTTCTTAAGTCTCGCAATTAAATATGCTACTGAGAGCAAGTATTGAACGCTCAACTGACTGAGAACTAATCGCCTCCATCAACAGAGTCCTCCCAATCATCCTCCTCTTCGCTAAAGCTATCCTGGTCAGCCTCTTCTGCAGCGTCACTCTCATCAGCTTCGTCTCCAAACTCAAGCTGCTCAAACCGCTTCAGATAGTAAAGCACCTCGTCGTCCCCCTCATACTTGGAGATGAGGTACTTGATATGCTGTCTCTTCACATTGTTTTCCCTCATTGCACTGATCATTATTTGTAGCATCTTCTTCTCGCCCGCTATATCTGTTTGGCACGCAACATCCAACGCTGATGGCAGATTGCCTACCGGACCACACGCGTAGCCCATGTTCACGAGAGGCTCGATGAAAAGCCTCAACTTGTCTGCGTCCATTTCCAAATCCACATGTCCTACCCCAATAGCCCGGAAGTAGGCAGCCAGTAGCGACTCCGAGTCTCCGTTCGGATATGTTACCGGAATTTCTAGTCTGGCTCCATATTGGATCATGTATATGACCCATTCGGGCTTCAACCCAGTTCGGAGCTCTTCAAAACCGTCCATATAAAATCCGGCTGGGAGGGTGAACTGAGATACGGGTGCTTCAGGCAGACCGAGGTCCGGGATACCGTTAAGGTAGAAAGCCAGAGTTTTCATATCTTGCACCAACCAGGCCAGCTCGGTTGGCGGGAGATCATCTATGACCTTGACTGCGATCCTATGGGCGGCCAGCTCTTTGACGACCTCAATGTACATAGCAAAGGATGCACGCTCACGGTACCTTAGGAAGGCCGCGTCTAACATACTTTCAGCGACTGGGGGCTCGGCGCCCTCTGATATCATCCATGCCGCAATGCGGAATAGACCATGGCTTAGAGCGCGTCGAACAGGAGTCTGGCCCAGGACGTCCACCAGATCCATAGAGGCACCGCCTTTAACCAGAACCTGGACAAGGTCTTCCATATGATTCTCCTTGATGCGGTATGGAAAGAACTTGTCGCCGATTTTCTTGCTGGGTATGATTCCGTTTTGGCTGCAGGCAAAGTGAAGCGCCGTGTTGCCTCTCTTGTCTTGGGCATCAATGTCGATTTCAGGACGTGTATTGAGGAGTTCCTGCAACACCTCAGGCGATCCCTCCTCTATCGCCACAGTGAACAGCAAGTTGAGATGTCCAAGACCTACCTGAGTAGGGGATTCCTTGATTCTCGGATCTTTCAGGAGCATCAAGGCTAGATCGGATCTCTTATGACCACATGCGTACTGCAAGGCTGTTTCTCCTTCGCGGGTTACTGCTAGCGGGTCGATATCGGGATGGTCCAAGAGCATCTGCACTACTTCTGGGAGTTCTTCTTCTATCTTGAGATCTTTTATCTCTCTTCGGTGCTCGAGGGCACAGTGGAGAACTGTCTCTCCCCGTTTTGTCACTGCACCGACATCGACTCCGGGCAGGTTCAAAATCAAATCAGCCATTTCTTTTCCACGGACAACAGCGCCGTGTAATGGCGTTGTACCGGCGTTGTTAGCCTTGTACTCGAACTCTGGGCGCGAAGTGAGGATCCTGGCAGTCTCAACTGCGCCGCTAAGCATCGCAAGTAGGAGAAGGTTGTCGCCATCCTCCAGCTCCATGTTGGCATCCAGTTCAGGCCGGTCAAGAAGCAGCTCGAGAAAGCTAAATTCATTCTCCATCGACATGACAAGATAATGGATGACAGTCATGCCAGTTTTCGACACAGGGAGATAGTCTGACATGGGCTTCGACAGGTCGAAATCGGGATACTTCTGTAGGATGGCTCTCGCGAGATCATAGTGCCCCGCAAGGGCAGCAGAATAGAATGCTTTCATTCTCTCCTGCTCAACAGCTTCCTCGAATACCTCAAGTACCACGGCCTGGTCATAGCCATTTCTAACAAGGTCGATCGGCTGCAGTCTCATGGCGTTAGAGAAGTGGCGCGCTCCCTTCTTGATGAGAGCCTCTACATAAGGGTGCGCTTTTTCCTTGACAGCGAGACGGTTCGCTTGGAAGCCTAGATGTATTGCGTAACACCCCCCGGCCGCAGAACCGCAAGGGCAGCCCTGACACGGGACGTTGAAATCGACTCCCTGGGCCATCAGATAGTCAAAAATGACCCCGTTGCCAAGATGAACAGCGGCGAAGAGGGGTGTGAAGTACCCATCGTTCGAACTCCAGTCAAAGCCGTCCTCGTGCTGTTCGGCAACACCGTTAGAGTTCAGATCAGCACCGTACTCGACAGCGCGTTTCATTGTATCCAGGCGCCCATTCTGGGCCGCCCATGAGACACAGGACGCTCGGCGCGGATCACGCCTGAGATTTCGCTTGTAGAGTCCCTCATTGAGAACTGTGTACAAGTCGCGGCATGTGCGGGCAAGTGCCGCATGGTATCGTGCATATGATGCTGGTAGAGAGTCGGAGATGGGATCGCAGCCCCAAGTGCAAGCCTCCGCAATCTGCTCGAGGATGCTGATGGGGAGGTTCAGGATGTAAGCCATTCTCGTAGGGATCTACCTGTCAAAGGATGATGATGAAAAGAGGAGAATCATTGGCGGTGACACGAGCTCTGGGAAATGAACGAGGCGCGTGATAGGCGACCAACAGCCCGATGACGGCCAACGGCCAACGAATTTTTTGGCCAAGTATTCACGTTTGCTAAAAATAAGCACAGGATCCTCCACTTGGCACGACCACTAATAACAGCTATTCATGTTTGATTTGCGAGTGAAATTTGGATGCTTACGACACCAGGGTCGAAAATTGTGTCGAAGTCGCCGAATAACGAACATACCATCAATGTCAGCACAAGAGTTATAAAGGCAGGTTTCTACTTTGTAACCAGAGCGAGATTTGTGGGAAGCTTTTTGAATTATGCAGGTCTATGCCCTCTAAGTGCTGACACGTGTGTTCCAGTAAGGCTTTCCTTGCTTTTGTGAGCGCCTAACAAGAGGCGCTTCTCATTGGTACCTTCTGCTGACATGAGAGGTGCAGCTGAGGCAGATTTCTTCCCCGCTCAAGGCAGTCTTTCAAATGGAATAGACACGGTCGAGTTTTGACAGACTGCCCTTCCTCTACTACAACACCTTTCCTACTACTCGGATAAGGATATTTTGATGCCCTAGGCAGGAAAGGGGATCTCTCAGGTCAGAAGACTACCGTCCAAATTTTGAAGCCATTGGAACTACACGTCACCTGCGATCACATTATTTGTTCACTATTGTTCAATATTGTTCACTATTTGTTCACTTGATACCCAAAAGCACCCCCTAAAACCAGACAGATTTGTCACTGGAGTTCGAGAGCAAGCCTCTGCGGAAACCCACTGCAAGTCCAAAAGATGACGGGCAATGTTAGCCCAGCCGATCGGGAGAAGGCGAAAGCAGATGATGACGCTGGTCACAAGCTGATGACACATGGCGATTACACTGTGGGATGGGTCTGCGCATTGCCCAAGGAGCAAACCGCCGCGACGGCCATGCTGGATGAAACACATCCTGACTTACCAAAGCCACTAAATGACTCGAATACGTACACTCTGGGACGCATCGGAAAGCATTCCGTTGTGATAGCCTGTCTTCCCAAAGGCCAGGTTGGCACAAATTCGGCAGCAACCGTTGCCACACAAATGATAAGAACCTTTCCTTCTATTAGGATCGGTCTGATGGTCGGCATAGGAGGTGGCATTCCATCCAAAGTCAGGCTTGGCGATGTCGTGGTCGGCACACCTTCAGGCCAGTTTTCTGGCGTCGTTCAATGGGACTTCGGAAAGGCTCGTGAAGGCGGCAAGTTCGAGAGGACAGGTTCACTGAACTCTACACCCGCTTCACTTGGGACAGCTTTGGCCAAGTTGGAAACAAAACATGATTTGGAAGGGACCAAAGTACCAGATTACGTGGATGAAGTCAAACGGAAATGGCCGGATTACGCTTCAAAGTACCTCCGTTCTGACACTTTGATAGATCCGTTGGACAGGATAAATCGCTCACACGATACTTGCACAAGATGGCTAGCCATGTTGTTTTCAATGATCTGGGCTAGTTTGTTGGCTATTATTCGATTTCTTTCTGGCTCACAGACGTTTTCTGTCATGAATGATGCAACCGAGCAAGTGGAAAACTTGCCGCCTCCTGCTAGTGACAGAGAACAAAGGAGACCTGGGGAGGTACGAGTGCATCATGGTCTTATTGCGTCCGGCAATCAAGTAATCAAAGACGCTGTCTTACGCGATAAACTCGACAAGGATCTTGGCGGGCATGTTTATTGTGTCGAAATGGAAGCGGCTGGGCTGATGAACAATTTTCCGTGCGTTGTCATTCGAGGCATTTGTGACTACGCGGATGCCCAAAAGAATAAAACTTGGCAGGAATATGCTGCACTGGTTGCTGCGGCCTTTGCCAAGGAACTTCTGGTGAACGTACAAACAAGCGAAGTTCATGGAGAACGAACAGTGAAGGACATTCTCGAGCCTGGTGAGCAGTCTCGATAGAACTGAATCTTTCATTTCCGTGTACTAATTTTCGATAGCTCTAAAAGTCCTTGATGAAGTAAGACACGAAGTTATCAGCACGAGAGAAAAGATTCAAAAGAACGAAGAGCTTGAAATTCTCAAATGGCTCACTCCAATCGACTATAAGCCTCAGCATGGTGACATTCTCCAGAAAAGACATCCAGGAACTGGCCAATGGTTTTTAAAATCTATCAGATACAAGGATTGGATAGAGAAGGAGAAGGACATATTATATTGCCCCGGAATACCAGGCGCGGGGAAGACAATCCTCACAGCTACCACCATTGAGGATCTTACTTTGCGGTATCAGGACAACCAAAATATTGGCATTGCATTCATTTATTGCAACTTCCGTCGCACTCATGAACAGAAGGCAGAAGACTTGCTCGCAAGCCTCCTCAAGCAACTATGCCAACAACGGCCGTCTCTCCCGGACATTGTTAGATTGCTCCAAGCCGATACACTGAAAGCCAATAGAACAAGGCCGACGTTGAATGAGCTTGCAGAAACTCTTCATTTAGTCGTCTCCATGTATTCTCGAGTCTTCATTTTAATCGATGCACTCGATGAATGTCAAGTAAAAGATGGCTGTCGCACCACATTTCTCAACGAGATTTCAAAACTCCAATCAACGACTAGAACAAATATATTTGCAACCTCAAGACCAAACCCAGAAGTCGAACTTAACTTCAACGGGTGTGATTGGTGCAGGATCAGTGCGAGTGAAGCTGACATCCGTGCCTATCTGAGCGAAAACATGTGGCAAATGTTAGGATTTGTCCAGAAAAGACCAGATCTGAAGGATGCTATTGAAGACAATATCGCAATAGCAGCGCAAGGAATGTAGGTTGTTCTATGTGCCCTCATATCAAGTTCTGTTTTGCTGAGTATCTTGTAGGTTCCTTTTAGCCCGACTGTATTTTGACTCACTCAAGGACAAAACATCAGCCACGATAATCAAAACATCGCTAAGAAGGCTTCGAGAAAAAAGCCAAGCGAAAGTAAATACTGATGAAAGACTCGATCTATTGGCTCAGGCATATGATGAAGCTATGGACAGAATCCGTATGCAGCCACCTGGCTTTCAACAGCTCGCAACAAAAGTTTTGACTTGGATCATCTTTGCAAGGCGGCAGCTTACCATTTTGGAGCTTCAACATGCCCTTGCCGTATCTGTCGGAGATGAAGAATTAGACGAAGACAACATGAGAGATATCAAAGATATTGTTTCCGTCTGCCTTGGATTGGTAACTGTTGACGAACAAAGCGGTATTGTTCGTTTGGTTCATTACACTACGCAAGAATATTTCGAGCAAACCAAAACACGGTTGTTTCCGAATGCAGAGATCGAACTCGCGACTATATGCGTGACTTATATCTCATTCCGTACTTTTGAAGCTGGTCTCTGTGAAACAAAAGCAGAACTTCGGGATCGGTTGCTATCAAATCCAGTCTACAACTATGCCGCAGAAAACTGGGACCATCATGCTCGATTCGCCGCGACATCAATCCCGGGAATTAAACAATTTCTAAGCAACAATGCTCTTTTAAATGCCTCCAGTCAGGCATTACTTCATGACAGATGGTTGAGTGACTCGCTCTTTGATGATACAGCTTTTACGGATTGGAGTTCCAGTCAAGACTTGACGATAGGAACAACCTTAATCCACCTTGCAGCATACTTCGGACTTAGACCAGAGGTGGCTAGCATGCTTGAACAGAAGGCGGAGGTCGATTCCTTGGACGTTCATGATCGCACACCACTTATGATTGCCTCTCAGAATGGACGCGAGGCTGTTGTGAAACTTCTCCTTGACAAAGGCGCGAAAGCTGACAGGCGGGACAAGTACCATGGGACTGCACTCGGCTATGCCGTTGAGCGTGGGAATGAGGATACTGTGAAGTTGCTATTATCGCACGGCGTTGATGCTGATTCGGGCCCTCTTGATCCCTTTGTAAGGTTCGTTACTTATCAAGAAAGGAGCCAACCTAAACCTCAGATGCGTTCGAGACCACGAATGCGTAGGAGAATACGATAATAAACTTTAATAATAATAAAGCTACTAGGGTTTAGAATAACTTAATATAATAAATATAAAAAGCTTAAAAATATAATATTAATAGTTTTAAATATATTAATTAAATTTGAATAGTTTTAATTATTTTATTTAATTAATTATATAAAAATAAATCTAAAAAAAATTAAACTAATAGAAGTTCTTAATATCTAAAACCAGATTATTATAATTATCTATAGCTATTAATAAGAATAAGTAATATAATATAGAGAAAGAGTTCTAGAAGATAGTATTAATAGAAATACTTTAAAGCTTTTAAAATATAGTAGAAGGCTAAAATCAGGTATAGTATAAATGAAGAAATAATATCCCTATACCTCGCTGCCAAACACGGACACATAGCTATTGCGAAGCTACTTATAGACAAAGGGGCCGATCTTGAGCGCAGCAACTTCCTTTTTGATACCACACCATTATGTGTTGCTGCTAGGGGAAACCAAGAGTCCATGGTCGAAATGCTTCTAATCAGAGGTGCCAAATTCGAGACCAAGTCAATCAATGGCCAAACGCTATTATCTTGGGCTGCTTGTCATGGTTACGAGGGCATCTTCAAGCTGCTTCTGGAAAAGGGCATCAATGTCGAGTCTAGGGACGATAATGGTGGGACAGCGTTAACCCGCGCTGCAGGGGAAGGGCAGTTGATCCTCACTAAACATCTCTTAGCGATCGCCAATATCAATGTTGACTTGGAGGATAATTCGGGGCGCACGCCACTATCCTGGGCCGCTGCTGGTGGTCATGTGGCTATCACCAAACTTCTATTAAATAATGGCGCCAATGTTGAATCCAAGAGTAACAATTGCCGGACACCGTTATCATTTGCCGCCGAAAATGGGCACCAGGACACAGTTGAGTTGCTGCTGGAGATAGGCCAAGCAAATGCCAATTCTCGAGACATCTTTCGCCGAACCCCACTGCATTGGGCTTCGAGGAATGGGCACGACAAAGTTATTATAGATATGTTATACAGCTTATCGATCAATTAATAAGCTGCTTATTATATATATATATACTTAGATAAATCTTTATTAGAACCTTCTAATAAGTAGCTTTTTCTATTCTAATTATTATTATATTTATTTACTTTAATTATTACTTTGCTTTACTATACAGCCCCGTGTCAAACCATAGTTATCATAAGCCTCATGCTAAATGAAGGCTCTGATCCTGACCCAATAAATATTTACTGCTCAACTCCATTATCAATAGCCGCACAACATAATCAAGCACATTTGATAAAGCAGTTCTTGGATACAGGAAGGGTAAACGTTGCTTCTCAGGATTTTTTTGGGCGGACGCCACTGTGGTACGCTCGACGATATGGATATGCTGAAGTCGAACAACTTCTACTTGAACATATCAAGGAGAGGGGTACATTAGATTATCATGATATTCAGCTGTCAAAAGATATGCAGGCTGGAGACTCAATGAATCACATATAACATGTGATGTCTGCACTATGGGTATTCCGCGCCATGGGGTTTATTACCACTGCAAAGTTTGCAATCGTGACAATTTCGATGTTTGTTTAAATTGCCATCAGGCTGGAGGACGTTGCTTAGGGCCAAGCCATGAGCTAATGAGGCTCCAAGATGATTCCGATCGACCCTTCATATCCCAGTATGTTCTCGGAAAACAAAGGTGCGAGCGAGAGAATTAAATTAGCCTGACTGAAACAATAGAAAACAACAATTGAAGGTGTCAGACCCGACATTTCGACACAATAAATACTAAAGGCACAAAAAGTAGCCTCTGCTTGACTAATGCTATAGCTATGTAGAAGGAAATAAAACTTTATACTGATGACTCACTTGTCGTTAGCCACAAGATCCTACCCTGTTTCACCTAGCTATCACATATACGGCTTCCTTCATTCGTCCCTGCACCAAGCCAAGCACTTCAGCATACCAAGCTCAAGACTTTCCGGATACCAGCCCAGTGAGCATCAGTACCCCTGGGCTATCAAGAAATCATTGGCCCTGATGACTGCAATCTTTCAACCTGGCTCTAAATTAATTAGTCGGGATTTGAGGAGGAATCCCAGATCCGCCACAACCTTCCTGCAACCTTAAACAAGCACAGTTGGTTTCTCACGATCACTTTTTCCAACCGCACAGAGCCACGGAAGAGCTTATAGAACGGCGGCAACGACGGCGGCGGCAGCAACGACGGCAGCGGCCATGCCAGTCTCTCTAGCACCAACACCCTCAGATGTGGAGGAACTGGCAGTGCCCGTAGTCTGGCTGCCCGTAGCGGACACACTAGCAGCACTCGTGATAGTTGCAGAGGAGGCACCACTCGTGGCTTTGCCGGTGTTGGCCGCGACAAGAGCCTTGCCACAACCACCAACCTCCGTGAACACCCCAATCTCCGAGCACGAGGCCATTCCACTCTTGATCTCGGCCGAGTGACTGCTATACCACTTCTGGAGTGCGGAGCCGTAACTGACAACCTCAGAAGTAGCAGAGGCGGGGAAGGTCGTAGAGCACTCCTTGCTGGTACTGAAGTTGACGAGAGTACCGAGGGCCTCGGGGGGTTCAGGGAAGCCGGTCAAGAGGGGAAGTACCATTGAATTACAGGTTGAGGGGAACCTGTTGGCGGTAGTAGTTGCTGCGGCAGCAGTGGCAGCAGCGGCTGAGAGGAGGAAAGCCGTGGCGTGCATTTTGGTACTGAACCAAATGTTGTACAGAAGTAGGAATGCTGTTTTCTTGAATCAAAATGGAGTATGGTCTGACTTTGTAGTTTGTGATGTGATGCAGAGAAAAATCTAATTCAACAGAGAGGGTGGCCTTGCTTTATAGAAAGGTTCTAGGCAGGATCTAGGTAGAGCCTATCCATCCATGAGCATCCACTGAGCTGAGTGCAATCACAAAAGTATGGCCTGCTCTGTCTAGTCCTGCACACCAATGTCAAGACGAGACGATTTTTGCGAGGGTTTATCTGACAGCCCCTCTTGGCTAGGGGTATGCACTGACACGATGGCTCGCAAAAAAAGTCACCAATTTGGATACTTTTGGAGCATTCTGTTTGGTTGCATAGACTTTAAGCTCATAATAGCTCCTAGCTAATGACTATTCCGCTCAGGGTATTGCATTTTTTTCCTCGCCACTGTTCTATTGTTGACTGTTAGACTCGCCGGGATGAGCCTTGTGTCTAATTATATATGTCACAAGAGTCGACGGCCTCGCGACACACCAAACGCAAATTGGAGATTTTTTGCGAGCCATTGCATGGTCACTTGGTGCGTACCAGACTCTTGCCAAGAATAATGAGATAGCTGCACAGCGAAATTGCGAGAGCCCTGACATCTCGAACCCTGACCGGCGCTTGCTGGTTGTGAACCATGCTACACAGTCTTGCCATGTTACTTAGACGGATAAAAAGGAAATGTAAGCATAATTAAAGATGAGATGCTATGCCTTGATAAGAAGGAGCACTTAATAACAAAAAGGGGCAAAGGGGGCCAACTCAGCACAGAAAATCACATTTCGATAGTTATATTAACCAGTATTAAGGCAAACATAGCTGCTGTCTTCTCTTTTTCTCCTCCTTTTATAGCTTTTCTACAGCAGGTTAAGAACTGCCCAACTCCCTATGAGTATTCAATCACCTGGTGCGTGGAGCCTACCCGACGAGGCGAGCTTCCACTTTACAAATTCCTTGGCACGTCAAGTTTATACAAAGCTTTCCGATTCCGTAACGTCACTTTTTCATCTTAACTCGTTCAACACGTCTTCATTCATTATTTTCACTCCAGCAGTAGTCCCACGACTTCAGACAGACGAACAAACTTTGCAACAAAACCAACCAAGTCATGGTCATGGCCCCGGTTTTCCCTATTCCCCCCCTTCCACTGATCCAAGTCTGCATTTTTGAGCATGCTCTTTATCGTGTCAAAATGTTCATCATTAGGGTCATCTAGTCCAAGAAGTCCGGCTGCCGAGCAAGCCCAGCCGTGATTCTCGGACCACACACTGCAGGCAGACTCAAAGCCGTCGAACCCCTCGAGCATGTCCGTCCACAGCGAGTACTCGTCGTTTCGCTTATCCTTTACGTACTGGGCCAACTTCTTCCAATCATCCTTGTCGATGTCGCCAGAGAGAATGGCCTTGCCGAACGGCACAGGTGTTTCCTCGTTCTTATACTCACGCGTGTCGTAGTCGACCCCCTCGCAGGCCAAGAGGATCTTAGACACGCGCCGGATTTGATTTTCCTCTTCCTCCTGCGCTGCCATTCTTTGGCTTCACGCGCTGCCTTGTTCGCTTCGTAAGACGCCTTCTGCCGGGCCATCTCGCCGGGTTCCCAGTAGGTTCTCCCGTTGTCCATGTGGTAGTACGCTTTGCCCTGAAGGATCTCGCGCATGCTCTCCCAGTCGCTGGCATTGTGGTCCGGTCCCACTGAAGAGTAACAAAACAGTCAGCTGCCAAAGACTTGTGCTGGCGCAGGGTAGAAAGAAATCACATTGAAGAGAAGAAGAAAGGGGGGTAGGGGCAGAGGGGGATTCTACTCACTGCCCTGGACGTAGACAGCCTTTGGTCTTCGGCTCCAACAGCGCCGCAGGAGCTGCAGGTCTTATTTTGGTATTTATCGACAGTGCCACCATCGCCGGACCTGGTGGTGGCGTCAACCATGGCGGTGACGACGCTGATGTTCTGCTTAACGTGCCACAAACCACAGCCGCTGTAGGCGTAGCTACGCTGGACGGCAAACTGCTTGGCCGTGTCAGCCCGGAAGTACAGCGGTACGATCCACCGAAAGGCAAACTCGGTGCATGCCTCGCCGATGTTGAGCTCCGACTCCCACGCGATGGTGTCTTGGTTGTCCTCGGCATGGCCAATACGCTTCCATGAACCTAAGTTTATGGAACATGTCGAGCAGGCCCTTGGTCACCTACTCGAGATCGTCGCGGCTGATGCCATCCCCGATATCGTAATGAGCGAACTTCCAGGGCGTGAAGAGCTTGACCTGCTTGCCCATGGTGAGAGATGGCAATGAAATGGCGGCTCACTGGAATACTTTGATAGAATAGCGTCCCAAAAATAAAATATCATAAGCGTATGATGAACAAGTATAGAGAATTGTTGCGGAATACGGAATATACAGCATTTCCAGGGCATACCTGTCCTATATGTACTACTTCTTACGTCTAGCAACTGCCATATGATATATCATCGTCAAAGTGCCCCTCGCTTATTAATTCCTAAGGAAGAGTCTCGCCTACGAGGCCATGAGCCTTTGTGTCGAATCGTAACCCCCAAAAAGCTCATGCAGTCAATAGCAATTGCATCATGGCAATGCAGGACCGTCAAAGTGGGAAAGATATTCTTGGGCCTAGCTGCCACATGCAAGCTGATGTCTCAGTTCCCGCGGAGCGCTAGCAGTCGGTAGTACCGTATGGGGAAAACAACGATCCATTAGTTTGCTGAGGCCGTTAGATGATCAACGTTGTAGGCACATGAGTAGCTTTATCCTGGCTGGGTGTCCAAGCGAGAGACATAGAACATGGCACACCAAAGCTCTGTTCACACAAGTCACCTCATTTTCTTGTCCATAATGCCAAATGGAGTAATTTAGAAGTTAATAGTTGTTATTCTATAGTGTTTAGCTGCTATTTTATTTATTACTGGTTTATTGTTTTCTTATTGTGTTGATATTGTGTTGAAATTCAACGCTGGAGGGTCTTGGTGTGACATATTTTATGTCAGTCGCCTGGTGTCATAGGGCAATGCGCCTGACCACATCAGGAGCTAATATCGACAATGATGTAGGATGAAGAGATCTTTCGGGCATGCGGTGATTCCCTACGGTATCAATAGGCTAAGACAGTCTCTTTGGCTGAAACTTACAGTGTAAATAGTTTGCTCCGAAGCTGCCACGTCACATTCTTATCCTCTACAACGTCCAATGATGATCATTGGGCGTCCACTTAGACAATATCGCTTCCAGCCATATGCATAGACTGTGAGGAGCTGAACTGAGACACGCTTGACCAGAGATGACCGAGTGGAAAGTGAGCTGGTACACTTCTGTCTTTCAGCATTTCCCGTCCCCTCCCGACTCTACAAGAGGCCCGCTTACCTCTGCGTTTGATAGCTGGAGAATTGTCTCTGGCTCAATGGTCCGCGCCGGCCTGTGTGTGCCAAGTAGCCTGAGCCAAATTGCCGCTGAACCTGGGTTGCATAGCTCGCTGAGCTTGAGACAACTAGATTTTTAGTCTGTCAGAGCCTGGAAGTTTCAAGAACCTCAAGAGTCTGTCAAGGAAGAGCTAGTCGCTTAGGTTAGCCCACGTAGCTTGCGATTATTCCTGGATCGCGCAGATTTTCAGCGCTCTGGTTGTTGGGATAATAATAGCAGACCAAGCAGCTAGCCAGCTCGTAATGACAGAAAGTAAAGACTATGGGCTAGCGATCTTTTTTTAACTAAAGCATACTAACCACATCATTTCCAGCTGTACACTGTTAATCAAAGAGGATGTTGATAAATTTGTTCCCACGTGTCTGCCCTGTGGCCTTCGACTTTGTAGCCTCCTCCCCTGCTACTCGAGGTGTGCCGGACTAAGGCCAACGACACAGCCTTATCCCGGCTCCAAGCAGAAATAGGGATCTATGGAAATGTAATGGTTCCATTATTAGTGTTTTTGGGATGACAGGGGCAAATGCTTTTTTTGTTTGGAGCAGGGGTCGTTATGGTGTCACAACACGCAACTTCTTAGGTGGACAGTGGATATTACCATGAAGCTGACGGTTCATTCATGATGCAACCAATAAGTTGCAATATTCTGTGTAGATTTGTTCCCCGGTTCAAGTGTGCTCCCAAGCACCAGGGAGGCGTGTTGGCCAATCGGGTTATACGTCGCACTCGGGGACCGGGGGTAGGATCTGAGCCTCTCTGACGGGTCTCATCCGTCTGACATGATCCCTGGAAATCTTCACTCCAACTCAAATAAGGCTACAAACAGCGCGGGAATCTGTCCCGAAGACACGCGTCTTGGACAGATAGGGGAGAAACCGCGCTGAGGGATGCACCTCATCGCCAACACGCAACGATGCTGACGAATAAACCCGGCTGTCCCCCACATCCCATTTCAGGGATCAATGCAGTTTGAAGCTGATGTCGACGTTGTGGAGGCAGTGCTAGAAATTGGCTTCTCACTGGCGGACTCTGGGAAAACGAGTCCGAGTAGAATGACAATTGGTGACAGAATTGGGGCATTTTCAGCGAGACAGTCCGCATAACAGTTTTCCTATAATTAGACAAGATTCATCAATACCCATATAAAGGGACATTCCAGCTCTAATAATTCAGTACATTCATCCATCACTACGCAGAATCCAAAACCCAACAAACAGTGTTACTTCTCCAAGCCGAACAGCCGCCCACTGAAGCAATTCTTGCAAGCGCCGAGTATTTCATTGGCCTGTACGTTCTGTTTCGACGCAACGCAGTCATGGCAACACTTCCGAACGGTCTTATCTCTTTTGGCCCAGATGCCAACTGCACTCTTGAGCTGTGTCCCATCGAATGGAGTGTCTACGCATACAGACCATCATTAGTTGCCAATATCGTCTTTCCAATAATCTTCGGCATCCTAGGCCTGATACATACATACCTAGGATTCAGATGGAAAAGTTGGGGATTCATGGTGGGCATGCAGCTTGGTTCGGTCTCGGCGATCATCGGCTATGGTGGCCGAATCATGATGTATAACGACCCGTTTTCTTTCGCGGCGTTCATCATGCAGACGCGTAAGTCTATAAAAGCCCTGCTTCAACTTCCCATTGAGCTGTACATCTACTAACAACGCTCTCTTGTCGTCCAGTCTGCCTTACAATCGCCCCCGTCTTCTACACTGCATCGATATACGTCACTCTTTCCAAGACTGTCATCTTCTTCGACCCCAGTCTTTCCAGATTCAAACCGAAACTATTCTATTGGATCTTCCTCCCTCTCGATATTCTCTGCCTTATACTACAGTCGGCAGGTGGCGCGTTGTCATCTATACTTGATACACCTGATATTGGTGTTGGTGTTTCCCTGGCGGGACTTGTGTTGCAGGTCGTCGTCCTGTTCTTCTTCAGTGTCGCGTTTACCGATTACATGGTCCGGTATTGGATGACTGGTCGAGCATCTGCATTTACCTGGCGGATCAAGGCTTTCCTCTCGGGCCTGGCCATCGCTGTTATCTTGATCTTGGCACGTTCTGCCTACCGAGTGGCGGAGCTTCGTGATGGCTATCAAGGGGAGATGATGAAGCACGAGATCCCTTTTATTGTTCTTGAAGGTGTGTTGATCGTTCTTTCGGGCGTGGCGCTCTTGTTCAGCCACCCCGGATTTGTCTTCAACCGACCAAAGGGCATCCCTATTAGCTCATCTTCGGAGAGTCAATTAGATATGGTTGACGTTCATCAGGACGGTCGCGCGGCCCACGTTGCAAGCCGAGTGTGATGCGTTGGTACGATCAAACGCTACGAAACAGCGCGGCTTAGGTGATCCAAGGAGTCTTATTATTTCATTTGTCTGTTTCTTCTTCTTTCTCTACTCTGTTTTACTTTTCCCTTCCTTTCCCTCTTTTTTTTCCTTTTTCAATTTCGCAGCCACATCTAGATAGATTGTTTAAGACCGCACTACATCCAGCAATAGCATAGAACTTGAATTGAATAGCTCATAATCTTCAGAATCATATAGAGTACTATCAAAGCAGGGATTCTTCACGCCATGTTGTCTCGTTATCACCTACCTAAGCTCAAGTGTTAAAATACAATTAGCCTTTAGTCTTTCCCGCTTGATAACGAACCCAGCACTGAGTAGATTGTCCTAATTAGAAGCCCTGTTAGGCGCCCGCCGGGTTTCGAATATCATGGCACAATGCCAAATTACATGGACAGAGAAATCCCAAGCTCAAGGTACCACACATGATGCACCGCTAATGGTTACGGGCCTCACGCCGATCCTACTCTGTTCCCAGAACCATTTTAATTCATTTTCAGTGTATTCCCACCCAGTCCATGAGACATTGTGTGCTGCCCCTGTTCGAGAAGACTATTGGCAGTTCGTCGGATTCCGATGTTATTAGTTACTTTTGGCTCCAAGTGCAAATGGATCATCTATCGAGTTTCAGCCTCACGTTCAGATGAGTCATTTCACCGTACATGGCGCGGATAGACATGTTCTACACCGAGGGGCTACCGCTATTATTGAGCTATTCTCAACAGGCTGCAGTAGTGCTTACCTGGTCATTTTTACAATATATTAGATATCCCCGCCCACAATCAGCTCCCAAACCATCTCTGCCTATCACTCCCACCATTTTGGGCCCAGAACATTCAAACATGTCAAGCTCGTCCGCGATCTTAATATCTCGCAACATGCGAAGTCACTCTTCCGTATGCTCCGCTATTACAAGGCCAATCACAACAGACGAGGAGTTCGAACAGGCCTGGAAGTCCCTCAACTACATCTACGACCTGCCGCTCGAGGACCTTCCACCCTTCGAACCAGCACTGCAAGTCCTCTCCAAAATCGACACTTTTAAAGCACCCCCAGGTAAAGGCCTGTACGGTCTCGCCAGCGGCGCGGGGGATGTTCTCAAATTTATGAGTTACCCATCGCTAGTTTGGGTTCCCCAACATAAGTTCGACTTCATGGCGGAAAGGTCTCTGGCAGAACGCGTCTCGACGGCGGAGCAGATGCGGCCTCACATGGCCGGACTATTTCAGTGGCTAGCCGATTACAACTGGCCCCCGTTTACTGGATGCTACAAACAGCTTTCGAGGTTCCCTGAAGCTACCGTTGGTACTATCAAGGAGATGTGTGCCGGTGACCTAAATGATGGGGAGTTGGTGGAGCACATCTTGGATTTTGTCATGGACAAAGTGCCAAAGGGTTCGGCTTGGGAGGAGTTAGCACCAGTTGTGCTCTCATTACAGGAAAAATCAGCGGCAAAGATCAAAGAAGAGGACGACGAGTGGAGTGAGCTCTTGAAGCGAGCTACTGAGTGGCTAGAGGAATATGAGACGTGGAAGAAAGAATCAAGGGGTTGAAATATATATCTCATAATGCGAATCTTGCAAAATCTAACTCTCTAGTATCCCAACATTGAAAATAACTCAAAAACTCCATTGCTGCATCCAGTTTGCCATCCATTCTTTTCCAACGGGCTTTAACCCTGCCATACTAAGTGACGTTTTTACGGCCGTCTTTGTATCTAAAGAAACACTCCTCTCTGTGTTCTCGAGTAAGCCTTCGTAAAATGACACGAGCTTAGATGCCGGGTTTTGATCAATATCCTCAAGCTTTGAAGTGCTCTCGCGCAAGTCGGTCACCCAATCCTTAAAACTCGCCATCTGGATGGCCACTCCGCTGTGCTCAAAGTAATTTTGTATAGTAGAGACAACATCACGCCAGAGACTTTGATTTGGATTCACCATGTGATAGACTCGAGCTCCGGTTTCTACACCATCCGTCTTGGCAGTGGCGAGCTCGATAATCCCTTGCGCAAGTATATCAACGGGAATCCACTCAATCACTTCCATTTCTCCGAGGCTGTCGGGCAGTTTTCCCAAATATTTTGAGCTGGCGATCAAACTGGGAACCCACTCCTGCTTGGGCCAGATCCCGTCCGATGTCGTGGGCCCAGCAATCTGTCCAACACGACAAATGACAGCCGGTATCCCTGATTCTTTGGCGGCCCTATCCAGGAGTAGTTCAGAGACGAATTTTGATCTCGCGTAACCCATATCTTGTGGCGTATGCCATTCAGTATACAGCTCCTCGGGAACACGACCGGAGAGCCCGGATACTGTGCTCAAGCTCGAGACGAAAAGAATCCGTGCCGCATGTCGTGATTGAACAGAAAATTCAATTAAGCGCCTCACGCCAGCGATCTGCCCTGCGAAAGACTCAAGTGAAAGATTGAAGTTGACTCTCCAGGCGTTGTGGACAATATGCGTGACATTTCGTATGAGCTCCTTATACGTCGATGGTTCAAGACCAAAATGACGAAGAGACAAATCAACCTCCAGACAAGTCACCTTTTTTGTCAGGGAATGAAGCCCCTTGGCTTTCAATGATCTCTCTTGTCGGTCTAAACTTCCAGGTCCTCGGTTTAGGATATAAATATGCCTGACTTCTGGGTTGCGCTGCAATCCGTCCAGGATATATGATCCAAGTGACCCGGTGGACCCAGTGAGTAAAAAGACAAAGCTTCCAGGTGTGCTTTCATGTGCATCTCTTGCAGAAATCGGGATGTCCTCTGCAAATTTGTCGAATATTTCCTGCATTGAACTCTGGGGAGCCTCAAGGCTAGATTCTTCTCCGTTGAGGATGGTGGATACTGAAGCAGCTAATGCTTGAAGCGATGGGTTTCTATAGATTATTTTCGTATCAAAGGAGGTAGGCTTCCCCTTGTTTGCTAGATGTTGATTGATTTTCTTCGTGATGACACTAACTTGCAGTGAGTCCAGTCCATGAGAGAAAAGGTCAGTTTCGGGGGTCAATGTAGCAACATTTATCTCCGTCGATTGCGCTACAATCTCTTCAATGACCTCTTCCAAACTCTGATCTTTGGAGTCTTCTGTCTGCCGCAATGATTTTTCGTTATTTTCGCTACACAGTTTATCGATTTCCGACGAATACATCTCCAATGTCAGTTGCCGTTGGACTGTGCCCTTGCCAGCTCGTAGCATTGGCCTCTCTGGAGACGTAAAGACGATCATGTCTTTATGAATCTTAGCATGGGATGGGCTAATCTGATTAGCACGCTTAACTGACTCCCATATTGACTCAAAATTCTGGTCCATATGCTCCTTGGCTTCCGGTTGTCGGGAGAGCTCAACAAGCAGGTATGATTGAAATCGACACTGACCTCCTATGAGTGCTGCACTCACGAGGGGGTTTTCGTTGATTATGTCCTCCATGTCAATTGGATTCAGCTTCTCTCCCGTGGAAAACACAACAATGTCGTCAGCTCGCCCTCTGTGTATCCATTCCCCTTCATTTGTTGGATGCTTCGAATACAGATCCTTCATCGGCCATTCCTGTAACTCTGGAAACGTGCAGAACACGCCTTGGTACAATTCAAGTTCTGGCTTTCGCACGATGACCTGCTCGTATAGCTCTCCAGAAAAGTGTCGGTATTCGTGGCCTAATACGGGACTCGTTTTCATAGACGCAGGATCCTGACAGCGCTCGACAGGATGCATACCACTTTCCGTCGATCCAAGAGTGTTTTGTATCCTGGTTTTGGTAGAGACGAGTTCCGAAACAGAAGCTGGGCATGGCCCGCCGCCGTAAGCAATTTGTTCGAGGCGAGCCAGATTCTCAAGATATTCCGGTGTTTTTGTGAGGTCTGATATGACGGTCGGGGGTATAAGGCTGTGTTGCACATTTGCGTGTACGTGCATTGCGTTCGCAGTCTCGGCAGAAGGCGGGAACGGCCCAAGAACGACGGTGAAACCGGCATAGATGGATGCGGGGAGAAGGAGACATACTCCAGCACTGTGGAACAGCGGGAATGCGGAGTATACTCTAGTTCCTCTGCATAAGGCGGGGAAAGTATCTGCTAATCCGAGGGAAGGGAGTGACGCGAAGGCATCCAGAGGGGCATTCGTCCCATGAGTCATGATAATAGCCTTTGGGAGACCCGTAGAGCCGGATGTGTGCATCACAACAAAAGGCTCCAGCCTCGCCTCAGAGAAAGATTTTTTGTAAGGGTATGGCTCATGCGGGCCATCCTGCAGCCAGTGTTCCAATAAAGGAATTTCTACTTCTTTCATCGGTCTTGCCTCTAGAATTTGCCTCACTGCCGGCAATACGAAGTCTGGAGGGTGGAGGAAGATGTTGCATTTAGTCTTCTCAAACAAATGCAAATGAGCTTCCAGGGTGTTTCTCGGGGAGTTGAGCAGCATTTTGTAGCCAGCCTTGACGGAAGCTACGATTATAATGCCATAGACAAGATCCTGCGGTCCCATGTACGTGAGTGTTGGAAACCCTTCTCCCTGACCTAATCTCTCTTTGATATGCCATGCGCAGCGGTCGACGGCTCTAGCAAACTGCTTGGCAGTGATGTTCCGGAATCCATCAGCAGGGTTGCTCGTTCTGGTAATGGAGTAGAAGACCCGCTCGGGATCTGATTCGGCAATCTCATCGATGAGAGAGGGTATTAGCCGCTGGCCAATGTTTCCAGGTGGTGGAGGGAGTGACATGATGTCGGCTACAGCTAAGTTAGAAATGCCCAGGGTTAACTGACCATTACCAGCCCCTTTACAAGACGAGTTCAAGCAGGGTGTTCCAGGATCTAAATACATGGTGGAATGCACAAGACGATGGGTCCAGGGTCTATTTCCCTTTTATAGACGCCACCGGCACTTGTTTAACATCAAAGATTCAAAACATTACACGTCTGTAGCGTCATTAGTAGTGGCTGTCACATGGGACCACAACGGGCCGAGTTTAAGGCACCTGAAGATGCCCTAAAGAGAAGTTCAGCTCCAATGAAACGCAAATAATTCCACAAGAGGCTAGATAGAGTGGGATACTTTCGGCATACCGAGATATCTCCCACGTTTACTGCATGTAAATCAACATTACTGGCCAAAATCCGCCATCGTATGGAGATCGTTTCAGCTCATTCCCACTTGGCTCAGGTGAGGTGGAAAGGCTCAGGCGCTAAAGCACAGCAATGATTGGTAACTTAAGGACTAAAGTTCCAGCTGTATGTGAGGCCAGCACCGGACAAAAACAGCTAGACGCGGCAGATATCGCCATGTTGTCGATATATCGCTAGCAATATTACTCAGATGGTGGGCAAAGGATCGTCCAGAAAGGGTTGTATTACGTTGATCTGGCTTCATACGATGACCTTCCATGGGCCACGGTTCAAGTTGCCCGATCATCTGAGATCTCATGGTTCTTGGCGCATTCCAACAGAAGTGCCTCGAACACCGTAGACCCGGCAAACGGCATTTGTGTCTCTTTTTGCCGATAAAGCTCCATGATCTCCATGCCTCCACAGCGAATTACCCTTGTCGAACATTTAAGCTCACACTTACACCCCTCGGCCAGAAGAGAAGTTAATTATGCGCCGAGTCAATGTCTGCCCGCTGGCAGCTGAAAGAACGGCTTTCTGAGTCAAGCCCAAATCTTAAACACACCGAAAGTCATCCAAATTGTGAGACCATTATCCGTCCCTTGGCTGATTGCATATGACTGTCACCTGGCCATACGGTCCCAGAGAGAGACAATTCTCCGTAAGCTGATTGCTCTGAAGGACACGTATACCATCCTATATAATCGAATAAAGCCTTCACAATAGTCACCCATTAATCGCCGCAATCGACCATTGACTGACAGTTCAAGACGAATGCATATAGATGGACAAGCTACAATTATAGAAATAGGTTGCAATTAAAGAAAGAGAAGAAGCCCAATTTTGTTTCATCCAGAATGTAACCCGGGATTGTCTTGCTGCTCGCCTACTTACCACGTCATCACTCTGCGTCGGCAAAGACAGTCTCATGTTCGAGCGCTAAAGATAAACAGATCTCACACATGACCAGAGGGTTGGAACAAGATTGAGGAGGCGGTTCTCTAATGTATAAATCATATGTCATGCGCTTCGGTGAACCCTTTTTCATATCAGTGGGACACGGAATAAAAAGACAGTCGGCTCTTGATACATCCTAGAACTAATCCAACGCAAGGCACGATTCTAATAATACCGGCAAATTAGAATCAACTGCCATGCGAATTTCTCATGCTGATAACGAATAATTCAGGTTCCAAGATTTGACCAACATGAAAGTTTCTTACAAGATGCAATAACTCGATGTTTATGGCGGTCGTTCTTTTATGCATAGCATCACCACCCGGGACTCTGCTCGTAAACCAGCCAGATCAGGGAATCATGCCCGGTTCACTACCAGTCTAGCACGAGTCAGACTAAGCTACGCCAAGAGAGATACAGAATTGCCCCTGGCTAACTCATCGCTTCCGTTAGGGGCTGACACGGTCCTCATCTTTGGCCTTCACCCGTGAGAAATATGGGGTCCTCGCAACTTTGATTCCCCTTTGAGGAATCACCGCGCTGCCATCAGACAGTTGTTGGCTTGCTATTCGTTGCCAACTACGTATTGGTCGCAATCTAAAATAGCTATTTAAGCATTGCTTGGACGATCCATATATAGAATTGAAGTCATTCATCGAAGAAATAAAATATAAAAAATCTTGTCTCCCCGCCTTGCCTCCACATCACCGACATGTTCCTGAACTGGTGGATTGGTCGCAATGAGCCATCTCAACAGCAACTTCGAATTTGAAAGGCTCAACGGGCATCCTCCAACCATAGACAAAGTAAGTATCTCGCGCTTTTGAGGCTACAGAGAAATGATTCAGTGAAAAACCAGCATGCTTGTTGCTAACCTGATGGTCACGCTCTTTCAGTATTTTGAAGCGGTTGAGAGACCTGAACATCCAACGTCGTTTCATTCCAACCCAAGGCCAATCGCACCTGGCTTCCATATGAATACCAATCACTCTAATCACTCTAACCACCGGTATGATCAAGGTAAGTTCGAGCTTCGCTAAATGCTACATAGGTTCAGAGGCCCAGGCTTACCTTGTCAGTTCCAGTAGAGGGCAAACCAGGCTCTCCCTCGCCCGAAATATCACGAAGCGGCACGTTCAAAAAAGAAGGAAAGAAGGAGGTATGGAGCGACAAGAGGCACGCAGGCCTGGTGAACTTCCTCTTATTCCACCTCCCTTCAATCGCCGTCACCATCAGTCTGTTCTGTCTCTATTTACGCGAGGTGACATGGAAACCTCCTGGACCCGGCTCCGAGGTCCTCGGCATACTTCAGTTCGCAGCCAAGGCCCACGAAGGGTTGATCGTCGTCTCGCTGAGCGACATTCTTCTTCACCGTGTTCGATGGGGCCTCCTGGGTCAGGAGGGAGTCCCGCTTGGCTTCCTCTCCTCGGCGCATCATCTGCCTGCTCCTTTGCTGTATTTATTTAGCTGGGAGTTCTGGGGAACAGTCGTCTATCCAGTCAACAATAAGGTATCGCATTTCATCAGCGTCGCTGCGATCATCATCCTCACACTCATCGGCATCGGTGCAGCTCCAACATCAGCGGTCACGATGATTCCCCGAGAAGTCTGGCAGCCCGTCAAGATTGACACTTCTTCAGATGAGATCGCCTCCAGTCTGAATCTAACGCATTTCGGCGCTGATTTGGGAACTCTCTACTTGAACAGCAGTATCTATAAAATGAATCTTGGGAGCGGCGAGGAAGATGCTCCTCTTGGGTCCGGAGACTGTTTGTCTGCGCTTGCACTCGGCGAAGAGACTGGGTGTTTCGATGTCAGTCCCATGATGCAGAGTTTCTGGGCCTCGATCACGCTGCTTCCCGGAAACACGCGCTCCCAAACAAGCATCCCAGTGACCCGGCTGGGCCGATGGGCTCCATTTCGGCCAATCGAGTACTCTTCATTTGAGGGTTTTGAAACCCAAACGGCCTGGGCGACGGGACCGATGTACGGCATATCTTATGTCCTTTCACGGGCTGGCGCCGAAGTGTCGGCTTACCCCGATCGCGACTTCAAGATTGAAGCCAAGATCAAGGATTCTGAGGAAGAAAGGTGGAAACAGCCTGTGGTTATCGTCAGCTGCAGGGAGCCAGAGACGGAGGGATCGAACAATGATTCTCTGGCATTTAAGTGGACTGACGACGATGCCTTTGGTAGTTTCAGCTTAACACTCGACCTAACCGAAGAATCATTGGCATCATTCCATGGTGAGGACATCAAATCCCATTACGCCACTCTTGATCTCCAAGATCGTATCGACAGACCGTTGAGTGCATCAATGTTGCTCGCAGGATGGCAGAGGATAGAATCAGGCCCTACGAACAATACTTTGGTCTATAACCTCTGTCTAATCCAAGCTCGTTGGATGGAGGCAGACATTTGGGTCAATACGGGACAAGCAGTTGGTGCACAGACAGACTTGGGCATCGACAAGAAAGACATCCCGAACCACATGAGAAAGACATCCTCATCTGAGAATGTGATCCAAATGAGCAGCGACTGGCTAGACCGGATAGGCGCACAAAACTCTACAGCAAGTGAAGACAGTAACGCAACAGAAAACCAGGCATACATCCAAATCTACGAGGGTGCCATGAGATTCCTCAGCAAAGCTGGGAGCACCTCCACCGTCCGCGCCACTTTCCTACCAGAGATGCTCTCCATCTACTTTGTAGACGCTCTCACCGACCTCAAGGGATGGAGTCTATGGGAAGATGACGCTGAGAAGACAGACTCCAATAAAGCCCCAGCAGCCGACGACCAGGTCCTTGACTTCGCGTTTTCCTCGCATCTGTACGGGTACTTCCTCGGCGGGGGGTTCGTCTTGCCTCTCTCCATGTCCATCCTGGGGATACATGTTATCATTGTATTAATCCATCATTGCCTCCTCTTCTTCACCCCGAGGCCGTGGTTCAGCTCGCGGTGGGAGAGTTGGGGCGAGCTTGTGACGCTGGCGATGCGCTCCAGGCCACCACCAGAATCGAGGATGCGTAACATTGGTGCGGGAGTGGGCAGTGCGGAGACTTGGGCTATGCCTATTGTCGTCCGAGACCTAGACAATCAGGGCAGGTTGGAGATGGTACTGAAAGAGGACGTCGCCAGCGCCCTGGGTGTCGGGGAGGATATGGAGGCACATCCTTTGATGGGACTTGTGAGGCCGGGCGTAAAGTACGGTTGAGCGTAGCATAGCAGCATGTGATTTTCAATATTGGCAATTGACTAGAGTAAATAATAAACTCAGAATGGATATTTCACTAGCGAGCGTAGAGAGGGATCATTCATCGTGGTTTGTCTCGTCCCGCCGACACCAGCGCACCTTCAATTCATTCTTCTTTCAACGAGATCAAAGATCACGTACTACGGTTTTGCATAAGAATAACGCTTGGTCTACTGACATTTTGAAATGGACGCGTCCTGGCGAGTGCATGTCAGGCCATCCTGACAGTAATGGCTTCCATTCCACTCGAGGCCACCGCACTGCGCGCCCTGTGAGCCACCAGAAGCAGGTTCAAGTGCCAAAATCCTCTCCGTTGCCTTCTCGGAAACCGACACAATGTAGGACTGGATGTTGGGTGTGACCATGCCTGGAATCACAGAAGCATCGACAACAAAGATGTTGTC